ACCACAAACACCATAGTCAATAAAGGTTAGACAAATGTTGTGACTTGCATATGTCAACATCAGTGTCAACACACACGATTCTCAAGGACCAAAGTAAGACAAAAGTACATTTGAATCAACGACCTTCAATCTCGCTTATGTATGCATGAGACACATTGCGATCACTTAACCGGCAGGGTGTCACCCGCATAACAGCTTATGGTTAGATCCAAGGCAAACATATGGGAAAATAACATGAATGTTATGGGGAAAGTTGATGTAAACTAGTTTGTTTTTTTTTTGCACCAATAAAGACTTATCAGTGCTCCTAAACACCTTGAAACTTTTGATGTCTTAGATTCCTAGTCCAATGGGATTAAGTACATGGAATAAATGTATGTTTTGGCTGATTTAATGATTGACAGCTGCGGCTATAACGTACACACAAACTTTCACATTGTTCGTATGAAGTATGATATGTGTGTATCTGTTAGCACTATAACTCAACATATATCATAGTACTGAAATCTTACTGAAGATCTTCCCTTCTGTGAAATTTTTCAGTTTGAACAACAGTTTTAGTAGATTTTTGTGTTCATGGACAAACAGGCACACAGACAGAAACAAAATATGTTCAATAACTTTCCTAACAATACAAATATGTCTTTACGAGTTGTATTTTATTTTAAAACAGTGAAAGTACGCTTTAAAATCTCTTAAGCTTGCAGCCATTTTGCAAAAATAATACTCAACATGTACTAAAAGTTAAACCATGTTTTATGTAAAATGTAAACCGACATAGGCCTTATTATGTATGGATAAAGCAAAAAAATAATCAAAAATTTGATACAGTAGTTGGAAGTAAGACAATGTTATAACGTTGTATATACTGTTTACTATCAGTAGATTCTACCGTCGTAAATACAACAGTTTGATGAAGTTATCTCAGATAATGACTTCAAACACAATGTTAACCTAAATCCATTTTAATTGCTACTAAACAGTTGTAAAATATATTCACGTTCATTCTTAAACTGTTATTTCATAAAATATCACTGCTACAAGAACTGATAATGATAACAAATATTTAAAAAGTACAGTACCCTAGAATTTATGTGACCTTAAAAAAACTTATCTACTACTGAAGGTTAGACAGCTCTTTTTATCTGTCTATACTTTTTCACTCATTGTAACTATTATGTCATGCTCATTGATGAATATGATCTGTAAAAAAGGCAGGTTTTTTTAGATAATCATCTACTTTTTTGCACATTATGTTTATACTTGGATATTATATAGCTAATGATTTTTAGAAGCTGTGTAACTTAAGTGTTCTATTGGCAGCGCAAAAAAGTTATCAAAATAATAGATTTTCTTGATCTTTTGAAACCCTGTACTAGTCAACACAAGTGAATAAATTAAGTTCATTATACCTAAATTGTATTTTTAAATTGAAAATATAAATAACTACCTAGTGTACCTGTTGCTCGAATTCGAGCAATTGCGAAGTATTACAGGTGTAATTTTAAAACGAATAACAGTCATAATTTCCGATGACTTTGAAAGAGTCAACTCAAAGGTTGTAGAATTACTCACGATGTATATAACAGTTTGATATAATCAACATTTTTTGTTATATCTTATAATTTTTCAAAAGCTGATCTTTTTTGTTTTTCCTTAAATTGCAACTAAAATATTAACAGCAATTAAGTTATTCAGCTGATCATAATGTAAACAAACATGTTCTTTATAAGGATAACATGGGAACTTTAAAAGCCACTGGGGCAGAGTCCAAGGCACTTTAATTTTGGTATATAATATGTAAGGTTTAATCTTAAAACAAAAAAGCCTTATTGTTCACAAAGTTTCATGCAGCGTATTAATAATACTGTATAGATAGACACCTCGTTCATATGACCCAATCTTGCTGGCTTGTGAACTCATTAAAGTTTATCTGCCCTACACCTTCATGCTAAATTTGATCAAAATCGGACAAAAAGTATTCGGGCTATCGCGTTTACAGACACATATTTATAAATAGCCTACTTTATTTTAACGAATAGTGTTTTTGGTCTCCGGGGAGATCAAAATGAAAAAGGAAATCAGTCCTGGGTCTAGGCCTTACCATGCCGTCTACTGCAATAGCTACTTCCCTTTATGAAAATTCTCGCTGAACTGTAGTCTATGGACTTTTTCTTTGTTTAACTAAATTGCTACATTTGTTAATTCATTGATTTAATACGTTCATTACTAAACTTCACTCAACACTTTTTGCACAGTTTGCCAATAGGAAACAACTTTCCTGTTCACTTTCGTATTCACATACACTAAACAGATTTTAAGGCTTGTGTATATTTTGAGGATGTTCTGTATTTTAACCTCTTTAGTCTCATCAGCTTAAGGAAATCATTTGAAATCAGTAATCAAAGGCTATCAGCTCTGAAGCTAAGGGTCATTAAATAATCATGACAGAGGCTACTCAGCAATTGACCTAAATGATATTTGCTGCTGTCACTAACAATGCAATTCATCGACCATTAACTACTGAGGAACTGTTACTAAATTCATAAATCATGCTGTTTTGTATATATTAAAAAAAGTGTTTTGTGTTCAATACCTATTTTTTAATATTTGAAGAGTTGACTAAAATAGAAAAGTTGAGTGTGGTGTATGGTAAACAGGAGTTTTATAAACCTTAATTACTAATAAACCTTAAATATTTACCTATAGTATATGAATAGTATTGATTACAATAAAACCAGATAGATTGGAGGATTTAATCTGGATTAAGTGCAGTGCTTAATAATCCTTTGATGCCAGGTTGAGAAATAGACACGCTTACCACAGCCTAAGTTTCAAGTTTTAAGTTTTTAGTTTTATGATACTTTGTAAAACAAGTTTTGTATACAGGGTGTTGAAAATGTCTGGAACCAACATTATATCTGGTGAGTGGTTAAAGAAAAACAAATGATATTTTGTGTACGGATATACTATGGTTTTACCTATCTTTTGGTGCCTTATGAAAATGTTTACCACTTATAGGGAACGTCCTGTGGAGGATGCAGTAAAAAGTTTTAATGGAAGCCTATGGTAAATGATACATCATTTTAAAGGCCATTTTTTTCTGAGTAAGGAGCCACAAGTTTCATCTCAAAAGGACCACCCTAGCAAAAATGGCGACTGTTTGAAATTTAAAAAAACACTTATAGGGAACGGAATTTTTAAATTTCAAACAGTCGCCATTTTTGCTAGGGTGGTCCTTTTGAGATGAAACTTGTGGCTCCTTACTCAGAAAAAAATGGCCTTTAAAATTATGTATCATTTACCATAGGCTTCAATGAAAACTTTTTACTGCATCCTCCACAGAACGTTCCCTATAAGTGGTTATTTAAATTTCAAACAGTCGTCATTTTTGCTAGGGTGGTCCTTTTGAGATGAAACTTGTGGCTCCTTACTCAGAAAAAAATGGCCTTTAAAATGATGTATCATTTACCATAGGCTTCCATTAAAACTTTTTACTGCATCCTCCACAGGACGTTCCCTATAAGTGGTAAAAATTTTCATAAGGCACCAAAAGATAGGTAAAACCATAGTATATCCGTACACAAAATATCAGTTGTTTTTCTTTAACCACTCACCAGATATAATGTTGGTTCCAGACATTTTCAACACCCTGTATAGTAATTTTGTAAATATTAGTATAACGACGCAATCTATCCGATATACTTCGGTCAAAGATTAAGACAACAAGTATTCAAGTAAGTAAGTATTTAATGGTCTGGATTATCTACAAATGAATGGCCCACGATAACCACTAAGCTATTGCTGTTTGTTTTACTTTAAGTTATCCTTTACCTGTATAATAGTAAAGTGAGCATAGTGTTATTTTTCTTATTAATATGGAAAGTAGTTATTTATGCTAGTCCTGGTCACATTCATTTTTTTCATATCTGTATACTGGTGGTGTATTGAAACATGAACAGTTGTTGATAAATTCCACGGATTGATGAGCTATTAACCTGCCAACCGACTAAATAAGCTCCGAGTAATAATGCATTCGCTCTAGTTTACAATTAATTTGGTGATGGAGTTAAACTGTTGCCAATATAGAGGTTACAGTGTTATATTAAATTATCGTTTGGATAAATATTTACGTGCAGCATAAGCAAGGTTTTAAATTACCAAAACATTTACCAAAGATGTTCTACCTGTAATCTGGGTAAAACAATGAGAAAAGGGGAAAACAAAAATTAAACAAAATCCAATTAACTAAATGCATAGAAATCATTACTCACAAATAAAATGGATAATCTTTTAGTAAATAACGATAATGGTCTAATTCAAAATGTAACATTACTAAATTCCGGAAATCTACAAAGTTTTAAGTTAAACCTAGGTCATATTTCATTTTTATACCTATATAACCTATTTTTGTAATTTTACCTTTAAATGTACTTAAGAGACCCAGATAATGCGCTAATATCTCCAGTATATTTCCAGTTCCTCTTGAAGAAGGGGAAATTAGTTTCTTGTGTTTTGTTCTTTACCCCAAATGAGTAGGCGCACTCATGGAGATTGTTTTATGGAGATTAAATTTCAAGTTTAAGTTTTGGGTGAAATATTAGTTTTGGGTCCCGCAGTGATGAGGGGGTGTCCGTGTGTTTGTGTGTGAACCTGTAGTCTGATTTTTGTGAAACTTGGTATGAGAGTACTAATCCATGGTATCTCAGGTTTTTTTATATATATTTTTACTCTGATATTAAATGGTAATCTTTCCATAACAACTAGTTAAGATTGGGAAGCAACTGTATTCAAACCCAAATGAATGAATGTTCAGTGTGACAATGTTTTGTAGATTTGTTACTGAATAAGATCAGCTGTTTCTTTAGCCAGGACCACTAGCACAATCAAGGTTCAGTTTTGAACCATAAAAATCTGTTTTGCCCAGGATCGAACCTGTATACTTTAGTTCAAGGCGAGTACTACCCACTAAATTATTTGCTTTATGATTGTGATTTCAGGATGGATGAACAAATCAAAAGCGTACAACATAGAGTTGTTTCACAAACTGCTGGACAGTCGTCCCAGGAACGTTCCGTTGCTAACAGTGTCCAACCACCATTCGTGCTTCGACGACCCTGGCATCTGGGGTAAGCTCTAAGTTGAGAAAATTATCTAAGTTATATTTAAGTAGTTGTAATTTGTCTGCGTGTTTGGAAACAGAAGCAGGAATTGTTTATGCCCGGGAAATAAAATAGATTTTTGTTTGGCAATTTACTTTGGTAGGCCTACTTGTATTTTAGAGACCACACCTAAATTGATTAAATAAAACCCTTAGGTTATGTTAGGTCACAGAGAAGTAAGATACAGAGGAAACATGCTTATGGAACAACCGTTTTAGCTCTGGAATGGTGGGGGGGGGGGGGATATATTAGGCCGGGGAACCAAGAGGTACCCGAACAGCTACTGTTTACAACAATTGTTGTACCACACAGGCTCTTCCTACAGCGTGAGCGCTGTAGTACGTGATAGCGAGGGGAGAGAGGAGAGCGGAAGGGGACGACCAATAGAATTTGAACTAGACCCAAGCGACTAGTGCTAGTCTCGACTTAAGTGTACCATTGCATGTTTCCTCTGTATCTAACTTCCCTGTGATAAGGTTAGGAAGATTTTTTATTTAAACAAATTAAAATCTTATTTAAAAGTTGATTTATCAGTGTGGTCGGTATAATACGAATCTGTGCTTTATAACAGAGCTGGAAACTAGTATTGAAAAAGTCCAAGTGTTACTATAAAAAAGATACAATTGCAATAGTTTCTAGAAATTGGCTTATCTGGACGTAATTTCTGTAGAACGTAACTGATCTGAACTATTTAATATTTCTTTATATTGATTGAGATGATAATTAAAATTTACAATTGCTATTTTAAAGGATCCTCGCCCAACCAAGTTTCATTTTGCTCTTTTATGTAACACCTAATGATACAATTTTGTTGTCTTGATTATTTTTTTATTTGTTAAAAGTATTTGCAATTCAATACTTCAATAAGTATGTGCGTTGTAGCATCTACAATTCAAAATGTATATACTTAAATGCTAAGGTAACCTGAACCTCCCCATTGGCCCTACAGGGTTTCAAAATCAGCGCGCTCCAAGAGGGGTTATATAAATTTGAAATGATTTATATCCTAAAAAGTTGAATAAAGCTGAATAGTTCAAACAAAGGAAACTCAACAGACTGGAAATTATGAAAAAGTTACTTCAGCTCATATCATACTCAGTAAATGTATCATCCTAATCTAGATAGATGTGTTTTATCATATTAGGTCTATTATCCCATGCCAAAAAACTAAACAAATGAACCAAAAATATACAAATATATCTGTGTTATTGGTCTGACTACTTATGGTGTAAAACTGTTTGTCATGGTCAATAAACCTAAAAGTTTGTTGGTTGGAAAAATTAACGTTTTAAACATTTTTCCCTACCTCTACTATACCTTATGGTAATCTATTATTTTGATTCAAAATACTGAATTTCATTACTGAAAGAGCCTGAATGAATGTTGATTAAAAGACGTTAATCAAATATGTGTTATCTCAGCAGGAAACAATTCAATCTCTGAGTCAAAAGTCGTGAAGATAATCATGCCTTGATCAGCTTGACAAGTAACAATGGGACGCACTCATTTTCTTTGAGGAAAATTCTGAAAATTTAAAATACATTTATAATTAAATTTTGTTGCCTCCTAAGTTTAAATTAGTTAATATGAAGCACTCTGAAAACATTGCTTTAAAAAAAACGTTGACTTTAAGTCACATTCGTTTAATTAAAAAAGGGTATGGATGTAAAATAATCCACTGAGAGTAGTTAAATGTTTAAGTTTAATAAATTTAAACTTTAAAAAGCTACTAATCAGGCATCTGTCTTTAAGTGATTTTATTTTTAGTGTGCAACTGGCTGAAGTCTAGCAGTCCAGGGTGTGAAATGTGTGATACATATTAATTGCCCTTTTGAAAAACTGTAGAAGACACTCAGTAAGCTGGAATTTTTTTTGCATTGCTAAAGTCCCGTCCTCATCAGATTTTTTTGTGCCAGATGGTGGATAAGCTTACAGACAAAATACAGGACTTCCTGAAGCCCCACACTAGACTTTCTACATCCCCTCTGTCCTATAGGACACTAGCATGGAATTGTTCATCTATTACTTCAAGCCAGGCCTTTAAATTACACCACTAGTGTGGAGTCTTGTGCAAGAATAGTAAGTTTAGTCTTCCGTTCTGAGCATGTTTTGTTCTGCAGGCTTGCTGAGTTGGAAGCACCTGATTAGTCGCAACACGATGAGATGGTCTCTCGCTGCCCACGACATCTGCTTCACCAATTCTTTCCACTCGTACTTCTTCATGTTGGGAAAATGTATACCTGTCATTCGTGGAAAAGGGGTGTATCAGGTACGATACTTAGGTCTCAATACTCTCGAACTAGTCAAAATTCAGGAAATTATTTCTGTACGCTAAGTCTCAGGATCCTGAAAAACTTAGACAACTTATCTGTCACATAAACAGATTGTGATATGTTATTTTGTTTGATTTCATAAACAGTAAAATCTCTCACATTTGTTGGGTGCAGGTCCCCACTAGTCAGGACACAATTTAGTTTGAATAATTAAGATGAGAAAAGAAGTGAAATGAATAAACCTGTGTACAGTAAATACACTAAAAGATATCTTCATGAAACTGATTTTTGTGTTTTAAGTTTTAATGAAAAAAGTTTAAGTAAAACCACCCCATTCCCATGTAATCGTGGCGTAGCTTCTGGATCACTATGGTTTATTAGGAAATTACAAAAGTATATTACCAAGTATTGCCAACTGATACTGTCTTGTAGTTGAACTATTATGGTCTCGTGTCCCATTGACAATGGTTTAATGGTAGAGTGTAAAGACTGAACTTCCACCAGCTACACACACACTTTTAATTAGTTTTTAATCATGACCCCTTGTGTTTCGTGTATCGTACGACGAATCTTCACACTGTCCAGGTTGAAGATGATTCTCGCTTAATGTCCACGTAAACTTGAAAATTAAGCTCTTCAAAGACATGTTAGTTTAACTATAATAACAGGATTGTTTGGCAATATTTAAGGTAATATAAAATACTATTGTAATAAAACTTACCAAAAAAGTCCAAATTATAAATTACTGTACTGCTCGTTTTAGTGGAGGTCCAGTCATATAACACCTAAGATTAGATAAGTATTGATTTTAAAACAGAATAATAAGGCAATGTCCAAGTAAACATACATTTTTGTGGTATTAGTTGTATTGAATAATTGAGATTATCGTCACCTGTTGTAGGACGCCGTCAACTTTTGTATAGAACAGCTAGGCCGGGGTCAGTGGGTCCATGTGTTTCCTGAGGGCAGAGTCAACATGACTAAGGAGTTTATCCGACTCAAGTGGGGTGTCGGCAGAATGATTCTGGAATCTCCGGTCACTCCGGTAGTCATCCCTATCTGGCACATCGGGATGGACGAAGTCCTGCCTAACGATCCACCGTACATCCTCAAAACCGGGAAGAAGGTAAATATTTCTTGGAGTAATCATCGATCAAAGATTAAATTGGAACATGTGGATAAAAAGTTAAGATCATTCTTGTTTGGTTTTTTATTTATTTTGTAGATTGCATTGATTAATATTAGAAAAATAGTATATATTTCCCTTATAGGATCTATCTTGAGGTATGGGGAAATTCAACAAACACTAACACTAAAAAGACGTTTTCAATGAAAAAAAAAAATCACTAGAACTTTTGGAAACACTTAACTTTAGAGCTTCTCTTGTAAAAAACTACTTTAAAATCAGCCCATATTAAATTTTTCCAGTGGAGGCTGAGGGACTGGAGTGTAAAAAAAAACCCTAGTGAAAATGGAGCTTCATGGTTCTTCCCAAATTTAATTTATAAAATTTGCAAACACTTAGTTAACATTGAGACTTATAAGAGGGGCTTGGGCCCTCCTTGGTCATATTATTGATGGACGTCCATGAGTACAGAACTAAAAACAAAAACATCTACAGTTTAGGGGACATAGGATAGCAAAATTTGGAAAAAACCCCTTTACAGTGTAAAAATTATAAATTTACCACAGCTTTAAAATTTTAACAATTGGCAGTGAATGTTTTAAATGTTAAATTAAAACTAAGAAAATTATAACTATAATAATTATAATAATAATACTGGATAAAGTGTATTATTTCACCCCATACTTAGCAGACACCTCTCAGGGTTGATAAAATTGTACATTTGTGTTGTTGTTTATCTGTTAATAGAAATGTTTTTCCTAATTAATTATGTTCGAAAGTAGATTAAGTATTATTGTATTTATTGTAAGTATGTATGAGCAAACAGATTGAGATTACATTATAAAGTAGATTAAATTAATTGACTTAACACCAGTTCCTGCTATAAATATTTTATGTACAGTAGACTCCCTCCTTTGACTATTAATACAACAACCTCCCTCTTATCCGGACTCCTCGGGACCTAGGCCATTCCGAACAACAGGTTTTCCGGTTAAACCGACTTTGCCAAAAACACGTTAAAACGGACCGTTTAAATGCATACTGTATAGACATAGACATAGACATAGACATATTTTATTCATGAATTAAGTACAAATTATACAATGTACATCTCAATCGTCAAATACATTATAATGGTATAGTAGCATTTAAATCAAAACGAAAAATTATTTAAATAGTTAAATCTATTTTATTCTAAATATTTAAACAAATAAGTCAAATAAAAATGCCATGTTGAATGAGATCAGGCAGACAGGAATTCTTCGGTACTGTAAAACTCACCTTCCACCAAATAATTTTTCAGTAGTTTCCCAAAACCATTAGAACCCAACCTTGAACTGCACTGCTTTACTTCTTCAGGAAGCCTATTAAAGAAAAATGGGCCCGAAAAATTTGCATTCCTTTCAGAAAGGGTCAGACGATGACATGGAGTACGAAGATCTTCTCCATGCCTAGTGGGGTATCTATGACATTGACCAACCGATGGAATATCCTTCAGATGATTTACTGCAGACATTATTGCTCTGTAGATGAATATAGAAGGCAAAGTTAAAATGTTGTTCTCCCGGAAGACTCCTCTGCATGAATGGAGTGGTGGTAAGCAATTGAGGATACGCACTGCCCTTTTTTGTACGGTAAAGACCTTATCACCATGGGAAGAACCACCCCAGACTTCAATACCATAAGTCATGACTGAGAAAAAACAACCATAGTAGACTGCAACTAACATTTCCCAGTCAAGAAGAGGTTGCAACGTCCTAAGTGCATGGCAGATGCGGTTCAACTTGCAACAAAGCTGTGATACATGATTGGACCATGACAACATTTTATCCACAGTTAGACCTAAAAATTTCACAACAGAGCACTCTTCTATCTCGAACTTATTCAACGAGACGGATTCAGGAATCTTATTGAGAGTTAGGAATTGCATGAAAACGGTATACCACCCCTATATTTTATTTGACTTAAATTTTGGAGAGCATTGTATTTAGACACGTGATCACTGGTCTCAAATCTTTCCCACGAGAACTGTCGTTTCAGTACTGCCCACTTCCTGCCGATCTAGTCCGGTTAGACCGATGTGCTGATAAAAATTGTCCGGCGAAAGAGTTGTCATTTCCGCCGAGTGCAGTCCGGTTAAAAGGTGTCCAGATAAGAGGAAGTGTACTGTAACGTTTTTCTTTTTTTAAATAAATGTTTTGATTTAAAGGTGACCTTCAACTTCGGCAACCCCATCGAGCTGTCGCCCCTTCTCGAGAAACTGAGGGTGTCCAAGTCCAGCGAGGAGGAGGCGAGGAAAGCCATCACAGATAAAATACAAGAGGAACTGCTCAGGTTAAAGGAGACAACCGAGGCGTTACACGAGGAGCACTTTCGGTCGTGACCGAACAGTCGTTAAAATTAGTCCTCATTCCCTCCCTCTGCAGAGTGCCTAGAAAGTTTTGTTTAGTTTTTATCGGATTCGTCCTCGATCGCTGTTGTCCGAGCCACTTTACAGCTTGACAACGAGTCAAAGGAGCTCGAGTATGATCGTATACACGTGACATATTGTACGGTTTTAACGCATTTATCGCGACTCTTTGTTTTATCAAGTTACAGCTGGTTTTTTTATTTTTTTACTAGATTTAAAAATTTACCTTTTATGCTTATAACCCTGTCAAAACATGATATTGTAGTTTAGAACATAGCAGTATTGTGGAAGTACTTTAAACTGGATACATAATTGGAACATGTGTGGTTAGAAGCAATTCGTATAACGTTTACATTGTTTAAACCGATTATTTGACATTTGTTGGTGGTTGATTTGTAAAGCAATGTTACATGGCTGTGACAAGTGTATTGTTGCTGTGTTGGAATATTCTAAAGGTTATAAACCTGGGCAGAAATAGACTTACTATAAAAGTCAATTTGAATTTGGTAAAAGTTGCTTAAAAGCATCAAACATAGATAAATCTGTACAAGCAACTTTCATGGAAAATTTACACGTTGATTGTCCTGAAGTGAAGAGTTTGGTTGGGAAACATTTAATCGTTGACTGTTCTTCTACATTAAGTAATCAAAACATCCTTAACATCACTGCAATGCAAACAAGTATAGACCTGAACAGTTTTTAGGGAAATACAATTTCCCTTAAACATGATCATTTTAATTGAGAAAGGCGAGCGGTGCTTCTGTTTTAAATTTATAAATGAATAGCCTAAAGTCAAACTAAGTGATTTTCTTTAAACTATATTTGAAATCTATTTCAGCTTTTGTACAGTTTAATATTTTGTGTCTATAAATATGATGTTATTGTTTTTGTATTTATCAGTTAAAAAAATGTATAACTACATATTATTCATCCATGAAGTGTGTAAACATATACTACAACCTTTACGGTTTTGCATTTTTATCAGTAAACCTAAAAGGTACTATTTAGTTTTTTGTGAAGTGTGGGCATTAGGCACCCTGTACAAGGTTTTGCTGGAAGGTATTTGGTGTAGGTATGATAAGTGGTTTTGAGTTTTAAGAAGTGGAAATGTTTTACTTAAAACTTACCTGGATTTAGTTTTTATTGTTTTGTATTACCTTTGTGTGAATAATTGCTTTAAGTTTTTTGACAAAAAGAGTTTTAAATGTTAATATAGACATTAATATTGTGGATCTTCTCACTTCTATCACCCATCTTAGATTTCCCGTGGTATTTTTTTTACAGTCATCATGTAACTTAATTTTTTTTTCTATTTAATTAAATCTTATGATTTTTTGGTTATAAATATGTATGTTATTACACCCTTATAATTAAATATTTTGATAATGCTGAGAAAGATTCATTGATTTGTTTGATAATTGTAAAGGAATATTTTAGAGTTATGATTCAATGATTTGGTGTATGCTTTATTTTACTCAATGATGATTGCTGATTTGTTTTCTTAAAGGTCAGCCCACACCTTTATAGTAATTATTTTCATTTCCCCACTAGATAAATCTTCATAGGTAGTGCTATAGATGTTTTGTTTTGTAGCACATGAATTGTTGACATATGTTTTGCTGCTTTACTACAATGTTTAAAAAAGCTTTATTCTTTTATAATCGATCCTTGTTGTAAACCTTGTATACTTAACATTTTAAGATCAAAACCGTTACGAAACAGTTTGAGCAATTTGTTTTTTCTATGGACCAATTTTGGGTCCTATCAGTTGCCATGAGTTTTATTACACAATATGATTATTACGATATTTTTGTATAAATGAATGTGCTATATTCAAGTTTTAGTCTTCTACATAAAGATAGTATTTGTGTCTAAGAAAATGGAAATTAAAATACGTTCGATGTTTTTCTGGAGTTTCAATATGACAAAATAAAATATTTAAACCGCTTGTTTACAAACATATTCATTGGTAAGTAATTGATACATAAATACATTTGGTACCTCACATAGTAAATATTGTTGTCAGTGGTACCAAAAGTATTTTTCAAGCTGCAAGATTATCCAGGACTAAGATTTTCAAATCGAAACTTGTTGCAAAATCAACTTTGTTTTTAATGATTTGAGATTTACTGGTTCAAAACCAAGCTATGAAACCTGTAAATTATTTGTTATAGATCAATCGTTAATTTGATATAGTTTACATTGATAAGTGATGATTTTTAAGTTCAGGCAATGAATCTGTACAGATTGTTAAGGGTAGAGATAATTTCAGTTTGTTTTGTTGTTATTTATTGTTATCGCAATACATAGGAAAAATGGTTGTAATTGTTGTATTAGAAAGTAATATTAAAGAGTTCAAAGTTAATGAAATCTTAAATTCTTAATCCCCATTAGGGTGAATATTGTTATGTTACGGCTCTTTCAAATGAGGCCACCAGTCGCCCTGCCGCAGCTTAAACATTGTTTTAAATGGGAGCCTTCATACATGGCCACCCAGGACATAGTGGACGAGCAGTTACTCCTTGCGCAACTGCGAGCCGGCAACCGTAGTGGTGGCCACTCGTTGCGAGTTACTGGAATAAATTGGGAGTTTTCAGACATCCACTAGTGGCCACCACCAAAATCATGGAATCTCCCATTTTGGGTTTAAATGAAGTAGCTGTATCATGTGGTGGTAGTATCTGTATATAACATCATAGACAAAAAGAATTAAATAGACTGTCAGCTGTGCTGTGGTTACCATGATTACTATAGGTTCTGGCGCACACCACTGGGAGCGCCGTGTAGTTACGTAGCGCGTAGGCTGAACTACATGGAGCTCTCAGTGGTGTGCGCCAGAACCTATGGTAACCGCAGCACAGCTGGCGGTCTATATTTAATTCTTTTTGTCTATGATAATATACAGGGTGTCCCACGTAAGGTGTTTTAAATTGATTACGGAAAAACTACGGAATAGATGTAGTGTACAAGGTGTATGGCATACTGATATAAATCGGAATTAGGTGCTGAGACAAGCTCCGTGGCTTGTATAATGTTAGACCTGAGCCTGTGATCGATTCCTAGACTTTCAGAGCCCCCAACCTATGTTTGCTGCTATCAAAATTGATTGTAAAACCTTGCTGGGGTACAGAGGACGGATATCTTTTACCAAGACCAGAAAGCAAGCCAAGCCAGCTTTGATTACACTAACTCAACTGCTAATATTGAGACCTTTCAAACTAACCTCTTTAAAGTTGCTAAAAGAGAATCCAGAATTGTAGAATAAGGAGGATAGCAGCTAGGTTACCATGAATTAGTACAGGTAGGCCATAGAACATAACAGAAAAGACACTGAACACACAATATTTCATCTCCGGGGGGACTTTGTCAAGTGTAGAGAAAGTGAAAGAAAAAGTGAAAAAGAGAAAGCAGTCCAACATTATGGGTAGGTAAAATAATTCTAAAGAAGATTGTATAAACACTTGACAAGTTGAAGAAACTTCTCTGAATATCTAAAGACAATTAATTTACCTATCTAATAAATCAGGTAACTAAACAAACCGTCACAATGGTAACATTAATTTAATGGCAATAGTCTTTACAATGATTCACCAATGACTACAAAGTATAACATTTAAAATAAACTTAAATCCATTCGTAACAAATAAAATAACATGAGAAGATGGTTATTAACATGACATATAGTAAAATCACAATTCGTAAAAACTACATAGATTTGTAAAACATTCAAAATGCGGATTAATATTACATATACTTATTGTTATCACATTTAATATATGCCTAATAAAAATATAGCTATATATGGTCAATGAGATATATGCTTACGATCAAACTGTTACGATTACCTAATGATAATATAAAAATAATAGGAGCTGCTCATCCGAGTTGTTAACTGCTTGGGGTGGTTAAAGTCATAATATTTTCATTAGCATTATGATGAACAGGCAAAACATACTTTAACGCTGTTGGTTACTGATGGTAAATGCATATAAACATGGTATCAGTTAAAAAACCAGTTTAAAATGCTCACCTCAAACCTTTTTATTCTTTCATTTAAGTTTGCTAAAATTACTATTTTGGTACATCTACATATGACCATAAACAAAAAGAATTAAATATAGACTGTCAGCCATGCTGTCTGTGGTTACTAGGTTCTGGCGTAAACCTCTGGGAGCGTCGTGTAGTTACATAGCGCGTACACCGTAACTACACGGCGCTCCCAGAACCTATGGTAACCGCAGCACGGCTGACGGTCTATGATAAGAATTCTTTTTGTCTATGATAAGACTCACTTCCTGTCATTTTAGATGTTACTATCTTGATATGTTTCTTTATTGATTATATACCCCCAGGATTTTACTTGTTGAAAACACTCAATTTCAACAAAAGAGCAAAATTTACATTTCCGACTTTTCAAACCAAAACACCATTCCAAAGCCAGCTTTGCAAAGCAAACTCATAAAAAAAGAAAATAGAGGAAAATATGTTTAAAATTAAAAAAGTGAAATACTTGTGTCATTATCACTTGCATAAAATCTATTAGTGATTTGCAGGATTTTAACCTGGGACCTCGGGGATCAAAGTCCCTTTCTCCCCTAGACCTGCTTACAAATACAATAGGCATGTAGTTCATCCAATGAATAAATCGCCCCAGAATTTACGGTAGAAACCTGGTAAAACCTAAAGTTTTTCATTAACATCATTTTATCAGCAACACACATAAGAGGGTTAAACCATTTTTCATATTTCAGTTAACAACATGACTTGCCATTATGACTTTAACACTCCTAGAATAGCTGTTGTAGCTTCAAACATGTGCTATATTTATAACAGTGACTACATAAACCAAGTCTTATATTAAAAACAATTAAATACCTTATCTTACCATACCATTGTACAAATATAGGACTTTGGTTTACAAACTTACCAATAAAAATTGTACTCGAAACAGATTGCCAACTGAAAGCTGTTAGTTGACAATAGTTTTTAATAAGAAAAAATAAAATCTGAAATAATTTTAAAACATTGTTAAAATATATAAATAAAAAACAACTGGATTCGGTTTAACAAAAAATATCAAAACTTTAAATTGTAATATCGTATTAAATAATTGCACCATCTAGTTCCTGTGCTCTTCTAAGAGTTTTCTGCACATTAAAACATTAAAAATATTAAAGCTTTTGTTATTTTTAAATATTATAAAGAGACTACTACTCCTCAGTTCATATAAAAGGAATAAAACTGTGCATCCTTATCTTAAAGTAAATCATCTCAACTTCTGTTTAAGCTTAAAACATTGAACAATTACTTAGTCAACAAAATAATTTTTTTTAAGGAATTCTACTTATTTTTTTATAACAATTATAGTTGGTTTTTATGTCTTAATAAGAACTAAAATTTAAACTTTTCATGCCAAATAGCACTCTTCAGAGCAGCCAGTCTGTAAAACGATATCAATTAAAATTAACATGTTCAAGTGGCAAAAAAACCACAGCAGTCAAATAAAGTAGGTTAAGTTTAAGAACGGGAAAGGTAAGATTATTATTTTATGGAGTACGTTTTTAAATGGTGAGCAAATTTTCGTACAAAAACGCTGTGTACTATCGGTTGCAGTTCAATATTGAAATACTAAGTATCGATATTATTTCGGACCAAATGGGTTCGATTCAATCGATTAATGGTTGAATGAATATAATCATAATGAATACCATATTACTGCAACGATACGTGGTGCAGCCATCAGTGTTTGGTGAAGTGGATAGCGTACTCGGCTGATGTCCATGAGGTAACCAGATCAAATCCCACTGGTGAAACTAACTTTTTGTCAAAGATTTTGCTTAGATTGCGATTACTTCTTAACTGTACATCTTTTGTTAGAGTTTGAGGCATTTATAATTATATTTTATGAACAGAACTATTTTTCGGTTAGTAAACCTTCATTCAATTTTGTCATTATCTAATGACAAAGTAGCAATTTTGTTTAGTTAGGTTAGGTTATGACAGTTTAATTTTATAATAGAATGCCCTCATTTCGTTCCTATCACAATAAGCCTCTGACCGATCTGTGACAAACGACAACTACTATCGCATCGATACTATGGATGATGTCGTGATTCAATAGAGTAACGAATGATAGTCGCGAAATCGTTCGGCGTTTTTTAGACGAAAAAATGCTCACCTTTTTAAACGCATAGAGTTTAACTGTTCACTGTGTTTAACTGTGTGAAATGAACTTTTATCAGCCATATAGCATTCACTTAAAATTTAACCTAAAATTATAATTTTAAAGGATAACTGCAAGACACATATCAGTAAACTTTAGATTTTAATAAAGGCTATCCATAAATTATGAAATTCAATTTATACGATCAAAATCGTGTGTTTTGATGTGAAAAATGTACTGTAGTTTCACATTTACAATCGCCTGAGATTCAAAAACCAAAGCCACTGTTACTCTCATAATGGTGTTTTGGGTTTAAAACAAAGGTTACAATTTACAATACATCATTCTTTAAATGGCTTTTAAAAACATCAATTTAATTTTATTTTAATAATCCAATTATCTTGCTCAAACAGGAATTTGTGACTTATAAAAGTACTTTGAAAAAAATGTTAGTGGAAGGTACAGTTGTAGGAGTAAATTTAGGTTTACTTAGGACTTGTCAGGCATGAATAAGATTCAAACTAAAAAAAAGAGTCTTACAAACTAAAATAAATGAATTTTTGAAAAATAATACCGGTAGAGAAAGTTTGAGTCTAGGGATTAGTACACAAAGGTAAAAATATTACTGATTTCCGTCTCAATATCTACTCTCTGAAGGAGTCCAGTGTTACGTTTTGTAAACTTTTATTGTATAAGTAACCTCTGGACACAATTTTTTTCAGGTGGGCAATCTTTACTCTATCCATAAAAAATTACCTGATCAGCTCCTTGACTTAAAAAATGTAAACTGAATGAATATTGATGGCATTGACCAAGTTGACTCACCAGTTGAAGGTTAAGCTTGAGGTTTGGTCCGGCGCAGAGAGGACTTGTTGAAGTTACAGATAGACCCGAGTAGAGCGTTGCGTGAGTTGTCCACCGCAACAGCTGCAACTGGTGGTGGGAGAGGGGGTGGACCTGGTCACGCAAGTTAAATTAAGCTAATTTTTAATGATACATGATATGAAAAACATGTAAAACACAAGTCAACTGCCGATTAATGTGACAACCGGTTGCATCGGGTCGGTATAACTATGCTGGCATGGGTGACATGCTGACATGTTGATTTGATCGGACGGACACCCCATCAACACCTAGCGGTAGTCAAGTGTACTGCAACCGAGTACTTATTGCCCTTACTAGAAAGCGTTGAAAGCAGTTTCTGGGTTAACATGGCCAAGGAACCCTTAGTGGCTTGGCTATTGAAAATGCTTCCTCTTAACACAATACTGAACCTACTTTCTTACAAACTCTTTACTTGTGAGTTCATGAAACAGTCTAAATGATTAAAAAGTTAATTACTAGTACGGACAGCCATTAATTATAAGTCCTGGGTATTAGCAAAAGGTATTGCCATAGACCGGACTCAAGTAGACTTCTCATCCCATTGTAAGATCTGAAGCTTCTTTTTCATGTCTAGTTCATGTTCGTTGGAAGTACTAGTGTCAAAGAAATCTTAAGTTAATTTTATAATTTGAGCTTTACTTTATGGTTGTACAGTTTTGTTCAAGAAAAGGCTCTAGGCCGGGATTTTAATTGTAGAATAGGAGGATATCAGGTAGTGTACTGTACAGGTAGGCCATATAACATATACACATCATAGTCTTACACACACACTAGTTACTTGACAAAGTCCCCTCGGGGACGAAATATTGTATGTTCAATGTCTGGTTTGTATGTCCTATGGCCTAACTGCACTTCATGGTTATGTAACCAGCATACAAGCTATTGTTTTGTTTATGCTAGTTTTATTTGGTTAAACAAGGTTCAAATAAAAATTTTTTTTAAATAAAAACATGCCGCTATCAGCACCGAACGGAACTAAGATTAAAATTGTCTTCAGCTGATTCTTAAGGATGGCAAATCTAGTAAGGGAGTAAGTTTAATTTATGGTATGTCACATGATTGGTCACTAATCTCTGGGTTGGGGTTGTTATTGTGCAAGTCATTTACCAACCTGAGGGTGGAGTTATGGTGCCAGCCGAGGTCGCAGTGCTCGTACTGTTCGGACTGTCGGATCTCTCCGGCGACAAACCGTTGCCATTCACCAACGGCCCTCCCTCCAGCGACTTATCTTCTCTTTTCTGAAACGTAATAAATTTGCAAAACGATTTTCATATTGTAGGAAATGATCAATTCAAGTTACTGTTCGACAATACAGAACTCTTATTAGAATGTTGCTGGTTAGATTTGGCCAAGGATCAATTCCAGACCCAGATGCCATTAGTTAATGACTATACCATGAATTAATGATATTATCCAACAAAAGATTAACTAACATTAGCAAAAAACAGGGTTTGAATGATCATATTATTATTATTATTATTATTATTATTATTGCTGATGGTAATAAAATGATAGTAATTAATTATTTACTAATGTTATTTAGTACGTTGGTCACAAAAGAATATTCCGGATAGATATAGGTCCTCTGACCAAAAAAGTTTGGAAACAGCTGATAAAAAATACTATGCAGAACAATGTGTTGTACTGGATCAAGGTAAATCTAAAGAATAACCTAAGGCCATAATGTTGGTATACACAATTTACCACTCTATGTTTCTTCTTGTCCTTCACACTTTCCTCTTCTGTGTTAAGAACCTCTTGCATCTTGACCAGTCTTTTTTGATGTCTTATCTACAACAACATTAATGTATAAGCATTACAAATATAACAAATGCATTACTATAACACCATAAAAAGCAATGAGTCGTTGTAACAGAATGCTTGATGTTTTATCAAATAAATTTCTGTATGCTTAGGTTTTTGCGGCAGAAGTCAGTATCTTTTGATTTTTTTAAAATGTCAACCCTGTCGTAAATTGAGATTTAGTAAAACAAGATGTCTTTGATGTAAAGTAGCGTCCACAGAAAGTAAGTATCTAGCGCTGGATATCATCTGACGACACGGTTAATGCAAAATATATTGATGAATTTGAACCAATGAATGGTAAGGGTAAAAAAATCAGACAATCAGTAACACTTTACGGAATAATATTTTCATCACGCTTGAATAATAGTGTTTATTATTGCAGAATGCAGAATTAACAGAAATGCTAAAATGCAAAATAACAGGTGCACAAAAATATACTAATGCTCATAACTTCAGAAAAGGAAGGACCACATTTAAATTGATGAAACCTTTCATAAAAATGTGTACCAAAATATCTCAAAACAATACAACAATACGACTGCAAGACTGTTTTGGTTAATAAGACACAAACGCACCAGAGGGCTAATTAAGCTTGAGCAAAGGCCATGTTTTTTATTACTAAAACTAAAATGGTACCAAGAATCTTGAGTTAAATGATTCAGTACAGTGTATTTTCAACAGTGTATTGAAAATTCAAGTTTAACCTTACAAAAAAAAAAAAAAAAAAAAAATGTAAAGGCAATGGCCTAGATAAGACAAATACTTTTTCTGATAAGTTAATTGTTTTATCGATTCCTTCTCTCAAGTCTTCATCACCCTCGGTGTAGTTGCGGTTTGGGGGTATGGCCTTAGGAGAAAAGGTGGTGTGGGGGTAGCGTGGAGTATGCGCACCATTCTGAAAACATCGTAAACACACGTTGTTGTTGTTGGTCATAGTCCTCTAGTATTGTGTGGACAGCGACCTATGCTTACTCATCTGCCGCCTGAGCTAAGTTTTTTAAAAAGCTAGTAGCGCAGTAGCCTCCCGTCTTTATGGACAAAACATGTTAAACTCAATTTACGTTACTTTAAAGATTTGTGTTTACTTATACAATTGATTTTTTTTATATATCAGGTATGAGGGCCCTATAACCAACATTAATCTGTAGGGGACAAAAGTGTTAACATTAGATCTTAACAAATTCCATCAGGAGCAAGGGACTTCTGAGGCATGTTTTAATGTTTTCACAGGGGTGAAGAAGACTGTTAATGTAACCAACCAAGCACTCCTACAAATAATAAGTCCAAAAAATTCTTGTAATCACCTTCTTCTGCTCGTCCTTGATGCGGGCATCGGTCTGCTGGCAGGCACCCTTGAGAGCATCTCTGGTGTGAGAGGGAAGCTTGAAGTAGCAGTGGTCTATAGGAGGCTGTCCACTGAACACAGGTAGTGACAACAGCGACAGCAGACTAGGCATACCTGTCTTGCAGGCACACGACGACAGTATGGATTCCAGGACCGGCCCTGCAAAACACCACGGATATATAAAACAATACAATTCTTTACCTAAATCATTTTAAATTTTTTGGTAGCTGATTCATCTAAGAAATTAGAAGTGCGAGTCAGTTGCCAAACATTCTATCCCCATTAAGTCTTGGCTCTATATTTTATTTCGTACAACCATGGTGCAGGTTCATTTAGTTGACGATTGTGGTAATAGCTATAGAAAATAAGATTTTATTGCAACAACCTGCTTGCCACCAATAGGCCTGAAAACTCCCTCTTCCTAAGTTGGAAAAACTGTTAGTGACAGTGAAACTAACCTCTTCCAAAGTTGAAAGTGGCAGTGACAATATTTCAATGTTTTTGTGTATGATAAAGTTAAGTTTTGTGTCCCATTTTTGACCCTCAAAACATAAAAAAATTCAATATTAGGTATTCCAGAACCATTTTGTAGAGCTTTAAAGCAAATAATTTAGTATATTGAAGCGTTTTAGTAGGCCAAATGATTAGAGAGAGAATTTGTTTGAAAACTAAATTTTAAATTCCTTTACTATTTGGAAGAAGAATATAGGAATTTATGAATATATTTTGATCAAAATTGTCAAACTTCTTTCTTTCATTCTATACTTTAACATTTGATAAAAAAAAACTTTGTTCTTTCCTTGTAGCAGCAAACCTAGGTACTCATTAAACATAATTTTATTTAAGTAGGAAATTAAACTGACGAAGAAACTATTTTAGTGGAAATCCAATCTAAGGGAAATTCACTCAGTCTGCAGGTTTGCTGATGGGGGTGTTGTAACTTACTGATAATAGGGGGGCAGTTGGGTGGGAGGTTATCACAGACAGACTCATGTAATGGATGGCCGAAGGTCATCTCGTACAGGACGTGACCGAAGCAGTACACATCTACAGCTTCCAGTGTGGATATCTTGCGGTGTTGCATGAAGAACGGCCGATAGAACGACGGCAGACCCAACACACCGTTCTCTATCTCGACGAGCTTCACAACGTCGTTCTGCAGCATCACGTTGCCGAGGTGAAGATGGCCTGCAACACAACAGTGTTTTAGTTTTGACATTGTTCCAAGGGTGGATTTATTGACCAAATTTTAATTACTCAATGAGTATTTTTATTCACTTCCTCCTTAACCCAATATTTGTACAAAAAACGTATCTGCAAATGTGAGTGGATGATCATGGGCTAGAGGCCCAATGATATAATTTATGTGATATTTAATACATGGACCTAGAACATAATAATGTGCAACAATTTTGAAGATATAGGGTGAATATTACTTTCATAAGGAAATATTATTTTCTACTACTCTGGAGAAATGTATTAGGTGCTTATAAAATCATGAAATAAGACTAACGGCTGATTTTAGAGCCATTACAGTACTTATTACTTAAGGTTATATTTCAAAGGAGAGCCAGGTGGCTAATTAGAAATTATTTTGATAAAATAGAGCCTAAACTATTTACCTGAGAAAATTCGAGTACATGGGCCACGATAAAATATCACAAAACGGAACACCAATATTTTGCCCTAATAGGATTTATTCAGAGGGTAGATGAGAGCACAAACTTCCACCCTCTACTTACTACGAAGAAGTCCTATGTTTAGGGATGAACGGCAGTGTTGTATTAAGTAACATTTAATAGTTTTGTGTATCTATCAACCCCTGGACTCTAGTTTTCTCATGTAAGCTATCTGCACTTTATCCCCTAAAAAAATCATATTTGCAACTTAGAGAGTCTCATATGTGGAAGCTAAGTATTTAATTAAACAATTGGATTAAACTATTAGGTGAAAAATCATAACACAAAAACAATACACAAGATAAATAATATTCTATTGACTATCGATTAAACATATTCTGTATATTAACTCGTGTCGCATAGTACCGTAAGGTATGCCCTTGTCATGCAGGAACTTGAGACCATGCAGGATCTGTGTGGCAACAGAAACAACGCGAGCGAGAGGCAAGGCACTGCGCAGTCGAGGGTTGGAATACTTCTTGAGGAAGCTCAACTTGGGCTTGCAGTGGCAGACTGTGTCGCGCAGACTGCCATCGGGTGAGAATCTGCGGACGACGTAGCCACCTGCGTCATGACAGGCGAGCATCTCAACACCTCCGATGTTGGGGTGCTACGGACACATCAGCTGTTAGAGCCTGATAAATTTGTTTTCTATTTTAATATTCTAGAATGCCATTTTACGGACTATTTCAGGCTAAGAACACAGGGTCTAAGCATTTTCACATAGCAAAAGTCGTCCATGACTGGCAGGATTTTAACCTGGGACTTTGGGAACTGTAGACCCACTCTCCAATTCCTGGAAACAGATTGTGTACATATATTCATTCTTACACTTATAATGTAACTACAAGAACTTAGCGTTTTAGTTGAGCAACGAAGAAAAATATTAATTTATGAAGATGATTAAAAGTATGAATTTAAATGAATAATTGTGTATTTTAATTACAGTAGAACCTTGATAACAAGAGTAGTGTAGGGAGTATAAAATAAGACTTGTTATCAAGGTTGACTTCTTATAGAGGTTTGCAATAACATGTGATTATGGGTAAAATAGTTTCAAGGTGATTTGAAAATGACCCTTGTTATCAAGGGTGACTTGTTATCGAGGGTCTTCTTATCGAGGTTATACTCTGTATTTTAATGTGTGCAGAATTTGAATTACGCAATGAAACTGTATCTCATGTGAACGTGCTTGTTGTCTCAATAATGCAGCTTAACCACGAAAAACCCTTACATCAATGTCCTAATTATGTTTGTTGAGCATAAGAATTATTTCATTGTTACATTGCTGATTGAAACTGTAGTCATGATATAATGTGCAATTCATTATCATAGTTTCCTTTTAAAACTTGATTAAATTGACGTACAAGGCTGCTTTGTCCACTATGTTAATTCCACACTATTAACTATTAATTGTTAGTGTCTTGCCATTAGAATTTTTAATCAAGGAATCAAATGCTTTTAAGGGAAAGCATCCTAACCCACCAAATTGTTGTGGAAATGTCGTTGATCAAACTAAAACGGAATTCCAAGAGGTTACAGTAACCGCTAGGCTAGCAACAGACCTAAGACTTTCATGCTAAGTTTAAATAACCAATTGTTTGTAAAAAAAGTTAGTTAGCTCCACCCCTTTCCTGAAAAAAAGTCCTGGCGTAGGCCTAATAATCCTATTAACCAAAAAGTAAAAAAATAAATTAATTAACCGATATAATTATTGTATTCCATACCTGTAGAGTCGCCAGCCCCTTGAGCACCGTGTTGAGCTCCTTGTCAGTGAGGTACTTGTCTGGGCCGTACTCCACCCAAGACAGTAGTAGTTCCTCCTTGGCGTTGCTGCGTCGCTTCACTTGGTAGTAGTGTTTCCGCAGCCGCCACCCGATGTCCGGCAACGCCTTTACCATCTCGTAGTCCACCTCGCCTCGCAGCACCATCGACACATGCTGCAGAGCCGTCTCTGCAATTACACTTGAATTATAGGACCATTGACTTTATTGTATCTTTAACTATGTCCCACCTTCACATGCTAGGATAATAGGCTCTAGCTTGGAAATATTTTACACATTACTCCAGACTAGGCCTATAGGGTCACAGAATTATCGTAGCAATAATCATTGGTAATTGGATTAGAACCTGGGACTTCAGGATCAAAGCCCTGTGCTCTACTAGACCAGTGGACCCACACTTTTATTGAAGTAGACATCCCGTATGGACCAGCTGAAGATAATTTTTCATTCATAAAGAACATAGTTGCCGATGGAATGTGCTGCAGTTTAAGATTCCCCAACTAGTACTTCTGATAGTTGATGTGACATAAAAATGCTACATTTAAGTTGCATTAGGTTGTTTTTTTTCAGTTTGGATTAGTTGAAAAGTTGGGGAATTCAACGGAAATCAGTAATTGACATAAGAACACTCTGTCAGAGGCTGAATTCAACAACATAAATGTGTATACAAAAACTTGCTACGAGTGTAACATGAAAATGGAAGATCTAGTTTTACTTAAGTTTTAAAAAAGTTCTAGTCGTTAGTATAATTGTTGTGTATCTTTGAATTCCATTGTGGTATTTTATTGTTTACTTTAGTAGATGATTTGTATTAAACAGAAATGCGGTGAAATCTCATAAAAAAGTTTGAATAATCTATTTTTATGATTGTAAATGGTCATATAATATTGCTCCCCCAATTATGTTACTGTATTTGTTAACATTTCTAGTTGAATGTCTTAATATTCAATCTATAAGAGGGAAACAGAGTATTAAACATTGGTTAAAAAATAAAATAATAAATCGAATTAAATACTTTTAAATCCATTTGTACGATTGTTGAGGCACTTTGCGTAGTTGGCTGAAAATGTATGTGGTAAAGTAAATTGGGTTTTTAAAACGGTTTCTTTACATATAATTTTAAGAAAGGACTAGGCCACCCTAACTTTACCAAAAAGGAGTTTTATAAATATTTGCTAGACAGTCTAATCTGTTTGCTAGCAGCTTGTATATTTATTTATACAAGTAGTGATAATAAGAACAAAGAGCCCTTTTCTGTTTAGTTATCTAAGGCTTATCAGGGTTTTGATATATTGTCAAGCATTAAAGGATGAAATCACCATTTCACTGTGGGCAATTAATTCTTTAACTCATCAACTGAACTGGTTACAGTGAATTTTCCAAGGCTATTAGTTGTTATATTCATAAGTTAGTCAAAGTGTTAAAACCCAGGTTTTAGACCGATGCGTTTTTTAGTTTTAAGATCCAATATCTCTAAATTTGCTTGGACTAAAATATTTTTGTTAAAAAACAATAAACCTAGTTAGGAACAAATAATTGACAATGTTAGTTAGGGTACCTATGCTGGGTGTAGACCTACAGATAAAATTCCTTTTCCAACAATTTTGTTTTTAAATTTACATTTTGTGTAATGAAGCATCTGGAAATTTAATTTAGTCTGCATATTTGATCAATCATTTGTCAATCATTCATTGAATCATTTGATGTGGTTAGGGTGTTTTGAATTTCTTTGTTAAAGATTCACTAAACCTAAAGGGTTTACTACAAAAAAAAAAAAAACAATTAAATATCTTTTTGTTGAAGCACCAGATGTATTGTTAAAATTGTTGTTTGCCCAACTGAAAAAGTTGGATAAAAATTAATAACTTATTACCGACATTTTATTAAGAACATTACCAATGTAATCTATTTGTAGCTGATGCTTTTTAAACTTTTCAAGCATCAGCGGCACTTTGTGTAGGCTAATCAAGATTAGAATAAAATAAACTTTTAGTAACAAAAAATTAAATACCATGGAATGACGAGCTGTAATTATCAGGATCCAGAAATCGTTTGACAGGAAGTGAAGATGCCAAAATCGGATTCATGAGTATGTAATTAACGTATCGCTGAAAAGAAAATCATTATAAAAACACAAGACAATTATCTGAAATCTCATTAGTAAAATTTTACAATAACTATGTTAAAATTATTTTAAAATATCACTTTTTATAAGTAGTTTTTCTAATGAAAACCAATTTAATGCATTAAATGTAAATACACCATTTTTTCAAGCTTATTTTTATATACAAATAAGTTCAAACTTAACCGGAAATTCTTTTTCAGTGTAGGTTATGCCTAACAGAATGAAAGTGGTTTAAAATCCTAGAGTTTTTTTTTATTCTGTAACTTATATTCCTTTAACAGAATTGTTTCAAACCATCTTCGCTGACTAAAATTGCGGTTGAAACAAAACACCTCACCTGCAATCCCGCTTGTCTTTCAGCTATGAAGTCTTTGTCAAAGTTGCCGATAAGTTTCTTCGGAGGAAGAGGCAGGCTGAGAGCAGACGATTGCAAGGCTTGATGCAAACTGACAAAGTCATTGTAACGCTTGTAAACGTGCCATACATTGTCGTTGGTCGGACCTCTTTGCACTCTTATTATATATTCCTGAAATAGTTATAAATCATAGGTTACCTATACAGAACAACTAGGCCTACATCAACCTAAAGTTTTCAGCTCAAATTTCTTTGTTCGTCAAGAAATTTTGGGGGAAAATCTTAGTTATTTGGTTCACAAAGGATGACAAATAAAGGTAAACAAAGATTGGCTGTAATTACAATATTTATCAGCAATGAGGAATTATCAAAGAGGAAACCATCAGCTGATAAGCAGACTACAGATAAGGCAAAATGAATGAAGTTGTGGTTAGCTGATTGTAGTGGGTGATTTGTGTGGGCATTGTAAGGGGGAAAGGTTTTTGCTGTGGTAATGCTCTGCTATAAAAAATAAGTAAATAATAAATTATCTAAGCCCAATAAATATTTTTTCAATAAATTACAGGCCTATATTATGCAATTTCACAAGCTAAGTTGCAAAAATGATAACTTATCGTGCTAACCAGAATTTGGTAGTTCATATCATTTTGCTCAAAACATTTTTTTAAATTTCAGTATTCTTAGGGAATTTAACAGCCAATTAACATCAGTAATTGATTGTATTGGCAAAAAGTTAAAATTGAATTCTGTATGTATACAAATCTAAGTTAACTTATGTAGCCTAACCCTAACCTGTATTAAAGAATATATTTGTTAGACATAATAAACTTAGGGCATTCATAAAACCTTATAAAATTAGAGCTTTTTTATAAAGGTAGGCTGTAAGTTACAGCTAACTTAACTTAGCCCAGTAGTGTGAATGTGCTGATTACTCATGTGGTTTTTATGTTAGCCTACATAACAATTAACTTTACCAATTCATTTATTTGTTCTACTTTCCTTCAAGATCCTATTTCATTTAAGTAAATTCAATTGTAAAAAGTGTTCATTTTCCATGTCACAGCATAAAAATGAAAAATCAATACCAGACCAACTAACTTAACTCAAGTGTAACGTTTAAACCATTGCTACTTTAGGGCTTTGTACAATTTGTCACAAAAAATTGGGCAAGAAGAAATGTGAAACTTGGGCATATGGCATCATTCTATCATAGACCTAGGCTATAGCCTATCATCAATAGGCGTAAGTTATATCATCCAACCTGAGAAAGCGCTGGCTAATAGTTGATACATCAACACATTGCGAACGAAAGGACAATGACTGTTTGCAAACCCGTAACCTTACATCAGTTATATGCACAAAATAATAACTCGTTAACTTAGTATAACTAATCTGCTTTAAAAATTTGTTTATATAGGCACTGTAGGCTAAGCCTATAACTACAGTATTTAATTGCCGGTTACCTCAAAATATCAGGCCTAAGTTAGTGGGCTTGGGAATATTGCACCCAAACTAAGCCCAGAAAGAAGAGTAGGACTTGGGCTAATGATGGATCAAAATGGTTAATTTAGGGAAAGAGGGTCGTTAATGTGTGCCTTGGAAGAAAAAAATAAAATCAACTGGGCCTTTTAGGTATAAGAAACAACTTACAATGTGTCCATGAATGTTTTGAACATTGAGAAATGTGCAATAAAGGGGTTGTGTATCATCTAGATAAGCCTTTCTCTTCTTGTATTCTTTTTCAAACACTGCCATTGATAATGAAATGAACTTCCTTGGAAAGACATCACAGTGCGATGTCTTGATCCAGTGAAATGGTCAACTTCACCTAGGCCTAGCACCAGTTAAAACAATAATGTGCACTCGTTTGGATGAGAAAATTACAAATTTTCTTATTTGTTTACATGAAACACACAGTCTTAGTAGACATCTTCACAATGGATCAAAACCAAAACACAAAACTGCGCGTACGATCAATTTCACAACACATTCAATACCCTACGACAAGTGATGGAGAATATAAACAGGAGGGAACAATTTGACAATAGAGACAATAACATTAACACTTCAATTCATACACTTTGCCAATTCTGCTGGGGCTGGCTGAAAGGAAAGGCTGAACTAACTGCTGATTCCCCATTTCTCATACCAATACCAATACCAAATGACAACATATCATATGGTCGAGTTCCAGTGTTGCCACAAGAAGAATCCTTGTAAAATTAAAAATCTCAGTAAAACAATGTACTGTACTATATAATATGGTCACAGAAGTAGACTTCCCATCCTAGTAAAATCTAAACAACGGGGTCATGTTGTTTTTTTTTAGTGGTTCATGTTTATGTGGATAATAATTTGTTTATCTTGTTTTAGGGTTAGTTTTAAGGTTTTTGTGAATTTGAATTTCTTCTTTTACTTTGTTTATTTATTTTATTTTACATACCAACGGACGTTTTGTTTTCGCCAAAATGTTCGAGTTTGAGTGAATATCCATTTTCATTTTGCGTTCTCCTGAACCCAAAAACTCTTTTATGTCATAGGAAATTATGACTGTTAGTTGTTTTCAAATAATGCCTGCAATACTTTGCAATTGCTCGAATTCGAGCAACAGGTGCACTAGTATCTTTAAGTATGTGTTTTTTTCTTTCATTTTTTGGAAATTTTTATTTTCGATGGTTGTCTTCCATTAAAATAACGAAAAATCAAATTCCAACAAAAACGGCCGAACAATGATTTTTATCAAGATTGAGTTGTTAACCCTTAATTTGGCAAACAAATATTTTTTTGAAAACTACTTTTTCCTTGCAATATTTCAATCAAAAGGGTCCAAAGGAACTTCAAAAAAATAATTTTAAAATTCTTATAAGTATTTTTCACAATTTTTTCATGTGTGCCATTTTTGGCACTTTGCCAAAGATGCGGAGATTTCTCTAGGGATCTTATGTTGAATTAAATACAACAAGTTTATCTGTATAGCACTTAAAAATAAACTTTAGGGTTTGAATAAGTCGACATTATCACATATTGGATATCAAAATTGCATAACTATAATTATATGTAAGATATAAAAAAATCAATTTCTCCACAAAAGTTATCAATCCAATATAAAATGGTATAAACGTCATTATAAAAAATGAACTAAAATGTATACTCATGTAAAACCTCTACAAAACTATGTGATTACATTAGAAAATACATTATTATATAATTTATTGATATTTCATTAGTCATGCCCATTAGGAAAATCGTTTGACATTTCATTAGAGTATATCCTTCAAGAAACGTCATCTACTTTTGGTGAAACCCCACAAAACAATTGCTATTTTCTTTCAGTTACAGCCTCGTATTGCACTTTGAACACTCTATAGACGATTTTTTTATTTTTGCAAAATCTGCATCGACCTCTTGATGTATACAAAGAAAGGGTAGTGTCCAACACCATCAAAGCGTACATCTTCAACATACATCAGAGCAGCTGGTGTGAGAAGAAGTAAATCCTTGTCTTTTAGAACTTGTCTTTTACTCCTTTCTTTGGTTAGCGATTCAAAAATCCCATAACTAAAATTTTTTAGTGACATATTGTCTTGCTGGTTTTCAGTTTAATTATTTTAAACGTGGCAGCAATGCGTTATTTCACGATAAGTCGATACAGTGAGCAAATATTTGTGAGTACCAAAGTCTTTATCGGAATGCACACTCAACTTTTATATAAGAAGATTCGATTTCAGCAGGAAATAAAACTCTTTTTGCTTGTTGCCATGGATGGTCGGGATTTTGTGTAAAGCCAAAGTCTTTTCCAAACAGCCTAGTGAAAAATCTTTCCTCACAAAAACATTTTTATTTTACAATTTGTGCAAATAAGAGACATACATTTACAAATATAAAATACCTTTCACTGTTTTATAAACAGTGTGCAGCTTTAGGCACGCTCAATAAACTAAAAAAAAATAACTGCACCTTTGTAAATGTGCCATTTTTGGCACGCCCAAAAAATGTCAGTGTTCCCTGGTTCTTTGGCAATGTGCCATTTTTGTCACACTCAAATTGTTTAGTTTATAAAAAAATCAATATTCATATATAAGCTAATTACTGACCTGGGTTATGTTTTCTCATCTTTAATCTGTGCAAATCACTTAGATATATAAGTAAACAGCCTAAAATATTGAAATAAGAAGTAATTTACTAACCTTCTACACTAAGCCTCCATACTTCCTTTTCTATATGTTGGTCTAAAGTGATAGTAATTTTCAAAACATCCACTATAGTGCACTAAACCATAATAGCAATAGGCAAAGAACCTTTGGACGCCGTTTGTTGGAATTAAAAAGTTAACAGGCGAACGTGACATTTTTTTGAATCCTCATATGCCAATAATGGCACGCTGTCAAATTAAGGGTTAAGGCCCTTAGATTCCCAGGTAACAAAAAAAGCTTGAGAAAGGTTTGTCACAAACCTTTTTTGTCAAACCTTTAAACTTGCTACAAGTGTATAACGGCAAGCTTGTACACTTGGGGCAAGCTTGTAGCAAACCTCCTAGTTCCCATCAGACAAGCTTGCCACAGGCCTTCTGATTAAACTTGTCACAGGCCTTCTATACAAACTTGTCAAAGGCCTTCTGATTAAACTTGCCACATGCCTTCTGGTTAAACTAGCCACACACCTTATGTTTAAACTTGACACAAACCTTCTGTTCAAACTTGTCACAGGCCTTCTGTTTAAACTTATCACAGGCCTTTTATTAGAACTTAGAAACTGTAACAGATATATTTTGTTCCATAAAACAAATTAATAAATCATTGAAAATATAGCTCAGATAAAAATGAAGCACATTATGTTTATGTTTCATAGTAATGTATGTAAAATAAATTAAATTTTGTTTGGCCAACAAAACTTTTTACTTTGCCAGATAGAGAATGATAGGTTTTAAAAATAGACTTGGGACTGTAGGCTAATTAGAGATAAATGTGTTGGATCCTGTTTGAAAATAAAAGTAACTAATTACTAACTAAAAGCCAAAATAAAGCACTGAGCAATAAATAAATATGTTTTATGACAACTATTCATTTCATGGTAGAATACAATCATTTATAATTAAAAACAAAATGTGATGTTGAAAGATGTATTTTTTAATTCCTTATTAAATCCCTTTTGGCGCAAGTCCTATATGCATCTACGATTTTTTTGTTGAAGTTATAGGACTTTGAAATTTTTTTATGGAAAAGGTCATTTTGAGAACAACTATTTTGAAAATTTCAAACACACATAAGAACAGTTTTTTTGTATTTAAGAAATAAGTTTGATATCAAAAGAAAGCTTAATGTCCTCTTTGGAGGCAATACCTACTTTTGTCTTAACTCACGGTAGTTTTTATTTAAATAATTGTTTTATCGAAGCATTTCATAAAAATCACATTTCAGAAAAGGGACCTCTTGTCAACAAGTGTTATTCCTCCATAACATAAAAAAAGGTACCTCTTGTCAGGACCGCAAAATTTGTGAGATAAAATTTTGCTATCAGTAAACAAACTGAACTTTGTTGTACTGTAGTTCTCTAAATTTTCACTAGCATGCAGGACAATTCATTTTTTTGACTAAAGTCTGTTTATAAAGTGAAATTAGAAATGGGACCTCTTGTCTTTATAGCAAAATAACATTGATCGACAAGAGGTACCTTTTCTCAGACTGTGCAGAGGCTAACTAAAATTATTAACTTCGACCTTTTACAGTTTGATTCAATATTTTAATCGATACTGCCCTGCTCTATGTTAAATGAGGTCTGACAATCAATAAAAATATGAATTTCGATATTTTTGACCTTAATTAGGCCTACTTATATCGGCCGTACTGAAAATATTGGATCGCCGACAAGAGGTCCCTTTTAGCGAATTTCCCATATAGGGAATAAGCTATTACCGTAGTACTCACGGTAAGACCTGGACCCGGGACCGATTTTTTTTTTCGTTTTGAGGTCCCTAGAGGTCAAAAACACCATCCGTTCAAATTCATATATATATATATATTTATATATATATATATTTATATATATATGTGTCCGTTAGCGCGATAACTCGAGCAAAAATGATCCGATTTTGATGAAATTTGGTACAAACGTGTAAACCTACGTTTATTCGAACGAGTTCGCGAACCAGCATGATCGGACCATGGGAACGGGGGTTTATGGGGGCTTTTATGGGGTAAAAATGGGTTTTTCCCATTTATGACCCAAAAAACATAAAATTTTGCAATTTCTTTCGAAACTATTTTGTAGAGCTTAAAAAAACAAATAATTTAGTATATTGAAGCGTTATAATGCGCCTAATGGTTACGGAGAAAATTCCAAAAAATTGTAAATTTAAAATTCCCATGTTATTCTTATGGAGAATAAGTAAACTGTTGTAGTTTGCTTGTTTATAAACATATTTTGCCCAAATTTGGAAAATGTTTTTATTTCTTACTAACTATTAACATTTTACATAAAAAAACACTTTTACCCTCCCTGTTGCAGCAAACCTAAGTATGTTTTAAACTGATTCTATTTAAATAGGGAATAAATGTGATATTTTTAAGGAGACATTTTAGTGTAAATCCATTTAGGGAAATGGAAATTCGCTTAGTCTGCAGGTTTGCTGCGGCGGGGGTATTTGCTTTCCACATCATAAATGGAACAATTCCAATTGCTTTAAAAATTATGGATCAAAAGATATTTCAACATTATTTGTGATTTTTCCTATAATATCATAGTTACTCCCACCGCTTAACCATGATAAAGGTTGTTGACAAGCTTGTCAACATTAGCTAATGGGAGAAGTATGTGTAAAATTGCTGATACCATTTATTTCAAATTGTACAACAATATGAAAGGACAGTGTTTTACACCTCTAGCAACAGTAAAAACTAAATCACAATGGTCTTCAATCTGCATGAAGATTACAATTACAAATAACACAGTTATTGCTCTACAGACTTCCCAATAGAAAAATTCACAATATAACTGGAAAAATCACTATCGATAATATTGGAAATAAACAGCCAAACACATAAAAGTACTAAACATTTAATTATTTATAACAAAAACCCACAATAACAATTACAAGCTGTGGTCATCTGGATAGTAAAGCTCGCTCAGTAGTCTGTAGACGTACGATGGAGCATGGCCGCCACTGAAAAAATTTGGATTTCAGTTGATTTAGTTAAAATACTAAAAGATTTAATGGAATCATCTAAACAATCCAACTTATTGGTACAAATATGAGGAACAGAAAGATCATCGGTTAACAGTAATGAGAATGGTTAACATTTTGTATGTCTTAAATTTATTTCAGAATATAATTTACTAGATTTTTTCTAAGGAAAAGATAAAAGGTTTTTTAGAGGTTTGGGTGAATAAATAATGAGTAAAATGATGGAACTGAAGGATATTGAATTAAATAACACGTTGTCTAATTTTAAAATGTCTAGCTCAACCTAATATCAAACAGCCAGCGGTGAAGGCGTAAATATTCCCGTGTGGGGCCAATCACAATCGTCTGCGGTAAACCATGGGTTCCTGTTATAATATCGGATTTTTGGAAAAAGCAGATTGTAAACATCGTCCCTACGCCTTCCTACCTATCAACACCACTACAAACAGCATCGCTATACATTGATTAAAAAACTCTCAAAGAGAACTAATTACTTAACCACTTCATTAACAACTTTAAGAACAGCGACACATTCTTTTTAGTTCTTTTAAAGCCGAATATCAACACAGGATAGTGTTTTTTGTTCTCTATGCTCTTGTCCGGGATTGTTTATCACCTTACTTCAGGTTAGGAGTAGGAGTTGAGGCAATATAACTTAGATAAACTTCATTGGCCATTTCACAGGATTTGAACCCGGGACCTCAGGGACTGGAGTGCCGCTCTACCAATAGGCAAGCTCACTCCCCCATAAAGGATAGTGTAAAATTAAGTTAAATTGATATGATGGGTAATAAATCTGTAACTTCTTTAGGAAATAAACAAATTTTGTTTGAATTACGACTGAAGACATCTTTCTGTTTGGTTTTTATGTTTTTGAATAAAGATTCATCCATTCATTCGTTCTCCTTTACTTAATTCTTCCTTTGTTTAAAAGGACTACTAATTACACCATATAATGTAATTTGTTTGTGTTTTAGCGGATTTCCCGTATAGGGAATAAGCTATTACCATAGTACTCATGGTAAGACCTGGACCTGGGACCGATTTAATTTTTCGTTTTGAGGTCCCTAGAGGCCAAAAACACCATCCGTTCAAATTCATATGTCCGTTAGCGTGATAACTCGAGCAAAAAAGATCCGATTTTGATGAAATTTGGTAAAAACGTGTAAACCTACGTTTATATGAACGAGTTCGCGAACCAGCATAATCGGAAAATGGGAACAGGGGTTTATGGGGGGTTTTATGGGGTAAAAATGGGTTTTTCCCATTTTTGACCCTAAAAACAAAAAATTTGCAATTTCTTTTCAAACCGTTTTGTAGAGCTTAAAAAAAGAAATAATTTAGTATATTGAAGCGCTCTTGTATGCCTAACGGTCACGGAGAAAATTAAAAAATAGTGTAATTTAAAATTCCCATGTTATTCTTATGGAGAAAATGAAAATTGTAGTTTACTTGTTTATAGATATATATTGATAAAATTTTGCAAATTTATTTATTTCCTCCTCTCCTATTGACGTATGGTCAAAAAAATACTTTTTACCTTCCCCGTAGCAGCAAACCTAAGCACTTGTTAAATCAAATGTTATTTAAATAGGGAATAAATATGTCTTATTTATGGAAATATTTTAGTAAAAATGTAATCAGACAAGTTGAAATTCGCTTAGTCTGCAGGTTTGCTGCGGCGGGGGTGTATTTTGTGTTTAGATGGACTTATTTCCCATTGAGGTAAGCCTATTCCAACAAAAATCCCTGAAACCTAAGCTCTTGCACCATCGCTGTAATTTTCCTAAACAAAAAACTCTCAAAGAAAACTAATTACCAAAAACAACATTTTATGCTTTAATTTACATCTTGTCTACTTACGTGTTTGAGATAAACAGAGTGACTAGTTCAGGTGGAACGTAGTCAAAGACAGGGTTATAAACGTGCACTTTGTCGAGGATTTCTCCATCAGAAAAGTTTAGAACGCCCTCTGGGGAGATGAAGCTGTTGAACAAGTCCTGGTCGTAAGAGCACAGGTATTCCGGGCACAATTTGTACATGGGAGCCAGCACTATCACCTAAACACCACAACATTATACAAGATTGTGAGTGTGACTAATTATAAATACATTATAAATAAATCTATTATCAATTGCTCAAGCTTTGCTTCACAGGGACCTAATTTCAGAGTATTTAATGTAAAAAGTTATATGTAATGTTTCTTTTTCTGAATAAATTGAGTTAATTATAAATCCACAACAATGTACTGTCCCTTTTTTCTATTGTTTGAGGTGAGTAGCAGTCAGAAGGAACCTCAAAACGACCCTTTTATAATTATCGTATTTAATAATCAGAGTCCATGTGATAATAGATAATAATAATAATAATAAAATAATAAAATCTTTATTTGTCGTAAAAATACAAAAGTATCATTGACAAAGTCATAAGATGCAGTGCAACTGCCAGGTCATACAATATTTATTCACTTTTAAAACTATCTTAAAGGTAATAGCCCAATATTGAAGAGAGAAATATATATATACATATTGAAAAATGTACATAACAAGTTAAAAAGGTACAATCACAAATTAAAAACAGCAACTTCTAAAATGATAAAATGTCAAAAAATACTACACCTAAAACTAGACATCTTCACAACTGAAAAAATCTTCCAGTTTATAAAAGGGGTGTCCCAACAACCATAAGTAAAGCTTATTTTTAAATTCTTTTAATGGCCTATTTGCAATTAGCTTTTGAAAAACATTGTATATTTTTATAGATAAAATTATGTGGCTACTTGAGGTTGTATTTAAATGATGTGTTTCTAAAGCAGCATTATTTTTGTTTCGTGTATTATACCTGTGGTTGCCAAATTTCAGATGGTTATGTATCCCAAGGTTGTACATCATAATATCATATATATATAAATTAACAACAGTCTGAATCTCCCATTCTATGAACAATTGTTTACAGTGCTCATTCCGATTAGATCTATTCATTATTCTTAAAGCTTTTTTTTTTGTAATTTCAAAATTTTTTTAATTCTCCTGCATCCCCCCCAGAATATCAACCCATATCTTATAATGGATTGAAAGTAAGCAAAGTATGCGGTTTTTATATAATTGTTTGGAATTTGGTGTCTTAGGCGTCTCAAAAGAAAAATGATTCGAGATAATTTTGAAGACAGATAATCAATGTGGGATTTCCAGGATAACCGATGGTCAATGAGTATACCCAGAAATTTTGCTGTGTGTACATAGTTTGTGTTAGTTACAGAGAAGATAGGCCTACAAAATAAGAGTAAACAAATATAACACACTGATAATTTATTTTATCCTACTCTATCTCTAAGTTATCTTCAACCTACTCTCTGAAGGAGTTAGACAAATCATGTATTATGGTTTGTGTTCTTTTACTGTGCAATTCTTAGCAATCGACTCTAACTTTCTCAAGTAAGCTATCTTAGCTCTATTCATTTTCAAAAAAGTTCCTAAGTGAGGAAATAGAATTTTAGACCGTTAGCACACTTTGTGAGTGCTTAATGCCAATATGTTCTTTTTTAATAAAAGTTTGTTAAAGCTAGACCGTATTGATGGGGTGTCATCTACACAATCCAAAAGTTAATGGTACCACTCACCGGGACGGAGTAGTGTTTGGCGGCCAGTGCCAACGTGTGAGCTCCGCAGACAGCCCGCAGGCCTCCATTAGCCATCACAGTCTGCGTACCGACTATCACCTTGTTGACGCGAGACATGATGCCAAATATGGCCGAGTCTGGGATCAGCGTCGTCTGTATCTTGCTCTTGGCCAGACTTGCAGCCAGCTCGTGGCCCTGGTGGGGGAAACAGTAAGTTCAAACTTGAGTCAGCTGGTATAACTTTCCTGATAAATTAAGGTGCAAAGAAAGTGTTTTAACTGTTCAATGCTATATAACTGTTCACTGAGGATTTCATTATTGTCCTTAATACCTATGAATGAGATAGTTTATTTAGTCCTTAAGAGAGCCTTAAGTAACTCTTTTCAACAAAAGGTCGAGTTTAACAACATAGGCGAGCGGTAGGGATAACTATGATATTTTATGGGGAAAATCACGTCACAATAACTTTTGAACAGGAATTTTTACAACATTTGGGGGTTCTACCATTTTGTTTTGTCTAAAGGACCTTAACATAGCTGAATTTGACCACTAAATTGACATTTCCACCCAAAATTCAAACATTTTTACGAAAACAATACAGTACTCTCTATAGGCTTACTCCAAGTTTCATTGTTACTCACATGAAGGAATGGCGCACACTCAGCCACAATCACATCAAACTTCCGATCATGAGCGGCCTTTTTGAGAAATGCTTCCACAACACTGGACTTGCCGATAGTCATGATTATCTCATTGGCGTGGATGTGCTCCTTGGCTTGCTGGGCAATGTTGTCTATACTGTAAGAAAAACAACACTATAACCAACAGCGCAGAGCTATTGGAGAGGCCAAAAACCTGCTTAGGTTTGAGTGGCCAGCTAGGTAAGGTAAGGTATAACCAACCTTAGCAAAAAACTAAAGTCAAATTTAAAAAATCAGTTTCCAAAACAAACCTTTGGAGCTGTGCAACATGGTTCTAATTTTAAAATCCACATTTAATTTTACTAAACGATTTCATTAAGAGTTTGTTGTTTGAGATTGTGTTTCCTCGTATTGTCATTATTCAGATGTAATTAATTGTTCAAAGAACTTACCGTAAAAAAGAAATTGTTCTAAGAGTTAAATTACATTACTCAGTCCCATGTTTACCATGCACATCAGGGACACCAATGGGACAAAAGCTTGTGCTATATTATTAATAGAAAAATCATGCCTATTTTTGTGCGATTTGCATCAACTGCCCTTACAACTCCCGTGGTAAGGCTTAAGTGTGTTAGAATATTTCTGTACATCTAAGCCTTAATGTGCTGTATTGGTCTTTGGTAAAAATATACAGTGAACAAGGAATTAAGTTTAGAATCATGCGAAAATACATATTTAGAATTACTAAGTGCTGGAACAGCATACAGGTCCAAAATATCAAGAGCCGAGGTAAAAGATTCCCCCGTCGCAGCAAACCTGCGGGCTAAGCGAATTTCCGTTTGCCTAAAGGGTTTTCACTCAAATACGTCCTTATCAAATTGTCAGATTTATTCCCAATTAAAAAAACCATTAGGTTTGATGCGCACTTAGGTTTGCTGCAACAGGGAAAGTGAAAAGTGTGTTTTTTAGTGAAATGTTAATAAGTTTTACAGGATTTATCAAAATATTTCCATAAACAAGCAAACTATAACTGCTTATTCTTCATAATGATAAAATAAGAATTTTAAATTTACAGTTTTTTTACGTAACCGTTAAACCTACAAAAAATTTGCTAAAAAGGGAATTCCAACACTCTCTTAAATCAATAAATTTACAACAGATAGTTGGATTAATCTAGTGACGACGTTCACAACTAAAGCATTGAGTACCGTATTGCTTATTGATACAATTACCTTGTTTCCAATTCCATTTGGAACTCGGAGATATGTTCCAACACCTGTTCCTTAAGCTGCGGAATGTCTTTTGAATAGTCTTCCGCTTCGCCCTCACTGGTTACTATCTTATGCAGCGACTCTTGAGGGTCTACTTCTTCTTGTTTATTCTGTTCCGAGCCAAAGAAATCTAAATTATTGTTACATTTCTGCATTACAAAACCTGAAATACTGTCACTAAACATCACATGACATAATGCGATAGGAAATAATTGTTCCTAGAAGTGGTTAAGGGTGCAATAATTTGCAATTTTTCTAATTTGTTAACCCCATTTGAAAAGTATCAATAATTTCCATAACTATGCAATGTAGGCCTAAGTTACATTAATATATACACAAATATTGGTACCTTAAATGTTTTTTGTCTATTAAAAAAATTACAAAGAAATTAAAATAGCCTAAATTTAAGGGTGGCAAAAAGGCTTAAACACTAAACAACAAATCCAGAGGAATCAATATTTTTTTAAATTCCTTAATCAAGACAAAACTGACATGAATTCAAAAAACTGTACCTGTTGGCCAGCAACATATTCTTCACGAATGATCTTCAAGATCCGACGGACCATGTTACCAACAGAGGCATGTATTGGAAGAGCATTTGATAATTTTCTTCCTTCAGCTTTCAGGATCTTGATGATATCTCTAAAAATGTTATAAAAACAATATTTAAATGTAAAATTAAGTATAGTATATTCTTTCTTGTGTAAGATTACAGCCTGGAGTTTTATGTCCGAGGTAAAAATCACTTAAGAAGATTACAAAGCTCAGGCAGGATTTTTGTAGGAATAAGTATTAACACGTTCGCTACTGCAATAGTACGAAATTTTCCATTCACTTGGACCAGCGACGCACATATGCGACGGCCGGTTTCCACCCATAGACTGCCGTCGCATATATGCGACGGCTAGTCACATTAAAACAGACTGCCGACGCATATTTGCGTCGGGGTTCTAATGTTATTAAAATGCTTATATCTTTGTAACAGTCTATTTGAATGCACTGAATTCCTTGCAGTGGTCTACAGAGATGTCTGACGCACAACTGCGTCGCTTGGTCTGTGGATATGATGGTTGGTGACGTCATATAATAGTTGAAAAAACTGGTCTTTACTTTTATGCATCACTGTATGTATGTATGCAGTATGTATGCTGTGTAGCTTTTATATTTGTTCAGTTATAAACTGTTCTTGAATAATCTGTTTATTTTTTACTTACTTTTACCTTAAACCACAAAAAAATGAACTGTCGCATATATGCGACGTTTAGTCTATTTCAATAAAACTATGATAATTTTCACTATTGTCTTCGCTGTAGACCGGGCGTCGCAAATATGCGACATTACAAAAGGTTATAAAAAGTACAAAAAAACAAAAATAATTGATTTACAAACACGATTGTTGCGTATTACAATGTAAATGATCGCTGTTTTACAGGTTTTCGCCCGTGGTCTGTGTGTACTGTTATCCAAGTGACAGCCGGTCTATGTGTAAGATTCAAATGTATACCTCGGTCTGTGGCAATGACCGCGGCATATATGCGACGCTCAGTAGCGAACGTGTTAAGTAAGCAAATCACAACCCACCACCACACTGGAAATAAAAAATATTATTTAGGCTAAACATTTATTCTCATACCTACCTTGGCCATGGGCAGAATCTAAATACATAATCTAGGCAATAGCAAATATGCTATGTTAAAACCTAGTTTACTTACTGTGCATTTTTCCACTCCGAGTTTATCACAATATCTTTTAATATTTCTACGGTAGTTGTTGTTATAGGATAACTACCAGTGATTTTCCTGAAACAAAATAAGTATTTAGCATGAGCCATTCAATTTGTCAAACTTAATTTAATGTATGACATAGATTTAAATTAATTAAAAGAATATATAACTTACAGGAAAAACGTTTGTTATTAATAGGTAGGGTATGTCAAACTATAGGCCTAGCCCAAACTTACTTCAATTTAATATCAGTTATCAATTTGGCTACTTTTTCTTTGCCAGACAGTACAGTTATTTTTTCCTCCAGTACCATCATAAAAAAATACTTTTGCTACTCCAAGTCAAAAACACTTAAATCTAAAAGAAAATTTAAATATAATGTAAATATAAATCAAATATTAGAAGACTAACAAATTAAAAACGGAGTGACTTGAGGATGAGAAACAGCAACTGAGCAACTTATAGGTTATGTTGTGACGTGACGTGAAGCGGTGAAGCTAGAGTTAGACAAAACTATTTTCTAGGTTAGTTGGGTTGGGTTGTCATTGAAGTCTGGCTATAATTGTCAACCATGCTGTTGCACAGTGCGTTTTATATTCGGTGGCTGCATTTAAGCTATGATTAATTATTGCCTACTGTTATTACTGATGGATTGATGGTGTTTTATAAACTATGAAAAATAATGGTTACAAATGGACAAATAGTTAATCAATCCTTAACTGAAAAATCATCGGACAGGCGATAATCAATGCTCCACTTGCCAAAAGATCTAACCAACGTTATAAGTGCCTTTTTGAGATTGCTTATCTTATACAATAGGTACTAATTCAAGTTTAAACTTAGTTGGATGACAGTTTTATTTAGGGCAGGCCAAGACCACCACGAATAATAGTACACGGCGAAGATCTTTGTTTACAATGTATTTTGCATTGATTATATAAACATATTATGGTTATGGAATCTGTTAAAACGAAACACATTAAAAGATATTTAAATAGCTTAACTTGTTCCTTTTGATGTATTCTGTCGAAACCTCATTTAGCAATAGATTCATTATGTTCTTTCAAGTCAAAACAAAAATAGGGAGAATGCGGAATGCCACCCATTTAAAGTACAATAGAACTAATGAATTCATTTTTACCTTATAAGTACAGAAACCTAGCTGTGATGTGAGGCGCAGAGTTGAGGAACGATAATATTATTAATTAAACTAGATTTTTATACAACAATTACCCTAGTGTGCGTATTGAAAGGCGAAGTTGACTGAAAACACTCTGAAAGATTGTCACTCCATCCACGAACGGGGTGCTAGTTGTGTTACAGACTTAGGTGAGCTGTTTAATCCTAGAAGGCAGAGATGCTGTATCAGTGCTACAGATGTATTTCTAGCTCAGTGAACAAAATATACAACCGGTCCTTAGTCACTTACAATATAAGCTACTAAAGTCACCCTTTCCCTCCTTTCTACATTAATTTATGTTCAAATAAGAACAGTCGCGGTGAGTTTCATGAAAAGGTTCGACTTATACCCAACATAGATTTTCTAAAAAATGAGTACTTTTTACGACAGCTATGAAATATATATTTCGTGTTACACGTTCTGACACAAAATCATCGTTATTAGCTATGCGATTAGACATTGGGCTATGAAAAATGACATGTTATGCTTATAACAGGAGCGCGTCAAGGTGGTACGACGACAAAGGGCCACTAATTCCATGCTTTCGATGTAGTAGAACTATATGTTTTGGGATTATGAGCTGTGGGACCTCCCATGTCGACACTCCAGTAGCAGCATTATTCTATGCCAGTAGTATTGCCAGTAGTGTTGACAAAAGAGCGAGAGATTCAAATCAAATTTTAAGTAAGCCGATTTCGTTAAACGACAAAAACTGTGAAATATAACACATCATATTATAATAAATGTATTAAACTAGTACCTAGTTCAAAAGCACAGTATATACTCCCAAACATTTTGATTGTAAATTGCTGTAGAGGTCATTGCAAATCCAGTTTGTTAAGACATAACCCTATTCTGATATTTATAAAATTAAAGCTGTATGCAAAAATAACTTTAGAACCTTTTGTAACCATTCTCCTTACTAAATCCAAGAGTTAATAGGCATCTAAAAAAACAAGAACCAATTCTTAAACTAACAAATAAACGGTATCAGTAATCTGACACTCTCCCATTAGCTTGTCAACAACCTTTATCATGGATAAGAGCAACTATAATATTTATAAGGAAAAATCACAAAAGTTGCAATAACTTTTGAACAGTAATGATTACAGCAATGTGGAATTGTAAGGAATTAGAAGAACCATAAAACAATTTTAATCAAAACCGGCTTTTTTCCTGAAATCCAATTTCTTGATTTCTGAAAGAATTTGGTGATAGTCAGAAATTGGTTTTTGGGAGATCAAGGTCCACCAAAGAACTTGATTTTGTAATTGCCTTAACATATGCAATTATATAGGTACCAACGAGCTCTATTGATTGTATAGGGTCCGGAAAGAATTTGGTGATAGTCGAAAATAAGTTTTTGGGAGATCAAGGTCCCATAAAAAAAACTTGATTTCGTAATTGTCTTAACATGCAATTATATACTTGTGACACTCCTCTTGACAAGCACTATCAACTGAATAGGGTCCGGAAAGAATTTGGCGATTGTCTAAAATTGACTTTTGGGAGATCAAGGTCCACCGAAAAAACTTAGTTTCGTAACTGTCCTAACATAGGCAATAATATACTCGTTACACTCGTCTTGACGAGCACTATCGATTGTATAGGATCCGGAAAGAATTTGGCGTTTGTCGAAAATTGGTTTTTGGGAAATCAAGTTTTTGTATAAAATACCTATTAAATTAGGAAATTAAAGAAGAGTAAATTTACTACAAGAAAAGTATATGATTAACTATTTTGTTGGTTCAACCATTTACAAGATATAGGCCTAATAATATTTTATTCGTTTACTCCTTCAATTAGGAATACGTGTAAATTTGTATGTAAAATAAATGCTAAACATGGCAAAGCCTATCCACATAAGGTCAATATAACCAATATTCACTAAATCTTGACAATATTTCCAGCAATTTGACACTTAAATCATCAAAATTGGTCCAAAATTAAGGTGTTGGTGAGCTCACAATTACTGCATTATTTGTAATAGTTTCTTAATTTACAACATTTTTGTGTGCTCACCCTTGCATTGGGCCAACTTTTATGATTAAGTGTCAAATTACTAGAAATTTTGTCAAAACTTCATTAATGTCAGTTGTATTAAATGAATATCGGGCCGGTGTCCACGGACGACTATTGCATCTGTGGGTTCTATCGACCGGGAATGTGAGAAGTGCGTACCACAAATCGCGCTCATTGGTGTCCGTGGTGTAGTATGTGGTGGCTACTAAAATGCCGACGCGCCTCCAGACCCACTCCTCAGTCTTTCGTATACTGTACAGGCAACGTACCTAAACTACTGTAGTCACCTTTCTGTACTGTGTGCCTCCTGTAGTTACAATGGATGTGCAAGATGTATTAGCGTCATCGGTTACATAATAATACGTCGGATTATCCGTAGACGGAAAAAAGTTTGCAGGCGGTTTTGGGTACATCCCAAGGGATGAATTTAGGTGTCGGTTCAGAAATATACAAAGATCTTAATTTGTTAAGCATTTTCTAGAAAGAAAGTCCGCCATTTTGTTGCGTTTCCAGCGTCCTTCGCAAAGCAAGACACTGGTTCCTGATTTGTTTATTAGTGCCAATCAGTTTGTGTCAAGCAAGGCGGCAATCTATAAAGTGAAAGGTGCCAAAAGTAAAATTTTTTCACACAATCTTCGGTCTAATCTATCCTATATATAATACGAGTAAAGTTTGAATAATTGTCAACTCGATCTGGGAATCGGCCCTAACAAAAACGTTTATATTTACGGAATAACTAAGTTCTTAAGTTCTAGACCAGTGGTATAGCCAGGAAATTTATAAAAGAGGAAGTTTGTATATATATATTTGAACGTTATGAATTCCGAAACCACTAGACAGATTTTAATGGAAACTTTCAGGCATTATTAAGCATTACTCAAGGATGGTTTGTGTGAAGTTTGGTGCAGATCCGTCAAAAGGGCTCCGCCCCAGTGGCTCTGGAGTTTCCCATGTTAACCTTATGAGGACTCATATTTAAATGGAATTAAAAAATCTTAACAGCTGTTTCAACTAAACAATTTGATTCTGCGATGTTCAATAGCATAAAAAAAGTTAATAGGTTTACCAACAGGGTGCAACCTGGAGGCGTATTAATTAGCGTAGCAAACGAACTTCAACCAGGACGTGATTGAGCCATGCGAACGAGCTCATCTTGAAAATGAACGATCATTTGACATAAAAACCACATTAGGACAGGACAACATCTGTCGGGCCAGCTAGTAAGCCCATAAAAGGATGTTTTTTTTTAACAAGAGGCAGTATTCTACGATCAAATTGGCTCAAAAAAGTAATACATCTGTGCAATAACTGTTCAGCTTGATTGTCATAATCATAATAGAACAATTAACACTTTTCCCCCTTTTTTTAAGATACCCAAAAATGATTATTTTGCGGACGAGTTAGAGAACTAAAACCTGCTGTTTTCCAGACAGTATGATTAACAATTATTTACAGTTTTTAATATTTACTAAGGTACCTATATGATGAATTATGCATACTTTTCCTAAATAAGTTTTTATTTTTGTTTCTGTGTGATTAAAAATATTCATCAAATTTTATAATGTATGACAAAATGTTACCAAATATATGTCTAATAAGCCACAAAGTATTTTTTGCTAATTTGTGTGAAAAAGAATTATTGAGAGTTTGCACGTGAATATAATTAGTGGTGTGGTTGCTGACAGTTGTTGATAATGTGTTTGCTTAACTGTTACATAGGTACCAAATGTTACCCTCTTTCGCATGATGTGAAATGGAATTTATATAATACATACATCACAAATGGGCAATACAAAGACTTAAACTACCAATCCACAAATTCTTAGATAAATTTGGTAATAAAGAGCTTGGCAATTGAAATTTTACAATATCGATTTCATAAAATTTCCTGCAAACAATGTATTGAGAAAATTTTATATTTTTGGTTATCTCTCTGTTTTTTTTAGCAAGAGTCAAAGATGTGTTGGATAAGCTAATGACGAATAATTTGCTTAATTTTAAAAGCTCAAACAACGTTTTTATTTACAGGACAAATTGAAATAGCCCCGCCACAGCTACAGACTATTTTTTTAATTTTTTTTTATTGAAATTGAGAATTGTCATAATTTATTTATAGCTTTGTCTAGTTGTCATAAATTTTTGTTTAAATATTCAATTTTCTATGCTTAACCACTTTTTAGAAGAAAAAAATAAGTAAAAAACAAAACGGCAGCTGTGTGAGTAACTAAGGACTTCCGGATAGTTTAAATGTGATATTTAGGTATGTTTCTTACCCAGGAAGAATGCCCCAAAATATTGGTAGAGTGCCAGGACACCCTGTATCTGAAGGAATACTTTTAAATTTACACTACTAATAAAGAACAGTTGGATATTTTTAACTGTCGTTCATCATAATACATCTTTTGTAAACATATAGAATTGATTAAAATCCAAATTCCATTATTTTAGTAGTTTCAAAATTAGTGCTTTATTTATTGAATAACACTTTTTGTAATCGTAAATAAATTTAAAAATCAAGATATGTGCAGTTCCGCAGAGAAACCAAAGATATTATCGTATTACATTGATTTTTTTTGTTTGATATATCACTTCTAAAATATGTATTTACTTTTTCCCTTTAACATAGAATTGAGTCATCTGTTTACTTTTTTATTGGTGTTCAGTAAATGTAAACATCAAATTGAGTAATGATTTATTTATTTTTTACTAGCAATCTGCGTCACTTCGTGACTTCTAAATCCGTGATATATTTGTTATAATTTGGTAATTGCCTTTAGAAAATGCAGAAAAGGATTTAGACTGACACCTTAACTTCACATATTTATAGTTTCTTTAATTTTTAGTTGTACAAATTTAGGATAAAACTAAGGATAAATAAATACCCCCGCCGCAGCAATCTTGATGACTAAGCAAATTTAAATTTGTGTGATTGGATTTCTACAATAATATTTCCATAAATAAGACATACAGAATTTATCCCCCATTTTTAAAACACATTTAGGTGAAAGGATGAGTGCCTGCTGCTACGGGGAGGGTTAAAAGTGTTTTTTTACCAAATGTTAATAGCATAATACCAAATAAAATCTCAAAATTTGATCAGCATACAACCATAAACAAGCTAACTACAACAGCTTTCTTTTTCTTCATAAGAATAACATGGGAATCTAAAATGTTTTTTTAATTTTCTCCGTAACGTTTAATTAATTTTAGAGCATTAACAGCAAGGCTTCAGTGTACGAAATTTTTTTTTTTTTTAAGCTCTACATGATGCTTGTAATGAAAATTGGACATTTTCAAGATTTAAGGGTTAATATTTTGGTCCCAGGGAAATGTATAGCGTAGGTAGCATACGGTAAGACTTACACCCGGGACCGATTTACTTTTTCATTTTGATGTCCCCAGAGGCAAAAAACACATTTCGTTCAAATTTATATGTATATAAATGTCCGTGAAAGCGATAACTCGTGTAATTTAAGTCAGATTTTGATGAATTTTGGCTTGGGGCTTACGGTGGGATAAACCGATGATCGGACTGTAGGAACTGGGATTTATAAGGCGTTTTATGGGGTAAAAATTGGGTTTTTCCATTTTTGACCATAAAAAGGTAAAACTTTGCAATTTCTCTCTAAACCAGTTTGTTCATCATCAGGAACAATACCCTAAAATATTGGTAGAGAGTTCCGGTACACTCTGTATATGAATTTGAACGGATGGTGTTTTTGGCCTCTAGGGACCTCAAAACGAAAAAGTAAATCGGTCCTGTGTCCAGGTCTTACCACGGTAATAGCTTATTCCCTATATGGTAAATTCGCTAAAAAGGGTACTTATAATATGATGTATGTATGCATTTGAACAGAGATAGTGTTTTTGGTCTCTGAGAACCTACAAAGGAACGTAAAATCGGCCCTGGGTCTAGGTCTTACCATGAGACCTAGGGTAATAGTTTTGACTATCAGTAAGCAATAGTCAATACAGCTATATTACATAGCTATACAGTATTTAAAATTTTGCAAAAGTGTGTCTTCTAGCAAAAAAAAAAAATAATAATTTTGGGCTACTATACTGAAATATAAAGTGTAGATATGTATGTCAAAAACTATGTCATAGGTACAGTAATTTATTTATAATTGCACCAGCATTTTAAATGCTAGTCAAGAAGTAATTTAGGCGAAATCGGGTACCTAAATTGGTTGCATCTGTTTAAATACAGCTTGCAATTAAGTGGAATCTGGATTACTATTTAAATGAGTTTCGTTCGCTACATTTAAATCATTTCAAATGGCTTGTCCAAGAGAAATGTTGATTTTTACTGTTCTACTTGCCGCTATCAAAATTGCTGCCGGCACCACTCCTGACCAGTAAGTTTGATAATAAGTTTATGGTAACCAAGTGTGAACATTAAAAATAACTATTGTTTTTTCACTTGTTACAATAAACTCCCACTCGTTACTAAATGATTAATGTTCTTATGGGGATGTAATGAAAGAAACTAATATTTAACATTTTTATTATTTTAGACATTTGAATGAACCTTGATTCATACCTTCAAACTGATATTTTTGCTGCAATGCTGCTTGAAAAGTGTTTATTTTCTATATTATGTCAATTGTCAATAATTTACGTAAAGGAGTACAGTATCCTGGATGTTGTACCTATGATGTTCATATTTGTTTCAGACCACGCGTGATAAACATTCCAATCAAGATTGATGATGGGGTAAGTTTTTTGTGAAGGTAAACAAGTGGCCTAATTTAAAAGAATTTGCCATTAGATAGTAAACAATATTTAACATTTTTAAATATTTTACATATCAGATAGACTATGAGAAATATTAAATACCCCTTAACAGCAATCCTGCAGACTATGAAAATGTCCATTTGGGTGAATAGATTTTATCTCAAATATTTCCTTTAAATTGTCAGATTTATTACCTCCATAATATTAGATTTAACGAGTACCTACTGAAGTTTTGTGCTACAAAGAACAAAATACCCCCGCCGCAGTAAACCTGCAGACTAAGTGAATTTGCATTTGCATGACTTAGTTTTCACAAATCTATTTAAATAACATTAAATTTAACGAGTACCTAGGTTTGCTGCTACAGAATGAAGTAAATGAACTGCACTGGATACTGGTAATGAAGTGTGTTTTTTTTTTTTTTTTTAAGGAAATAGGGTGTTTTCTAGAACTAAGGGCGGGTGATAGAATAAAATAAAAATTTGTGTTGTTAGTGAGGCCAAAAACCTCTTATGCTTTCAATAGTTAAGATAAGGTTAGTATAGTAGTATTACATGGAGGGGGGTATGTTCCCCAACCAGTGTGGTAATTAATAAGCGGGTAGGCAGCCAGTGCAACTCCGAGGATCGTGGATCAGATCGGAAAACCCCACACCACTGCTCCGTGCCGATGGTGTGACGTCAACCATTACCGCAACGATAAAGGAGCTGGGTTAGGAGTCTTGATGGTGTAGTGGATAGCATGTCTGGCTGATAATCTGAAGGTGCCGGGTTCGAATCCGCTGGTAGCACTAACATTTTGTCAACAATTTTTTTCATATCAGCAAGTTTGGTTGGTTTGGTTAGGTTATGACAGTTTAATTTTATAAGTAAAAAGTTATAAAATTGAATTTGAGACATTTATAATTTTTTTTTTAGAACATAACTATTTTTTTATTAGTAAACCTTCATTTGAGTTTTTCATTATCAGCAAGTTTGGTTAGGTTATGACAGTTTAATTATATTAAATTTAAATTTAACATACAAACATACGTTTTGACAGCGACAGTGATGGAGATAACAATTTTCCGCAAACAGTTAAGCTATGCTGATGCGTCGGTATGATTCGGAAGCGTACGACATGGTGCGGTGGTGGGGGATGTTCTGATCCACAATCCTCTGAGTTGCACTGGATGCCTAGACGCTTGTTGGAAATTATACCTCAATTTCACGTCTAGTCTTTTCATATAGGCAAAGCCTCTGTTTTCAGTTATTCAGTCGGTAGGCTAATTTAATCCAAAACTTTATAATAGATTATTTATTACTAGTGCACCTGTTGCTCGAATTCGAGCAATTGCAAACTATTGCAGGGGTTAATTTCAAAACTAATAACAGTCATAATTTACGATGGCTTAAAAGAGTCAACTGAAAGATATTGTAATCAATCCAGGTATGGAAACTGAAAACGAACTCACTCTGAAACATCAAACACACATGAACATCTGAACATCTGATGAACACTCTTGTGTGAATCATGTGTTTACTATGAACAGCTGCAATTAATACAAATTATTTGTCTGTTTAAGTAAACAAAACATTTTCTTCATAAGAATTACATTGGGATTTTGATGGCCTGAGGAGGACTTTTATTACAGGAATTGGTGAAAGGGGGCGTCTACACAACAAATACTTAATTTTGACACATCGTTTGTAAAAATCCGTTCATTATTAACGGAGGAGTAGTGTTTCGTAGAAATCGTCTTCACGTATTATATATAAATAAGTCCATGTCAATGATTATAGACATAAAAAAGAATACTATAACCGCTGCAGTATCAACCCAGGCTCTGCTTTAGATTTTTTTGTGTCTAAGTTATGAAAACAATATTATTAATATATTATAATTGAAACAGTATGAAAGTTACAATGTAGGCCTATATAGATGTTTAGTATGCATTTGGTGACTTTTTTAATCCATTAAAAATAAAATTATAACTTATTTTTTTGCAGGGGATGCCATATGTGGATTTCGCAACGGCCTCAAACGAAAAATCAGGATACCGATTGTTATTTGGCACATCTACTAAGGGGGTTATGATTCTTTCAAAAACTACTTGTGCAAAGATTAGGAGCATAGAAGGCGTATATCCATGTGGTGGTATATATATATATATATATATGTGTATTTATTTATAAATAATGATTTTAGCTAATTAACCTATAGATAGGGAAGTAGCTATTACCATAGGTGTCATGGTAAGATCTAAATCTGGGGCCAATATCTTTTACATTTTGATGTCCCCAAAACAAAGGCAAAACGCACTTTATTCCTTCAAATTTGTATACCGTACAGGGTGGATAAGATCATAATATATATCGACAAACAGTGGGAGTGTTATTTAACAAATATTAATTTGATTATGCATACACAATTTGATAAATAAGCTTAGCAAAGAATCCTATTTCTAAATTGAAACATTATTCTACAACTATTAGCTACAGAGAAAAAAAAATAACCACTCATCCTAGACTCATCTCCATGCATACTTGGCTTAAAATAGATACATTTGTATGGTCACCATTTCATAAAAAGGCATTTTAAAAAAAGTACCCAACTCTTAGCCATACTCTTATGAAGAAGGTGAAAACTGTTGTAGTTTAAGTTTATTGGATATTTTGATAAAATTTGAAACTTTTTTATTTCAGTCTACTTAACATTTGATCAAAAACCCCTTCCTTGTAACAGCAAACCTAATGCTATTTAATTAATGAAATGAAAAATGTCTTAAGAGGCGAAGTTAGGACTTGCAATTAAGGACTTGTTTATGTTCTAAATGTTACAGATGCGCTATACGATGATAGCACTACAGCTACAGCACAATATCGGCTAGATGAGTTTGAAGTGGATATGGAAGGACCAGTTAAAGGATTTGTTGTTTCAGAACATATATGGGTAAGGAGACAGGACTGTTCATTCTCAGTTTTATCTATAGCATAAAGAAAAACATTCCATTTGAAGTTCATTTAAAAGATGGTGAGTTAAAATACAAAATTATAAGGGACATCCATCACGACCGGTATAAAACTATCGATCTCAGATGATAAAATATTAAAATAAAAACATTACAAAAGTCAAATAGGTAACTATAAAAAATTATGTGTGTGTGAATTTTGCATAGAGGGAATAAGCTATTACCACCGTAGATCTCATGGTAAGGCCTAGACTCTCGGGGGGGGGGGGGGGGGGGGGGCGCGATTTACCCCCTGTTCACTTTTTCTATGTGAGTGAAAATTTAAAAACGTACGTTTTCAGAAAAAGCACTTTGCAAATTTTTTTCCCCTTTTTTCAAAACTTTTATTATTATTTTTATTTCATTAACATTTGAAGTTTCATAAAATGTCCATGGTAACGCAATATCTTTGGTAGTTTCTTTTTAAAAGAGCATCTTTAGTGGAAAAACACAAAATCCTGTCACGACCATAACGGACGTTTAAATGAATATTAAAAATGGTTAATATTATTTTTATAACTATGTTTTGCTATAAACTAATTTACTTTTATGACCATTATACAATAAAAAGGTCACTAAGCTTTTAGTATATTTGGTCTTTCCAGAAAAAAATAAAAAAACTCAAAAAATTGAAATAAAGCCAATAAAATCTTTTTAAGTTTGTATAACTACGAAAGAACTTACCTGAGACCCGAAAAATCGTTATGTTTGTATAGAGGTGTGCTTCTTTTGTGTATAAAACATTGAAATATGACGATATTTTAATTTTTGAAATTGTTATGATAGAAATCATAAACGTGATGGTCAGGGACAAGCGGTACGGTCGTGAATTGTCTGGGATAATTTAAATCTTTCTAGGCAATCCTTCAATTATACTGTTAGTTATAATAAAAATATGTGTTTCAATTGAACTAAACTGTTCAATTCACAATTATATTAAAGTTATTGTCACGACCAAACACAATATAATCCATAAGGCTGGATTGGTCGTGAAAAAACCCGCGATGGTCGTGAAACTTTGGTCGTGAAATTACGTGTTATTTGGCTCTGTTCTGGCGGTAGCCCTGCACCTCATGTTCGAGGATACAAAGTGGACTTCTAGGTTAATCTAGCAATTGAAATATCTTATAAACAAAAATTAACACCATGTCTACTTCATCGAATGACTACGTACGGTCATGGACACACCAAAATTACAAAAAACACAATCTTTCCTTTATTAATCTTGTAATTCCTCCTTTCAACTCGAAACGACCGGCACTACAATCCTGACGTACACCCCGAACTAGTCTCTCAAACCAACTGACTCCATCGACGCCAGGCTTGCCACTGTCGGGCTCCAAAGTTGAAAATTTTCCCCAAATGGTCGTGACGCCAAATCGAGGGACAGACTTATTTTGTCATGGTAGTCAGTTTGCAATGACAATAAAATTATAATATGCTCCTTTTTTGTAAGTTTAATAACCATTGATGACATAAAAATATGGCTTTATATATTTCGGGATGAATAATTAGTCTAAAAACAGCGTGAAAGTTGGAAAATGTACCCTAGGGACACGTCATGGTCGTGAATTTTGAGACTTTAAAAATACGAAAAAAATACCTAGAACCTATTTAAAACCAAATAAATGTGTGTAACGTGTTGCCCCCGTCCCAAAAAATATTAAAACACATAATAATAAACTACAAATCAAGTATCTACGAAGTAAAAGGCCAGGGACATGAAAACGTACGTTTTTAAATTTTCACTCATGTACTTATGTTCACATTTTTCTTACATTTTGACACACCAAATTATGCATTATATTTGGAAACATGTGCAGTAGCAGTTTATGCAACGATCGCTTAAAGACTATTCATACGAGTTGCGTACACAACTTTACCTACGACGTTTTAAATACAGTACTAACAATCACTACTCATAACTTCAAAGAAAGGGGGAGCAAGCTGGTCTGGGGGTTAGAGCGCGGGACTTCTGTCCCGGAGGTCAAGGGTTCAAATCCCGCTAAATCACCAATGGATCTTATCTAAGTGATGATGCCACAATTGAAACATTTATTGAAACAATATTCAATATTGTCAATATTCTTTCATTCTTTTCAAATATGAATACTCTTAAGGCAAACATGGGAAACTCCTGAGCCACTGGGGTGGAGCCCCAAAGGAATTCAAGAATGGGAGTGGGACAGAAACCTTCCCGAGGGTGTATAGAACCACTTCCCAAAGTTAAATCACAATCAGATGGCTTTTTTGGTAACACAACACATAAAGCACAAACATACACCGAACGACATACATTGCAATTTAGCTTGTATATAGATTAAATTGGTCTTAAGAGCGGAAAAAATGATGTTAAAAGCATTAAAATTTTACTTCTTTTTTCTCAATTTTTGATCCTCACTGGTCTGTTACTACAAGATGTATTAATAAATGAGTAAATAAAAATGCCTTTTATTAGCTAACCTTCTTCAGCACAAACATAAGTTAATTTAAAACTACTATGTTGGCAACACTACAGTAGAAGTCCGTAGTCAAATCGAATCATGTATCATGATAGTAAACAAGGAAGAACGCGAGTAAGTTTATAAGTAACAAATAAAAATTGAGACTGTGGTTACTTGTCACCCGAACATCGAGCAAATGGCCAAGACATAGAAGGGCGTTCCTGAAACTTGTTCTCGTTGAACTCTAAATGTATGGTGGTTGATCTCTTTTGTCATTTTAACCCTTCCAGGGCTATGGACGGATATATCCGTCAATCTTTGTTTACTTTCCGGGCTAAAAACGGATATATCCGTCCTGAGAAATTTCTTTTCTGGGATAAAGACGGATATATCCGTCCAAAAAACGAATTGATATACAATGTTTATAATAGGGTAATAATCATTACACTGTATTATAAATGGGTTATTTTGTTTTTGTGGTTGGCAATAATAATTTCCGCAGCTGTTTAGTCTATTTTGCGCCGTAGAGTGTGTGTAAGTAAATATTGCCGTCACTTCACACATGGTTGTAAGTGAGTGATGTTTACATTTTGTGTTTTTTACTTTATTTTTATGTTACTGAGCTAAAGTTACTAATGCAAATGATCTGACATTTGAAGATGTTATTGAGATGCTTAATAAAAGTATGTCTGAGGGGGGTTTTATACTTGGCAGTGAAAATAATAGTATAGAATGTGATGGATATTATGAACCTGAAGAACAGTCTTTACGTAGTGTAAGTCTTGGCGGGGAATGGGATTGAGGAAATGGGAGCGGAACTGAGTGGTTTGGATTTACTTCAGAATGATAGATACATTTTTATGGATAAAAAATAAAACAAGGGAAGGAATAGCCTAAGGTTGACGGATATATCCGTCTGCCGCCCACAAGAATACTCAAGATTATTGGCAGTGTTCATATTTTGTGATTGTCATTGAGGGCGGCAGACGGATATATCCGTCCACCTTGTGTTTTTTTGTGGGCCAAAGACGGATATATCCGTCAAATCAAATTTTATTTTCTTCATAACTTTTGTACAAAAATTAGTTCAGCCCTAAGGAAAATCTTTTTATGATCCATGAATTATTTCAAGTAAAATAAGTACAAAACACGACCACTTTAGTTTTTAATTTTTGGCAAAAAATAATTAAGCTCCAGCCCTTCATTTAATTTAGCCCTGGAAGGGTTAACTATTAATTATGTGAGTGTAGTAGTGAGGACTTTTTCTCAGAAAATATTTAGTAAAACTTTTACATTATAGGTTGAAGGCTCAGATCTATTCAATAAACGAATCGGAGTTGCAACAACCTGGTCTCCTTTTTTGGTCAATAGCATCAGGTCAGGAATGTTCCATGGATACTTTGGAATTTCACCGAAGGAAAGCAATGTACCGTTCACATCTCTGTTAGACGGTATACGAGACAAACATTTTGGACTTTACCTCAAGTAAGTGATGTATTTTAAATTTATTTGGTAGTGTCTGTCAAGATGCCTTTACTTGAGCCAGTTGCCAGGCAGGTTACCTTCCTCAGGTCACTTGTAATACATTAAATGAGGCAGGTAACCTACCCGCTCACTGGTAAACACGGTTTTTTGAGTTACTATGTAACTAAAATAGAAAGTTTAACTATTTAATCTTCAATCGATACAGTCATGGTTATAAATAATCAGTTAGCTTATCTATGATTCACAACGGATTGGTACTTCCTAAAAGACTAATGTATTTTTTTAACACACCTAGGTCTTGGTAATTATAATCACTATTTCCCAATGGACAAACTCACTAATTCTTTATACAAAAACCTGAATGATAAATGTTAATTTTTCTTTGTTCAGCTTTAAAGAAGGAGAAGGCGTAGGAGAATTGAGATTGGGAGGTATTGATGCTTCAAAAATAGAAGGAGGTGAAGCAGCTCTAAAGGATGTACCAATTGTTCCAACTGATGATGATGGCTGGGCTATAATCATAGACAGGTAGAGTCAAGCAATGTTTGTAATTCTTAGAATTATTCTTTGCAAGTCATCTAGATTTTATATAATTTCATCATGGTTAAGTGATGGACGCTTTGTATTAGACCAGACCTCAAAGATTTTCATTTATTTAGTTATGCTTATTTTTTATCACTTTTCCCTTACTTACTTACTCTAGGGCGTCAAAAATCTCAGTCGATTTTTTTGTCTCGTAGTTTAGCCTCCTCCACTCTTCTCTATCCTCTGCAATCTTTATTTCTCCGCACTGGACCACATCCTTCTTGACTTGTACCATCTTAATTTAGGTTTGAAAATAATTCAGTTTTGAAAATCACACTGTTATATAAAACTCTCTAGTGTTATTTGTTTCTCTGCCACTTTCTGCTTTTGTCAGCTTTTTATTGCAAATATCTCTTGCGCATCTTGAACAATAATTTTGTATTTGTGTTAATAAGACTCTTAGCTGTTTCAACCTCTGTTTTACATTTACTGCCTTCTTACTTGACGAATTAAGCTTAGTTTCTTTTCTTTTGTCAATCAACGCCTGACATTCTTCTGTAAACCATAGGTTCTTTCTCATCTACGGTGTTTTACTGTTTTGACAGCATTCTCATTTCTTTTTGGCTAGATATGGTTCTGTTTCGAGCAACTCTTTGACTTCATTTTCTAATACTTCAAACCTAGAAAGCGATTGTAATAGTATATTATGTTACCAGTCCTGTAAATAGGTGCGTTCCGGACGAGTTTGGTCATTCCCGTGCGTGACGAAGTCAAGTGCAGGATTACCCTACGAGTCCGGTAAATACATTTTGGACGAGTGACGTACACTATTTTACGCCATACAGTACTTCTCTAAGCTAACTTAACAGTACACATCTATCTGGACAAATGCTTATATTCCCACCGACTACAGAACTAACAATCACTACTCTTAACTCTCAGCGAGGTTATGGTTTTGTCATTGCCAAATATAATCGGCTAGTAATGAAACCCTATTTGGTTAAGCTGGCGGTAAATAGCTGTTTTCTGGACTAAATCCTTGAGTAGGAAGTTTTTTCAGATTCGGCTATTGATTTTCCCTCCCTATGGCCTTTTAGTTTCTTGTAATACTATACTACTGTACCACTATAATCTAGTTTACATAACTACATAATTCTTTGCACTCCTATGCACAGGCCGGTTTGTAAATACGGTTTGTGTGTGGGGAGAAGACGACTCTGGCCAAACTGTGCAGTTCTAGCTTCAAGGCCAAGTTTTGTTTGAGGCTGGGGCGGACATATATGGTAGGCCTTTTTTGCAGCTGTCCACTACATCTGATGGAACGTTTGCTATCCGCCATCTGCAACCCGTCCAACATCTGAAGCTTCGTTCCCAAACCGGCTGGATCATGTTTGCCCTCATCTTAACATAAATTGTTATAAAATTAAGTATTAATTGTTCTTGTGGCCTTAGCAGTGTAAAAAGTAGCAAAAGCACAGAAGTAAGTAGCTCTTTGATGTTTTGAAACCTAGAGCAGCTCCCTTTGATCATTGTGCTTGATAAACCCCTGGCTAAGGAAACAGCTGATCCCGGTAACAAAGCTACATAACATAGATCATATCACTTTATTCTACACTCACCATTCATTCATATGCTTAAAAAACACACAAAAGTGTGTGTCGTCTTAAAGAATTGAATTGAATTAACTAAGTATTTATTCCAGCATCTCAATAAATGGTCAAAAAATTAACCAAAATCAGTTGAAAGTCCTTGTGGATACAAGTATGAAAGACTATTATGGCAAGAAAGAAATCATAACTAAAATAAATCAGGCCCTTGGAGCAAACAACATGGACACCCAGGACCTTGAACCAATCATGGATGCCAGTGCCCTTGAAGAAAACAAAAAGTCAGCCCGGGACAATGGAGCAAGCGAAGCGGATATCCGGTTCCTTGAAGCAATCAACAAGGGAGGCACCAAAGAAAGTACTTGGGTGAGTGTCATACAGAATTATTATTAGTTCTGCCATTTATTTTTCTGTTGTATTTTTGAGATTAGTAAATTTTCAAATGAATGAATGACAAGAAATAGTATTGTTCATTACTAGGACCGAAAATGTTATTTTCTGGCACGTGCTCAAGATTCACGTTTCAGGCGAAGCAAAGAGGACATTTATTGTCTAAATATCAAAACTGTAAACTAAACTTAAGAGAGATCGTTGTGGATAGCTATTTCGTAACAATAAGTTAATGTTTTGGGTTTTTCTTATAGCATTTTAACAACTGTGGACTTGGCTCTCATAAAATTGTGATGACAATAAACAACGAGAATTATGAACTAGATCCAACCGACTACATGACTGAGGTAAGTATTTTATATTCAATAATGTCAACCCTAGGCCTCACTTTGTATTCATTTTTTACTTTCTCCCCATGTGCGTAGTATATGGAGAAAGTATTGTTTTTGTCAAAATTTTTGAGTTTGAGTTTTGGGTAAATTAATATATCCGTCTTGGGTACTCCTGAACCCAAAAAAGTGGGTTGAAGCAAAATATTGCTTCTATTAATATTGTAAATGAGTTGATTATACAATTTATAAAAAAAAATTGTGATTAGCAATCGTGTGAGCATAGTTTACATTGAAACTAATTTAAAGTACAGTAGAACCTGGATAACAAGTCTCTTATGGGGATTATCAAATAAGACTGGTTATCAAGGTTTACTTCCTGCCAAGGTTTGCAATATTAATATCATATAATTAAGGGTGATATAAAATCAAGGGCAATTGAAAATAACACTTGTTATCGAGGGACTTGTTATTGAGGTTCTACATACCCATTATGCAAACCCCTGTTTACAAAACGTAAACGTGTTGATTGTTTCTGTTTTAGCAAGGTGTCCTGACTTTGACTTTTGATAAAAACGGAAAGTCCAAGGCTGAAAAAACGGGAGGTAGATGCATATCCAACTTTAAGAACAGGGAGAATGAGAGAGTGGTGAAATACGACTTGACCCTTGGCACATTGTTTTTCAATAAGTATTACGCTGTGTTTGATGTGGCAAACGGAAAAATCAGGCTTGGAAAAAAACTCCAGTAACAATCTGAAGACGATGTAGTCGAGAAGAAAATGGGTTAAGAGGAACTCTTGTTTTGAGATGTGACAGTAAGAATAAATAATTAAGTTCTGTCTTTTTGTCTGAATTTCTTGCTCAAATCCATTGATGTCATCTGAACTAAACAGTAGTGCGAACTGTAGTTCTGTAATTTTATTTGATATGACTCTATAAGCACTAACGCCCTTTTTCCCAATAAAGTAGATAAATATTTTTTTTAAATTACCACATTAGATTAAGTGGCCTTTGAATCCAAAGCAAATATTTTCAGACATATTTTTAACCTTTAAATTTGACCCAAAAATCTTATGTAAAGTTTGAGCATTGCTATTTTGCAAAAAACACAGTCATATTTTATTTTAAAATCAACCTCTAATATATTTTGTATCTTTGGAAAAACATGCTCCTTAAACAAGCACTGGTCCTAATGTCACATTATAGTAAAAATAAAATGATTAAATGCATTAGCCGAGCAAGGATCCACATTCAATCTTTGGTGTTGTCGGAACCAAAATCTCTGCATTAAACTTAACAGTGCTTTTAAAAATGCGTTGGCTGAATTTTAACTCGGCAATACTTGGAGTCTGCTGTTGACTTGTATGTATGTTAACTAGAGCTACACACCCATAACCACTATGAAGTCTTCAAAACACATAGCTGGGGACAAGCCTACTGAGGCTTTTGTAGCTTTGTATAAAATGTATTTTGTTTATTATGTTTTTGTTGCATGAAATAAATAAATAAACAACCAACCTACGGTGGCAGTGTTATTTCTCAAAAAAGTAAACTGTTAAAAATCAGCTACCTGAGCATATCAGCGACATCTGAAACCTAATGGCATATTAGGAAAGAGAAAATTTGTTTACAAAAAATAAGTTTATCTAAGACGAATCGTACATACAAACAGCTAATAAAACATTTCTTCTGGAAAAGTGCAGGCACAGCACAGGCGAGCTCTTGGTAGCGTAGGAGCGCAGCAAGTAGTTCTCACCGTTCTTCTTCACCTCGGGGTTGTGTGATATGTTGACGTCCTCCAGAGTAACCTCTTCTGTCAGTTTGGTGAAGTCCCACACTTTAATAGATGAGTCTAGAGAACCTGTGGACATTTTCACAGTTGAAAGAGATTTTCGAGTTTAGGCCCGGGGTACTTTGGTATTATACCGACCACACCTAAATTGGTTACCCTTGGGTCAGATTAGGTAAGGTTAGGTTAGGCTATGTTAGGTTAGGTTAGGTTAGGATATGTTAGGTTAAGTTAGGTTATGTTAGGTTAGGTTATTTTCCGATTATCTTATCCTAACCTAAACTAACCTAACCTTTGGATACACACATTGGATGCTACATACTTCAGTATTCAAAAGTCAGTGACACACATATCCTGCAACTCCACTTACCTGAGGTGAGGATATGTCCATCTCTACTGAAGCACAGCGTGTGTATGCTGCTCGTGTGTCCCGTCAGCTCGGCCAATAAGTGACCGTGAGCCAAGTCCCACAGCAGAATACGCAGATCTCCACCGGCCGACACCAGGAATCTACCTTCGATGGAGAAACACAAAGCGTAGATCGGACTCTGCAATACAACCAGCTAGTGAGTCATCTGAATCAGCAAAGCCTATGTGAACGATTTCCTTTTATAATTACTTATTCGCAATGTTATAGACGAGATACAAAATGGTAATAGCAATTTACCTTGTGTCCAGTCATGAGTCGCACGTGATTGCCCGTTACACAATCCCATAGCCGCACTGTGCGATCACTCGACCCGGTCGCGACGTAGTTGGAGTTCGGGTGAAACTGGACACACTGAAACACAAGTTGAGTTATAATCAGCTGTAAGATTGTAAAATATTTCTGAAAATCAAACCAACCAATAGCACTGTGTTAATATCATGTTATTAATATGATTATTATTTGTCTCAGGAATAAATACTTTGCCAACGGAATTAAAGCAATCAATACCTGAAGGATAAACGCGTCTCGCAGGAGATAAGAATTTTGGACACCTTAGGCTACCAAAAAGGTAAAAATATTGACAATACCTGAAATTTATGTCAATATCATAATTCACTTTTCAGTTTTTGATTTGTAGAACCAAAAGAATAGCAGGTAGCTTATCTTAGAACAAGTTTAGGTAGGCACACAATACACAGCAAATACAAAATATTTCCTGTCAAAGGAACTTTTCCCAGGGTAACCTAGCTGCCCTTAATTCTACGAATAAAAATTCTGGCCAAGCGTCTTTACTTGAACTGAACAAAACCAACCCTTGTACCCTACCTCCCACCAACTCTCTTCCTTATTTTAGTTTTTGATACCACTTCGGCAACAGGAAGACATGCAAATAATGAAAAGGCAATAAAGAATTCCACGTTCTGACTTGTCATCTTTCTTCAATGAACTTTTCATATTTCTGGCCCAGCTTTAAGTTTACTACTTTACACATAGTCAAAAACCTCGATCCCGGGTCTAGATCTTTCCATGCCACTTACAGTTATAGCTTCTCCCATATACAGAAATTCGCTAAAATCATAACCACAATTCTACAATTGTTCCCTATTGGCTAGTGGGCAATTACGCACATCGACATCAGAGAAGTGGCCGGCGAAGATGCGCAAAGGCTGGTGATGATCTGTTGCCCAGAGTCTGGCTGTTCGGTCGTGTCCGGCTGTCGCAAAGTAGTGGCCGTGCGGGGAGAACTTGACATCCCACACTGGGAACATGTGACCCTTGTACGTGACCAGACACGTCCACGTCATCAGACTCCACAATCTGACTGTAACACAACACAATGTATTAATCCAGTTGGATAAGTATGATTGGGCATCACTTACCTTGTTGAAATAAGGAGGAAGAAGTCCTTTTCACCACACGTCAATTTCACAGACAAACACGGACACATTAAAAATACATAAATAAAAATAACAGACTAAAGTTATTTTTTATGTTTTGCTCGGCCAATATCAACGTGCAACCTTTTAAAGGTTGACTTACTTTTCTTATGACCTCCCCTACAAACATTGTCATTCAAAAATACAATGTAGTAGCCTAACAGCACCAAACCCATTGTGTTTGTTCAATACAGTAAGCACAATGGTATTGAACATGCTTCAAAGACCTTGGAATAATGACTGTGCATTACTGCTGTAATGCTGTACTGTAGCATGTATATTTATGAAGTAATCTTATATTGTAGACAAAATTTTGCAGATTTACCTCTATTAGGTGAATGCCACTCCTACAATACCAGAAATAGGGTACTATTGCAGCACCTGCCCATAGACTAAGCCTATATGAAGAGAAAACTACCAACACTGGAGGTAAATTTTACAATAAACTGCCTGATCACTTTAAGAAAGAAAATGAAAAAATAATTAGTTCAAATTAAAAAAAAAACAGTTGAAGTACGACTTGTCACCTCTATACTCTTTAGAAAAATACATGTCATATTAGTGTTTTATTTCTCATAGACTTGTTTTCTTTAGGTTAAATTTTAGACATAGTTTTTAACGCCATTCCATGTACTGATTTATGTACACCATGAAATAAAGATGATTTGATTTGAGCATAATAGAATCTCAAGATACTACAAGAGATGATTATAATGACAAGAGACGATTACGATGTAATCACTGGAAATCAACAAAATGTTGTTACCACTGCGGAAGATAATTACGACGCTGTTGTGATTCAGTTATGAGTTCCCAAAATCAACCATTAGTTTCAGAATCGATTCCAAATATAGAAAATAATTATCAAATTGATTTCCATTGAACTGGTAGAAAAATGTTCTTCAAGTGTTAAACAATAGTTGAATAGTTTACTGTTGATTGTAGTACTTACAAAACCAGCGGATACCAAAATGTCTTACAAACAACAAACTTGAAGCTGGTGTTTTACCAGCTGATGAAAATAGTGGTTCATAAATCGTATGAATCATTATGATTTTATGGGTAGTGGTTGGTTTTACTCTATAGATTTTTTTACTAAACTTTTAATTTACTCAGTAAGGTTCTGCTAGACTTACTTGTGGAGTCTTCAGAGCAAGAGAGCAGCAGGGATCTATCTGGACTGAAGGAAACTTTGTACACAGGACCGTTGTGGCCCAACAGACTTCTGGTGGTCTCTGCGTTACGGTCGTCCATTATCCTAGCCAGTACGTCCTCTGCGACAATACAAAGTAGAGAGAGTTAGTTGTACAGGACAAATGTGAAACACCTATCCTTCCTGGATTAGTAGCTTAGTATTGTGACAAATACAAGCTATCTGTGCTAAAGTACATCTTTACCAATTGTGAACTTTAAACCTGAGTGTGGCCAAAAATGTTCAGAGTGACAATGACTGTGTATTTTGTTTGTGCCTGTATTACACACAAGACTTTTCCTACCACTATAATCAAACTATCATAACAAACAGATTAGCTTTTCAGTTGTATATACATGTCATTTAGGTTGTTATGCGTTTTTAGGTTTAATATTTGCTTACCTGATGTTGGGTTTTTATAGAGCTGATTAAGTGAGTAAGAGAGAATGAATACAACGGAAATGAGCTTTTTTGCGTACTGTTTTCAGGTGTGGCAATGTAATAATTTCCATGCAGTGGTGGGAAAAAATACTAACCTGCCTCAATATCGATATCCTGCAGCACTTCAGCTGACTTCATCGCTCGCAACTTCTGTGGCATCAAACTCCAAACTTTGACTATAGAATCTGAGAATCCAACAGCGAGAATGCTGGAGTCCTCAGCGATCTCAGCACAAGTCACCCTAAACATCAACGGGGTGTTGTAAACTTCATCACTGACTTAACCCATCTTAGTGCTATGGCTCTTTAGGCCTACCAAACGTGGTACTCAAAATCACTAGGCGATTTGAACCAATACTTACAATCTTTGGAAAAAATTCAAATCTCATTACTCAAAAGACATGTCACTTACACTGTTCTTATTGGGAATATTATACACTACAAACTAAAACATAACTGATTTCTCTTCAAAACAAACAATAGCATAAATCCTAAGTTTAAATGATTTTGTTTAGTCTTGGCATTAAGTGAAAAACTTAACAAAGAGTAAAACAGACAAAATTGGCCACCAACGACAAGAGCAAAATGGACTGGCAATCAATAATTGAATAATTTAAAGCTTTAGGCATAGAACAACCAACACAAGTGGACTTCTCATCCCATTGTAAATTTTTAAGCTAGTTTTTTGTGTCTAGTTCATGTACGGTGACACTGGGCGCTAGTACATGGACAGAGCATGTAGATTTCTTGAAGAAAAAGATTTGTAAATATATCTATGCTTTTAACCAATTGAGTGAAATATTAGACGAGGATGACGTAAAGCGAGCTTATTTCGCTTATGTGCAATCCTTGATTTCATTTGGAATTATTTGCTGGGGAGCATGCTATCACACCACCATGAATAGTTTACTGTTGATTGTAGTACTTACAAAACCACCATTTTTGGATCTTTGAATGTAATTCAAAGATCAATTTTGAAAGTTGCTTTTAGAAAAAATAAAAGGTACTCCACTGATGCTCTATTCCGTGAGACGGGAATACTAACGGTCAGACATCTTTTCATCCAGTTCCTTCTTAATCACACATTCAAAAACTCAAACACAATTCTTACAGAAGTCACACATCAGCACTTCACAAGATACTCCCACAATGTTAGAATATCTGTTCCTCAGCTACATAAATCAGTTCTAACTACCAACTGCTTTTATGTTGCTAAGATCCTCTGTCGAAATTTAATTCAAAAATATGATATTAAACACGTTTTTAGTTTACCCTCATTACAGAAATTCAAGACTCATATTCTTGTTTTACTGCACTCCATTACCATAGAAGAGGCCGAGACTTTGATTAGACCAAATCATACTTGACTCTGACTGAAAATCCTTGACCCTTAGACCCCCTCACCCTCCAGATGTCTTTTTTTATTGAACTGGCTTTGGTTGTCGTCGCTGATATTCTCAACCGCATTTCAGTTTTCTTTTAAATAATTAAGAAAAACAAATCTCCCATATTCAGTTTTTGCCCTTAAAATTTCGCAGACTGATAGCAACCAGGCCTACGCACAGGCACCTGCCCATGTAGGCCTATCCCATAAGTATGGCAGATTCATTTAATAATTATAGTTGTACTAATTTACTGTAGTTAATCTTGCTCACTGTTTTTATTTATCTTTGTCTTTCTGTAATAATATTGGGATAAATAAACGTATTTCATTTCATTTCATTTCAACGTATTTAATTTCATTTCATTTAGTGTCAACAAAATTTTGTTTATATTTTAGGATTAATTTCTTGATTTGTGCTTTACTGTTTGGTTATATACGGTAACTAGGGGACGAATTATTGTTGAGTTACTTATCGTATTGTTTGGTTAAACGAGGTTTTAATTTAAATTACTGAAATAACAAGAAACAAATCGGAAACAAAACACGACCTCTACATAAACCGTACAGAACAACAAAATTGTCTTCAGCTGTTAAGGATAAGAAATCTACTAAGGGAGTATGTTTTATCTATGCTTTAGGGCTGTACTGACACATTAAACAGCCAAATAAGTGCACAGCAGTTTAGCACTAAGAGGATTAATGGCTTTACTCTTGTTAGACATCTACTGTACTCACGTGTGTGCAGCGTTGAGTAGAGTGTAGCAACAGATGGAGGGAAGATTGTCTGGACCTAGAGTCACTCTCTTGATGGCTTCCCTCATGGCCTTCACCTTCTCCAACTTGTCTGCGTCTTTCCTGTCAAAAAAAAAAAAAAAACACTAGCTTTACTTCCCATATACAAATGGAGATTTTTTTATATCCCACGTTCACATTCTAGGACGGTAGTTCTAGCCCGGAACTGTTCTACACATTACTTCAGGCTAGTACTAGTGGTTTACGGCAATCCATAGGTGATTGGCGGGAATTGAACCCCGACCTCGGGCACTGAAGCCCCGCACTCTACCAGACCAGCCCGCTCCCCTGGTCACAAATGGGGGAATGCTATGTTACTGATAGCAAATACCAGCTTTACTTCAGTATATAATCAGGTAAGATGAGACATGACTAGGTGCATTTCACCTAAATATGAACAAAAGATGAGTTAAAAACTTAAGATTCCAGGTGAAGTTTTGTTGCTAAGACAAGCTGTTTCTTAGCCAGGAGCAATTTATGAGCTTGGGAGACAATGTTGGATCAGAAGTTGTTGAATCAGAGTGTTGAACGGAATACTCATACTGCTAACTTCACTAAATATCGGCGAGCGAGCGGGTTTAGTGGTAGAGCGCGGGACTTTGGTCCCTGAGGTCTCAGGTTCAAATCCCACTAAATCCCCTACCTAAGTGATAGGGCCTCAAGCCCTAGGTCATTTCAAATGGATAAGAATAATATGAATATAAAGTAATGTGAAAAACAATTGCGGGATAGTACCTAACGTCCTAAAAAAACCAAATTTTTTTAACCTAGATCAGTTCAAATCTATGAACTGTGTTACATAATAATAGCCTAGGCCCATCTCACTCAGTGTTATGTGAAATGTTGGCCAAAGCCTATCCCATAACCAGTATTACAATAGGCTATCGACCTAAATATTCTGACATAAATATTGAAATGTATAGACACTATACAAACTCTACGTTAAGTGACTCACAGTTCTGGTAATGGCAGTCTGTCGCAAGGAGGAGCGTTGGGATCGGACTTTGCCTTCTTGTACAACAATGGATCCTTCTTGGCCTTCTTCTTCTTTGGCTTGTCCCCGCCCTCTCCCTCTCCACCATCCTCCTCCTCGTCAGCTGGTACATACTGAATGTCCGGCTCCTTCAACATGCCGTAGTATATCTTGGTCTTGTTGTCTGAAAGGTGGAATCAATAAGAAATTTATGTTCTGAATCTCGTTTAAATTACTATTTATAATGATAAGTATGTTTTTAGCAAGTGATTTTGCGGCCTTTCTCTGTAATCTCTTGTTTACAATATAATGGTATTGTAAACAAGAATTTGGGTAAGACTAGAGTTGACTCTACCTTTGAAATTATGCGCCTAATTTTGTCTTAAAAACAATATATTGAGTTACAGATATTATGTTCTTAATAGGAAACCTAGGAAATGGCAAACAATTAGGAGATCTTGGACAGTCTAGTTGTAAAACACTGAAGTTTTGTCCAAGTGAACACCTTCTTTGGAAAGAACCAGGAGATACTGGAGATAGTTTTCATTTGTTCATCTTATTAAGCTCCAGGATTAATGTTTCCCAAAAAAATACGTCGGGGAATTGAAGAAAGAATGTTTTATCTTGCCTCGCCAACAAACTTCCTCCTCGTGGTACCTTGTTTAGTGGTTTCTCCCACCATTTCGTCTGTTGGTCACACCACCTATTCCTCCACCTTACCTTGTCTGGTCGCCTCCCCCACCATGCCGCCTGCGGTAGCATCTATCTGCTGCTTGTTCCTGGCCACGCCCTCGTACATGTCGAAGTACAGATGTTCCTGGATGATGTTTAGCAAAACGCTGTGTTTCTTCTCCTGCAGATGTCGCTTCAGCAGCGTCAGCGTGTCTCGTGACATGCGGATGATGAACTCGTTGGATCTGGACACAGTAGATAACATTTGATAGGCCTACATGTAGAATGTTCTTTTTTTGTAAAATATTGTTATTACATTTTTTACATCACCATCAGCTTTATTGGGGTTTAGATTATTTTCATTAGCAAGCATATTGGTGATATCATTAATAAAATTCACCCATAGCTATTCGATTTTGTTCTCTCTCTCTCTCAGGGAAATAATTTGAAATCGCAATGGAGAAATTGACCACAGCACAATTAATGATCTTTATAGTTTGAAGTTAGACACAAATTTGCTTGATCACTTTGGAAAAATAAAATTATTTTTATGCTCTAGTTATACTTAACTAGTATCACAGAAAATGTATCTAAGTTACTCTACTAAGCATTGAGATAGCCACTATTTCGAAAATATCAATTGTGGTATATTTTGTGTGCTTTTGATTGCCAGCAGATGATAATCCTAACTGCAACAAAAGCTAATACTACAATGGTTAAATGCTATAAATTTGCTATTTAATATTGTATATTCCACGTTAAAAGGTGTACAAATCTTCTCATTCACAGTCTGTCAATTATCAAAATAGTCTACGTAATTTAGTGTGCATTCCCCCAAAAATATTTCGTACTCTCTTCGATACGCTTAAGTTCACATTATTTTGAGTGTTGTACACGTAAAAACTCACTTGAACGTCTCAGCGAGTTCATTGCCCTTCATCTGATCTTTCTTGGTGACTTGAGCGAGTTTGCGCAGATCTTCCTGATAGTAAACCTCCTGGTCTCCGCTGAACTTGTCCATGAACTTGACGGCCGCAGCTTCATGTCCATTATACACCAGTTCCAGGTACATGTGCACAAACACAGGATACAGCACCATTCCCAGCTCATGCTGAAACATACACACAATCTAATTGAATTTATATCCTGTAAATCCATCTGAGATAAGTTCATCATAATTTGGTTTTTCAAAGTGACAAACTGTTTCCAAGTCTCATGTATCGGTCCTTCTGTGAATTAATTTTCTCTTGCCCCTTAGTTCTGGATCTATGACACATCACTTGTAGCTAAATGAGAGGCACTTTAATACTTTTAATTGAAATTGCGATCAAACGAAGGTAGTCTGTATTTTAAGCCAAGTATGAATGGAGATTAGTGTAGGATGAGTAGAGCAATTTTCTAGTCTTGTTACTGACTAAGGCCGACATGTTCCTTTGACAGGACTGTTAATGAATAGCCCAGACAGCCAATGGTAACTAAGGGACCTACAGGTAATAGTGGAATCCGAACCACATTTTTGCCTAGTAATTTACGAATTGGTCTAATCATCAGGATAGTAGGCCTGCTGTGGATAGTGATAGTACTCACTTAATCCACACCAGTGAGTATCACATCCACAGATCATGCCTAAAAATATCCACAATTCGAATTCAGGAACCTCCAAGTAGCTGGATTATAGGACATTGTTTTGTTGGATTGCTAACATTGTTTTAGGAAATTTCAAGAATATTAGAAGAATATAGGCCCTACACTGAATGCTTACCTCGATACTTAATCATCAATAAATAAGTAAATAATTACAACTTACGTCAATCAATCCAGTTATATTCATGGAGGACGCACGTTTCGACCTTTAGGTCATCTTCTGCTCCGCTGTTGCATTAGGTTATTCCATACTTAGTTGCATTGTTGGTGTACTGGGAGACTGGAACTACTTATTTATTCATGATTGATTTGTAGCAAACAGATTGATGTTTAAATTAATAATTACAACTTACGGGGTCAATCAATCCAGTTATATTTATGGAGTGCCGCCGCAGTCCCGAGCCCGTTCAGCCGTGCGCACGGTGATAGTTTTATTTAAATGTTTTCGTCTTCGTCAGTATTGTGTTTTTGTGTTTTTATGTTTACATGGTCAGACTATGTAACATGTTCTTCAATGTAAAATATTTGATGCGGTTGCTACACCAACAATGCAACTAAGTATGGAATAACCTAGTGCAACAGCGGTAGCAGAAGATGACCTAAAGGTCGAAATGTGCGTCCTCCATAAATATAACTAGATTGATTGACGCAAGTTGTAATTATTAATTTAAACATCAATCTGTTGGCTACAAATCAATCATGAATAAATAAGTAGTTCCAGCCTCCCAAAGGATATTAAACCTCTTCCATTCTCGTCTTTGAAAATAAAACTACTTCTCCATATTTTGCTATAGACTAGATTGCTAGACTAGATGCATGTTTTACACTATTTGACAGAATAGATAAAATTTTAAATATAGCATTGTCAAACTACACCCTTGATGGACCACCATTAATTCTTAAAGAATTAAACCTTAAGAACCAAACAACTAGTGTGTGAAGCATATAGCCTACCTTGTATGTGTCCAATGCACCTTCCACAAACTTCTTCAGATCTGTGTATGCTTCTTCGTAAAACTCTGGATTGCCTTCACTTTTGTAAGCGGACAAAACCGTGTTGACTTCAGACTCGGAACCTTGATTGCCAATGTCCAAGTTGACATTGGCTTCTCGCAGCAAACTTTCTTCCGTCCCCTTTAATCATAAGAAACCAGTAAAATCATTAACATAATAGTTAGGCCTGAATTATTATCATTAACTGTCCTTATGCTTCCTGTACCAACAAGGTATGGCAATGAAATAAGGCATACAGTAAGTTACAGGTCAGTAGGCTAATGTCAATTTATTCATAGAACATTTTTAACATTCAACCAACTTAACTGACAGTTCAGATTGTAATATAAGCCTAACGGCCAGCTTGTGAGCTTTAAGCTAGAACTTGAGGGAAAGAATGTTACCTTTAAGTTGTACTTCCTCAAAAGCTGTAAGACTGCAAGGACGGTGCTCTTATCAGGGGCTTGTTGTGACCTAGACTCAACATTCTGTATCGCCGCCACCTGCCCCTCCATGTTGGAGCTAAGTGAGTTTGTCTCCATCTTTGAAAATAGACAGTGACGAATTCAAGCCCCTACCAGATCATCTGACAAAATATAAATATAGGTCAAAAACAATTTAGAGGTGTGTGGTTTAGGTTAAACAGCAAACTTACAGTTGCGCAGAGAACCTCGATATATTATCGGTTGAAATATTATTTTGATAGAAATATAGGATAAATTAAAATATTTCAATCGTGAATATTAAAAGCAGGTACCAGTAGTCTAACTCAACTTAAATATTGATTTTATCTTTGACTATTAATACAACATTTTATAATAACTTTAGGCCTAAGTTAACCCTCCGAGTGTCCATAGTTTAGGCCTTAATGTCCGCCTATTTTTGGCGCATTTGCAAGGTTTTATTAAAACGGATCTGAGAAGCTTAAAACAATGTTAATTCTACTGTTCTATATACCATTTTGTTTGGAAAATCATGGGCTTCAATATTATACACAAAACATAAAGAACATTTGTTTCAAAAAAATTTTTTAGGTAAAAAAAAGTATTCTATTGTATAAATTATAGGCCTATAAATATTTGAAAATAGCCACTTTGTTCTAAATTTTATGAGGATTACAAATATATAATAATATAAGGAAGTAGATTCGCAAATAAATAAGTTATGGGCAAAAAACAGATTTCAGTACATAGCGTTTAGCTAAGAATGCATAGCCTAACCATAGCTAGGAATCTGGCTGATAATTTACATCAATATCACTACCTACTTCTTCAGGATAATCAACCAGCCCTTCAAAATCACTTAAATCTTCTTATAATGCACCACGCATATCACAACTTTTGATTTTTAACACTAAAACAATGATAAACGTAATAAAACACATCAGTCATCGGTTCGAGGTTAACCTCGCTGTTTACAAATACGCAAGTCAGCTGTCTGCTACAATATTTTTGGAACTAAAATGAATAGCGCTTAGAGACAGATCTCCGGAGAAAGCTCTGAATCTAACAAAAAGAACGATACCTAACTCGATCCAGTTCAATCCGATTCAGTCAGCCGTAGAGCCTTCGCCGTAAACGATGTTCGTGTGTCGAAAAATCGACAAGTGACACTACACAAAGTGTGTCGTGAGTCGATTTTTCGACAAGTGACGCTCGGAGGGTTAAGTTATTAGGTTTTTTAATTTAGAGTACCGCCCACCACTCTTTTACATTGAGCTGCGTCGTTTACATAAGGTTGGTTTAAAATTTCAGTTTTATTTATCAAACTAATGAAGAAAGAGGATACAAACACAAATTGTCTTTGTAAATTTAAGTTATCTCTTTAATAAATTACCCTATAAGTTACAAAATATTCTATAAAAGTTACACTATTGTTTGTTATTATCTTCAATTAAGCTAACCAATGCCAAACCGATATAAACAAGCCTAATCTAACCTACCACTGCAGCACAGTGTGAAAACCTTAAATCTAAAAGCTTTAAAAAGTTATAGCATGTGGTAGTTTCTCTGCAAAACTGTACCCTAAACTTACCCTTAAAATTTTAGTTTTTAAATTACTGTAGCTTAACTTTTTAATAGGCAGTTATTTTACAAAACAAACAAATTGATTCATAGGCTTGAGTGTGAACATCCCACTTAATCGATAACATATTATTACAGCTAAATAAAATCAATGGTTTGTAAGCTTAGCCCTAGGCCTAATGTTTTCAATGGAAACCAGAAATTGTGTACTTTGCACATTGTTATTATTTTGGATAATTTTATAAGCTAAGTGGAATTGACATTTTTTAAATTAACATCAGGATTAACAATATATGATTTTATTACTAAACTTGGGCCTAAAGCTTGGATCTAAAAATTAGCAACTGACTTAACCTCTAAATGTTAAGTTAGTAGTTTTATATAGGCCTGATAAATTGTAAACGGTTCTCTTTTTAAATAAATATATGGGTCAGTTACATTTACAGTAAGTTAGTATAAATGATACGTTAAAACATTATCTTTCACTGCTATAAATAAAAAATAAATTACTTTATTTTATTTACCGAATGAATCCTTGTTTATTGACGCTGATGGTTGACCTCTTTTGTTTTGACAGTAGTTCGGTAGTTGTGAGTTGACACCACTGTTGACAGTTGACACTTTTTGGTTTGAGACTGGCTGGACTGGGCGGACTGGGACCGGACTGGAGATGACGTTTACATCGTCGTGAAAAAATCAGCGGATTTCTCTTTTGTTTTCTTCTTCTTACAAATTACGTATTTTTTTTACTTTACCTAACTAACCTAAAAAACTAATAACAGTCACAGCTTTGTAACTAACAGTAAAAAACAGTAGGCTATACCTAGTCTAGAGTGCTTATAAGTTATAATATTGAATTTTCTTGTTATTTATTAATTTTTGTCTTAACCAGCCTCAAAAAACATTATAACCTTCAAGTGAGAGAATTCATTATATTTAAAAACTGTCTAATCTTGATAAGGCCTGTTAACCTATTATGATTTTTTTGTTATTACAGTGTAACTTAGGACTTAGGTTAATGTGAGCCCTTCTCATTAGGCTATAACTTATCTAGGCCTATGCCCTAGGCTATTTTCCACTTTCCATCCAATCACCCTCTAAACCTAGGCCAGGGCTAGGCCTACTACTGCTAACAATTATTTCCCATAAAGACTACCCTTAAAATTGTAATATAATCTGCTTAGAGAGCATGGGTGCACTTAAATTTACGCCCCACATTTACTATTAGGGCCTACATCAACTAAGTTTACCTGCTGTTTAAATGAATCAGCCTAACCAAACCTGCTGTAGCCCAAGTTATGTGAGTAAATGTGGGGGGCCTAAAATAAAGTTCAGCCGTTATCATTGTCAGTGTGCTAAGTTTAACTTTAGGCCTACTTTTGATAGTAGGCCTACTGGTATTCATTCTGATAGCCTCTTAACTAGCCTTAGCCTACCTTTTATAAATTTGAAGGTCTACCTCTGTCAGTAGGCTTAGTCCAAAATTGTGTTTAACTTCAATTATTCCAAGTTAAGCTGACATCCCTTGTTACAATGCAATGTTGTCGGAGCTTGCAACACGTCAATATCATCAAAATTCATGGTGGGTAAGGCTCTGGATCGTAAATTGCAATATAAAAATGGTTTATGTTAGGTACCTTTTTGCGTCAAATTATCCGTGTATAGTTATTGCCACTAAGTTTACGGCTGTTTCATGCCATCTTCAGGTTGTCGGTAGAACGTTAGATTAAAAAGCATTCATTCATAGATGAATTTGTCGAGATAAATATGTCTATACACAAAATACACAAAAAACCATTTAAATTACACAAATTTACAAACTTGGCTTAGTGACGAACACGGGACGAGACAGGCGCCAGTGGATGTTGCGTCATGACACAGACTCAGGATCCAGATACAGGCGGGGACAGGTGATGCGTGCGCTCCGGTCAAGGACCTAACTTTCACCTACTTAGGGAGGGGATTAGGCGGGCAAAAGTATGACTTATCTGGTAGGTATCCTTCAATTCACAATGAAACGAGGAAAGTCCTACAAACATGATATTTATGATAACCCAACCTAACATAACCAACGCAGCACGCTGTATAAGGTTGGCCTCCAGATAAAACCAAAGAACCCTTTAATATCTCGTGTGTCGTGTATAATATATACTGTTTTCTGTGTAACTTTTGATGTTTTTGACATGTTGTAAGCTCCGACAATGTTGCATTGCAACAAAACATGTCAGCTTTGAATAATTTAAGTTGAACACAATTTTGGACTAATGACCAATAAAGCAAGCCTAAAAAGTTTACTTTTGAAGTGAATAAGCTGAATTCATTACCGTAGGCTACTGTGTATGTTTAGGTACCTATTTATAATCTGTCCTTTCATTTTTATGTGCCAGTAAATAGGTCTTAAAGTTATATTTCTGAAGCCCATGACACACGCTTACTTGAGTTGTTAGTCATGACAACTTTTAAAGTCTGAGAGTGTAATTTGTCAAAAAGTGTTTACCTACTTTGATAGCAGTGAATATAATTTAAAGAAACAGCGCCGCTTCCTCCTATAAATAAATACTAGTACATTTTTTTTACAAAGCTGTACACACTTTTAAATGACTTTGTTCTCATGGCCAAGGCCAACATGTCACAAGACAACTAAGTGCATGTCTCAAGAGTCTTAAACTTACCAAACCTTATTTATTTTAGTGTAGCTTATGTTACCGGTACCCTCATTACATTTTCAGGCAGAACATTTTCCTAGGAACGGTATTGACATTTGCAGTAAGTGAATCTTACCAGCAACAATATGAGTGACGAGTGGCTTTTTGATCAGTTATCGAGTCTTCTTCAGTTCCCTGTACCACAAGACATGATAGAGTAAGTTCAACTATTTACAAGTTTGTTTCTTAAATTCTCTATTTACTTAGTTTTCAATTAGAAATTTGTTATGTATCTAACACCTCTTAAAAACACTTTTAAACATGTCTTCTGTCCGTGATTGCTGTAACTTCACCTCATTTAGATCATAAAAGCTTTTATTGAAGTGTTGATCTTTAACTCTTTGCAAAAATTCATCTACTTAGAGTGTCAGGATTGATTTATATTGATTTAGGCCTATACTTAAAAATTTACAGGGACCGAGTCGAAATATTGAATAAATATTAGACTACATTGACTGACTGTGTTACAACAAAGAGATAATTATCTCTGTTACGCATATTGTGACATGACGTAAATTACTGTATCAATATTATAGTTCTAATAAATGAATCAATGTCTAATAAATGAATATATGATATCTATGTGTTGTTTCAAAAAAATAGTTACCCAAGACTATGATTGACGACGTTAGTAAATTTATCCAAGCCTTTTTATATTGATATTCAATTATTCATTGACTGATATTAGCTGGTTTCAAGGGAATATTTTACCATACCGTACTCAGATTTGTAGTTTACGTTACGTAAATTATATCGCTGACATTATTCATTGTACCACATATACAAATTGATGAATTTATATTTTGGACTACGACATTACAAAATATAATTTTATTCATTGTATTATAGTTTGTAATTATCTTTGTAAATTTTCAGTTATATATCCTCCATAACCAACGCAAGAGACTTGGAGGATTATATGAAAACCCTCCTCGACTATGATAATCCACAGCATAAGAAGTTTTTACAAACACTGCTTCATAAAAGAAAAGGTTAGTAGTCTAATGAATAAAAGTGGGACTTTAATCATAATCTAGGAGGACCTGTGGGATATTGCACAAAATAAGATTGAACTTTCTTCTTTTATGAATGAACCCATTCACTTAGTAGGCCTAAATTAATCAATAACGTAAATAAAAAAAAAATATAACTAAGCTGAGATTTACTGCTTACGACTTTTCTTTCAAAACTAAGTTGGTTAGGATTTACGTTGTTTGTCATTATCTTTTTATAATGATCTTTGCAGAAAACAAATTAGAAGGTTTTTTGATGGGGCTTTGCATGTTCTAGCCTCTGAAATTCAGAAAAAAATGGTGGACTATAAATTTAGGAACTAAAATTTGGTAACCTTGACTTAGCCCGACACATTTGGACGCACTTAATGCTATTTATAATATTTAGACTTTCAAGAGAGCTGTCTTGGGGACCTGGTCTAGCGGTAGAGCGCAGAACTTTTAAAAGTAACTGAGGTACCAAGTCTTAATTCCGCTAATTACCAATGGATTTGATCTAAGTGATAATGCCGCAACCCCAAGGCCTAGCCTGAAGTAATTTGATAAAAAAAACATTTAATCCCATAGAGTCCACCGTCCTTGAAAAAATGAAAAGAAAACACTCCAACTTTTCGGAAGGTTACAATGATGTTAGATTTACTCTCATTCTACAACAATTTGATGGCACAAGCTATCTAGGCTAGAGTTCTAATCAATTTACGGACAGCCCTCCGATAAATATAGTTTTAATTTTTCCTTTCTCTCCTTAGAATCAAGCCCATTTTCTCATCTGGTTTACGGCTATAAGAAAAATGAAGTAGAAGAGGACTATATAGCACCTAAAATGGAGAAGAAGAAAAAAGAAAAGAACAAGTCACAAAATAATGCAAAGTCTCAAAATAATATGAAGGTGAGTTGCTGCGGAAGATACAGTGTGTTGTTGGTTCAGTAACTCAAATAATTTACATTGTTGCAAAATTCAAACTCCGGAAATAGATTTAAGTGGAACATACAAGGTATGAAAAACACTGGCTGGCATATCTCTTACCCTCTTTAGCTATTTTAGGATGAAAAACTTGGCTTAAGAATGCATCAAGAAATAAAGAATGTACACAAATAACTTAACTAAGAAAAGAGTACCGTGTAGTTGAAAGCACAAATAATATTCACAACACAATACACTTGACATTTTGCACCTACAAGGGGTTTCTTCGGATGAATAGGCTACTAGGATGATCTACTTCTACTCCTTTCTCCTGAAGAGGTCCCTTGTGGGGGCGAAATATCAGTTTTATGGCTTTCAACTACATGGTACTCTTTTTTTTTGGTAATTCAGTTGTCCTTCCTTTTTCATCAAATTATTAATTCAAATAATTTCGTTCTAGCATAGGCTACATACACAATGACCATGTCTCATGTTCTTAAAGTTTTTTGCAGTTACTTCGGTAAATGTTATTTTGAGCAACCAGGCCTACAACCGTAAAATTTATTTATGAAGTTTTTTTTTCTAATTACTATGCAGTTATTTTAATTTTTGACTAGTCAAACCAAGTCTATCCGCAATTTATACAGTTAAAAATTGCCTAGCTGTTTATGCCCTGCGTGTTTTATACTTATTTACTATTTTATACTGTAACCATAGCTTGGAAGTAGAAGTATTATATTTTATTTTTGTCATTTTTGCTTAAAATCTTGAATTTTCCTATAGCCACCTCCAGAACCATTGCCTGTGGCAGAGACGTCAAAAGATAAATCAAAGAAGAAAAAGTATGTGAATTTGTATTCTCAAGAGGGCCAGACTCGAGATGTCGTAATGTTGAAAGGTAACTTACCGGACCGTTTCCGTTAATTCACTACCACTTATAAGTATATATGGTTAGGTTAGGACTATATTTACAGACCCTTTCCGTTAACATAGTCCTAACCTAACCTAATATACTGATTAGTGGTAGTGAATTAACAGAAGAGGTCTAGTGAATTAACATAAAAGGTCCAACATACCTAGTGAACAACATAGGCCTACTTCTTTATGTTTCATAAACAAATTGAAAGGTTGAATGCATAGCGGGGTTAAAATTACATCGTTATGTCGTATTTTATTTTTTTATATAATTTGGATTCATAGTGTGAACAAATATGCTTACCAAAGTCTATGGCTCTAGTAGTTCAAGATGTGAGGACCCCAATTGCATTGTTTTTTTTTATTCTATCAGCTGTTAACAGCTTGTAGCACAGTTTGCAAAACCATACCATAAAGTAACAGTTTTTTGTGCCTTTTCTGTTAGTAACATGTACAAAAAAGTTCATGTATTGGAGATAATATTTGCAATGTGGGACACAGGTCGGCACAAGTGCGACTGCCAGGCGAGCAAACACAAGTTAATCAACAATTGCCTCAAGTGTGGACGGATTGTGTGCGAACAAGAAGGCTCCGGACCTTGCCTCTTCTGCGGGAATCTGGTGAGAGATTTACCAACAACAAATTGAACATGAACAAGTTTTTGCAAATATGTCAAAATAATTTCACTATTTAAATTAAACAACATGATCTATACTATTACCTTAGATGAAATGCTTAGCAGTTTCCCCATTTCAATGAAGATTTTAATTTTATGTTTGAATTAAAAACAAAAACTTTGTCATAGTTCAATAGTTCACCATAGTTTCATTCCATTGCAACTGATCTGTCTAATTATTCTGTCAAATTGTGTTTCTCCGATTCGTTGATGTGAGTATTAGACGATTTTTTGATTCATTAAACAAGAAATAGGTGAACAAAATTTTGTTCTACTTGTTTTTAACATACTGTGAGTTTCTTGGTCTCCTAACATATTTTCAACAATGACAGATAAATTATGTTGATTTGCTAGTTCTAATTTAGCTTCCAAGCTGTTCATATGATTTGTAAACAGTCAATCAATAATGATTAATCGTTTGAGCAATGTAACAGGTTTTGTTTGGATTTCTTCTCTAGCCCTCAAACAGCCTATCAGGAGCTGTTTGTATTCTCGTGTCCACTGTACTTGTTCAAATCGGCTTGTCAATTCTATGTGAACAAGCTGAACTGACAAGCTGATTTGATTGTGTGTATGCAAAAGTTTGTCCAAACTGTGTGAGTTTAGGCCAGATATTTGATTGCGTCCGTGGGAGCTTCAGTCCAATTTCTTGAAATCAGCTGTTCTGACAAATTTTAACTGTAAATCCAAACTGCCGAAGTTAAATTTGTTTCCCCTATATTATTGACCTTGATTATAGTGGGTTGTTAAAACAACCTATTGAGTTTTAAAAGGTTTAACATTTTGTTTGGTCACTTAATGATTCACCGTTACTTAGTAAACTCTAAAGATAACTTTAACCGTTGACTTCTGTCGTGATTTCTGCATCGATCTTGTGTCAAGCACTGTAGTGATAACTATGAGAAATGTTATAACCTGACAAAATGTGTTGATCATTTGTTGATTGATTATTGCATAAATTATAGCACAGATTACTATTTAAGGTGTGCTCAAGGGAAGAACAAGAAGTTTTGAGTTCCGGCACCAAACAGTCGAGCCACCTGCTGCAGAAGCTGATGGACAAGAAGCCGGCCGGCTACGACGCGGCCATTGAGCAACGCAACAGGCTGCTGGAGTATGACCGAACCAGGTAGTCGCCCACCAGACTTTATATATTTCCACCCTTATTTAGTGACCTTCATGTTTATCTTAATCCGTAGTTGTTTGTTTTATGTCGGTTATGTTTAATGTAAAAACCTTACCCAACAATTAGACATTGGTAATATGTTTTTAGGTGGTAACATATTAACATATTTTTTAAAATTAATCGATTGGTGTGTCTTTTATGCTTTATAGCTTAGGCTGTATTTTAACCTTCACAGTAGAGTAAAAAATCCTAATTGATTATAAATTTTTTTTGGGATTTTTGATCTTCAATAATGCTGTTAATGCTTCTGCTTCTAGTGTAGATAGTATATCGTTAAATTTAAATAAATCCTAACTATACCAACACATGTGTATAATTTATTATTTTCCATTAAAAATGTTATAAATTTGAACACACTACGTGGTAAAACACAATATTACATAATTAAAAATAAACTACTATAGGTCCACCACTTAGAGGTTCTTTTCTAAGTGGTCGACCTATAAAACATTTTTACTCTCTACTTTAGGTAGGCCTAGTTGTGTTAGTAGTGATTAAAATTTTTTAACCACAGTAGAATGTTTTGACATTTTGAATTTTCAACAAAATTTTACTCTGTACTGTATGTAGTTGTGTTAGTAATAGTTAGATACCACAATAGAGTGTTTTCTCGTGCCTTATACAAACTTTGGTTGCTTTGCCTGCTGAGGACCTATCACATTGCTTACTGAACTTGTCATGCTTTGCTCAATAGGTGTCTAAATGTTCTATTTCCTCCCACTCACCACCTGGCTTTATGTAAGTTTGACATGTAAGTGATCATTTTACTACTCTGTTTGCTGTGTGCCTTTCTTACATTCTTACATTTTACACAGAAGAACCTCAGTAGCAAATATCTCTAGAGTAAATAAGAGTTAGAACACATCCGTTATTGAGGTTTAAGCCACTAACTATTCTAATTCCACAGTTCAAAGAGACTTGAAAAGAAATCTTTTCATAAACAAACTTTTACCATGAGTCTTTTGTTACTCAGGTTCCACTGTGTTTTTTGAGAAACAACCAGTTTAGTTTTTTGTTTGTTTTAATAATTTGTGTGATATGCTTTTTTTTAGTAGCTTATTACATAGCTTTTATTCAGATTCGTAATTACATAGTAAATAACGATTAAACGATCAACAAAGTAAATCCTGATTTATTTGTTCTAGTATTAACTAATTCTCCTTATTAATGTCTTATGAAATTCACAATTTCTTTTGTTTTCATAGTGTGTCTGTGAATCATGTTTCACAATGTTACTTAAATCTTTGATCACTTTTAGTGAGAAGAGAACCAGAATCATTGATGATGAAAGTGACTACTTCTCCACCAATTCCGTCTGGTTGTCGGCTGCCGAGAGGGAGAAACTGAAGAAGAAAGAAGAAGAAGTTTACGCTCGAAAACATCAGTCTCGTAGAGAACAGACTCTCACACTCGATCTAGGATGTGAGTTGTTTTCAGTATATCAAGGAAATTAAGTAGTTAAGTCATTTATACACATGTTATTTCTGTCCTATGAGTCGAATAAGCTTCCCCTTTGTTCCTCAACAGTTCTTCTTTCTTCACCTTCTACCATCACTTTTTTTCTCCACATGCCTCTTTCTCTATCCTTTTTGGTCTTCCCTCCTGTTTCAACACCAACTCCGTTTCCCTAGAAATCCTCTTCTTACGAAACCATCTTAATCTTGCTTTTTCCGATTTTTCTGCTTTACCATTCGTTTTCTTCAACTACCCTATTCCTGATCTCTCTATTCCTAACCCTAACGCACCATGTTTTGTTCTCAATTTAGCCCTTGAATCAACATTGCTTGGTTGCCTTCACCTCTTTAATATTTTCAATTATTTGATGTATTGCCTTCAGGGTCACTTCACCCAATTAATTATTACCTGTTAGTGATTTTCTTTTTGTACGAGTAGTCCTGCAGTCATGTATCATATGGTTGGTTCAGACACCTGTGGTGTCATTTTCACTCAGCTGTAGAATTTTCACTCAGATCGTCACAAGTCTCAAAAATAGTTAACACACACGTACGTAAACAAATCAAACGCGAACTGTGTGGACACCTAATTACTGCACAGCAGTTACATGTTTAGGTCTTGACAAGCCTATGTTGAAATTGGTATTGCTTGTTGTGTTACAGTGAGGAAGATGATAGAGACCAAACCGCAGACAGACTTTGACCTGAACGAGCTGGACGATGTGTTGAGGGACATAAGTAGCAGTGTGAACAACTCACAGACCGGATATTGTGAGACGGACAACACTGATCCGACAATCAACCTACATCCTAAGGTAAGGTAGGAACAGTGCTGCTTAATGTAGATAATGTTGAGACAAAAAAATTATGGTGAGAAGACAGGAACATTGTAGTGTTTGGAACATTTATCCAATTCAGTTTTACAAATTTTTTGAATTCACTATTTTCCTTTATGAAGTACAGATTGTAGAGTACTTCCCAAGCTCAACACAGGTTGGAAATTCTGTCAATTCATGTTCAGTCATTCCTAATTATTTTGTGTAAAATCATTGAAACTTACCAAGATGGATTGTTTCCCATTCCTGATTTTCTAACATCGATTGTTAAAACCTTGGCTCTTATGTCCTATGTTACATAATCATTCGATTTGGTCGAACAGTCTTTAAGACAGAAGTATATATAGCTATCAACTGATTTGAATAAGATGTCTTTTGCAATTTTTATACTGAGAAGCGACTTAAAGACAAAGAAAGTGGAGACAGAAAGTTTAGAGCTGGAAGTACTTGAAAGCTGCACTTACTTGTCATGGAAAGTACCCCTAAAGAGTAAAGAAAGACATTGTATAAGTATGTGGTGCACCCGGCATATTGCAGCCAGTAATTTGCCGTCTACTCCTCCCGTCATAACACTGTGATCATGTTGTCCACAGTACGACGAGAACGTGATGTACGAGGTGGAGAGAGGAAGGAGAGGCTCCGGGACCCGAGCAGCTACCTCTGGCACCAAGGTACAAGACAAGGAGTTCCAGGAGATGGTGGACCTAGGGCTGTGTCTAAGTCTGCACCAGCCGTACGCGTCACTACTGGCTACAGGAGTAAAAGAGTAAGCTGCAATCCTTAAGAGAAACTTTGATTTTTAATTTTCGCTTATTTTCCTCTGAAAGTAAAAAAAACTGTTTTATGTTTGGCCTAACTGCTTTAAATTATCGTATCTGTAAAGTGAACCCAATTGCCAGATAAGGTAATTTAAACCATATTTGATCAGGTATTCAGAGGCTTATGACTGAATTGACCAAAGTGAGGTTGTTTTATTGGTGTCATGCTCTCAATAGTACTGTTTTGTTTATCAACGCATAATTACTTACAGTTGTGGGAAAAATTTTCCTTTTGTTTAAGAATCTAAGTGCCAGCATGTGTGGACTCTTCTACAACAGAAGTCAGAGGAAAATATTGAACAGTTTACAAAATCAACTATGACATCTTCAGATTATTTAGTACAGTTTGATAGGGACTTTAATGAGTCGATGGCTCGTCAGCAATGCAACAGACTACAAATTACGGCAGAAATGTCGTGGATTCAGGTCGTGGTATCACTTAATTTTATCAGTATAGTTCAATCTTGTAAGAACCAACTTACCCCTTCCTAACCTGGATACACTACACACAGGACTGAACCCTAGGTTGACAGCAAATTGCAAGGCTTAAAGGCTTTGTGCATGTTAAAGAATACCTTAGACTAGTGGTATGGATAATCTCTTATCAACTTATCAATGTTGTAGACATGAAGGTCGCACTTGGTACTCCTCACATAGAGGAAGGCTGTGGATTGCTTCGGCAGCCAAACCTCCGCTGGACTCTGAGATCAGGGAGATGGAAACGCTCTACAGGGAGTTGAAAGGAAGTAAGTTACCTATTATTTTTCAATGTTCAAAACTTTTACATCTATTTATAATCATCGTTCGAATGACTTCTTTGCAATGAAAATAATTCGGCTTTGTTTTAAACAACAATGTTAGAGATCAATTTTTTTTATAAAAAGAGGTTGGCGGCTTCTTTTTACCTTGCATTTGCCCGTCCACATAGACTAACCGCCCGTGCGTGGAACGTTTACAGCAAAGCAAGGAGTGAGCCGGTACAGTACAAAGGTGAACTGTACTGATAAATTTTAGTGGCAGTGACCAGGATCCGAACCCACGACATCGCTGCCTTGGGCCCGAAGTCCGCGACGCTACCGACTCACTACTACTAATTTGATCTGCTTTTACTTGGAGAAATTATTTAGTTCAATATCAAGAAGATAGTTTCACTTTCAACCAATGAAATTTAACCAATTATTAAATAATTGAGAGCTCCTATACCTGTAAGTTTTAAACTGACAAACCCATACATACATTACGTTACATGTAGCTACGGAAAATGAGGTATATTATAAATATGCGTCCATTGATTGGGAAGGGTTAGCAACATCCAATCGTGTGTTGGCCACAACGTTAGCATGTGTCTGAGACTGACTCCGTGACAGAGAGCTTTTTGAAACAGTTGATTTGGAATGATTGAAAAATCAGATAAGATTAGGTTTATAATTTATTTGCCTCTGAAATAGCTTGTGTTGGTTTAAAGTGTGTGAATGCAATTGTGTTTTAGCTATGATCTTCCCCCTGACCTACCCGACTGGCTGTCTGCTGGGTTGTGTCAACGTCGTGGATTGTCTCCCTCAGGAAGAATACAGGCAAAAATTCCCGGATGGGGAGAGCAGCTGTCCCTTTGTCTTCATCTGTGACAGCCCTCAAGAACTACCTATCCGCTTCCCAGTGAGTGGGAAACATAAAATATGTGAGTAATGTACAAAAGATTGACTGAATTAGCCCACTCGCTATAAATTGTGTAGAAATATACCAATTGAATGGCTGAAATTTGTTTAATGTTTTTAGAAAGGGATATAGAGGTTTAGTTGGCTTTTCATCAACCTACCTACTGTATCCATTCCCAAAAACTCCTAAAGCTGCCAAATGACCTATGGAACTGAAATTATAATCTATAGTATAATGGGCAAAACTGGAGGGTAACAACATTTTGGGTATCGAAGCTGCGAAGTCTATATAAGCAACCCATTGGTATTGCTAGCCTATATAAAACACTGGTTTTCTGTGTTGGACCTCCAAATTACAAGTGTTTACCTCACCCAAATATTTTAGCTTGTAATCCCATAAACCAATCGTTCTCGACCTACCTTGCCCTGAATGTTCACATTTATAGAAAACCAAAATGGTCAGGTCAGGTTTCTTAGCTGAGTTTTGAGGAGCCACGTAAAAAATACTGTTAAAAACGAATTCTACTTCCCTAAAGGCTACAGCTCACAAAAAGTTGTCTTATTGTTCAAAATTATTTAGTTGCTAATATTTCCCTTTTTAAATTATAAAATGTTTGTTAACATTGATTTTTCACTAGTTTATATTTATTTTCCCTCATTCTTTTTATGCAAAAATTGATTTTGTAATTTTAGCAGCAACATTTGTTGTAGTTACAATTAATTGCATATGATTATGTGATTTTTTAAATTTTTATATGAATAGTGTGAACTATTGTTTTGTTTTTGCAGGGAATTTGGACCCGTTGATCCACCAGGCAGCTCAAAAAGCTCTTCAGCGAGTCGCCAAAATAAAATCGGAGAAGAACAGTCAGTCATTCCTGAGAAACAGTTAGGATAGTTAGCAGTTCATACTGAGCTTTCAGTACACAAACCAAAATGTGATATTTTCTAAATATTTATATTGAAAATCTAAATTGATTGAAAGTTAAAATACTTTAGTATAATTGTCTATAAAATGACATTCATTACAGTTAATTTCATAAAAGCTTATAATAAGTTAAAGTAAGTTTATGTTATTTTGTTTTATTTCTTGTTTGTCATAGAATTTGTTGTAGAAGTATATTTTTAGTTGAAATATTGTTTTGTTCCTTAACATGTTTAGTCAGTATTTTTATCTCCAAATCATCTTGTGGTACTTTTTGTTTCAGAAATGTTTAAGAAGTTGAGTGAAGAGTTTGTATAAAGATGTTTCATTTGATTTTATGTGTAACTGAAAAAATATACACATAACAAGATGCTTAAAATTAAAATATAGTTAAGTGGAAAAGTTTTCTAAAACTGAACTATGGTTGGATTTATCCATTTATTAAACTTGTTAAAATTAAATTCAACAGTTAAATGTTAACCTACTCAATGACTACAAAAAACCAATAGGCTATTTTGTTCTCAAAACATGTAAATAATCATTATTTTTGATATATACTACACTACAATATTACCTAAAAACCATGTACTATATACTATTTGTTAATTAAAAGTGTTTAATCAATTAACTGTTTTATTCCATCTCCATGTCTTACTTTTTGTGTGAAAATATTACTGAAAAACTTGACTAAAAATAAATGCAATTGTGATTTTAGGATTCTATATCAAAAGAGAGCAGCTAAAGGTTTGAGGTAGGCCTAATTTTTATTTGCACCTAATTTTAACAGTTGATGAAAAAACTGCTTGAAAGAATATTCATTGTGGTACTTATTTGCCAAATTAACACGTAAAACAGCCAATTAAGATTGTAATAATGATTAGATTGCTCAATTTGCAAGAATCAACAGTCAAAGCCTACATTCTTTGTTGAGCTAAAGCTTTCTCAATTAGGATTGATTTTATTAGTTGTAATTAAATTATTTGCAGTATGGCCGATCAAGGTTTGTGTTTGAGAGTGGATCAACCAGCTGCTGGACTTTTGGTCTGTGGGATAAAAAAGTGAGTTAAGTTAATTACTAGTTAGTTAAGTTTTATAATAGTTAAACAATTTATCCCCACTTTTTATGAAAACAGTTTATTTCTTTTAAGACTTCAAGCTCTTCAATGTTATTACAGTAGAACCTTCATAACAAGACTCTGATGGGAATTATTAAAAAAGACTCGTTGTGTCGTTATCGAGGTTCCACTGTATAACTAGAGGTATATTAACAGTGCCATCTTAATTAAACCACCAATGAAAATTCAATTTGTAAAAAAATACAAATTGATGGCTTAGGTACCTTTTACCATCTAATATATAAAATTCTCGTGTCACAGTGTTTGTCTGCAAACTCCTCCGGAACGACTTCACCGATCGTTGTGAAATTTGGTGTGTAAATTCTGTAGGTATGCGAATCGGACGTAAACTATTTCCCGTTTCGAAATTCTTAAAAGGGCTCCGCCCCAGTGGCTCTGGAGTTTCCCATGTTAACCTTATGAGAAATGGAATTAATGAATCTTAACAGCTGTTTCAATTAAACAAGTTGGTTCTGTTCTATGATGTTCAATAGCATTAAAGTTACAAGGATTACCAACAGGGTGCAGCACTATTATTTCTTTTACATTTATGACAACAGCTAATTTGCAACCAAAAGGTGAGTGAGCGTAGCGAACTAACTTCAACCTGGAGGCGAGTAAGCGTAGCGAACGAGCTAACCTGAAGGCAAGTGAGCGCAGAGAACGAGCTCCAACCTAAAGGTGAGTGAGCGTAGCGAACGAGCTCCAACCCAAAGGTGAGTGAGCGTAGCGAACGAACTTCAACCAGGACGTGATTGAGCGATGCGAACGAGATCTTGAAAATTAAACGTAACGGTACTTTCTTTCCATCGGTCTGTCTTAGGGGAAACCTATAACTTAGGCGATACGAAGTTCGCCGGGTCAGCTAGTATTATTATATTTATCTCGATAAATTGGGTTTATGTTAAATGTGATTTCTTATTTGGGAACCCGGCAATCATCAATCCCTAGTTTACCGAAGGTATTGTTAATGCTTCGGTTGCCCTGTAGTCAAAGCTTCTGTCAGGACTGTTGAAGGACAGAAGATTTGACAATGGTGCAACTTAGAACTTTAAACTATTAATTGGTCAACTAAAAGATTGACAATAGTAAAAGGTTACACAACTTATTACTTTCTCCCCTTATACTTAGTATAAGGAGAAAGTATTGTTTTTGTCAAAATGTTATAGTTTAAGTTTTAGGTGGGATTTCTTTTGTGTTCCACTATGCCCAAAAGTGGTTTTTGAAGTGATGTATGTGTGTATGAATGAATATAGAGCACAAAACTACACTTGAAGGACAATTTTGATGGAACTCGGTAAGTGGGTATTCATGGTATCTCGAGGAATGTTTTTGTTCTTTTTTTTTTAATTTGTTTTTTAATGGTGATTATTATTTTTTTTTAAACCAGGGCTGTGCGAATAGTTCGAAAAACAAATCGAACCCGAATCTTTTTAGAGATTCGATTCGGATTCGAGAACGAATCTACTGTTTCTAACTGGATTCGGATTCGGAATCGATATTCGAATTTACTGGTAAGAAATCCGGGTTCGGATTCGATATTCGAATTTCTTGGAAATAGATCCGAGTTGGGATTCGATATTCGAATTTCTTGGAAATAGATCCGAGTTGGGATTCGATATTCAAATTTACTAGATTCTGATTGAATATAATTTTCAATATAATTTTTTAGACACTAAAAAACTACTTGTGCACTCCAATTTGCTGTTGACTGATTCATGTTAGGAACCTGACCAACTTGGTGTTAGGTTTTAGGCTAGGGATCCCAGACGTCCTCTTTTTCCCGGACACGTCCTCTTTTTGGGTACAAAAAAAAAACGTCCGGGGGGATTTTTGGCAATACTTTCAAATGTCCGGGATTTTGACTTTGTGAGAGAATAAAAAAATATTTCTGCAAGTATTAATATTAGCAATCAGCTTTTATAATTAATCGTCATCATAACATTGAACTAAGTTAAAATACTACACTTTAATAATATCTTGCTAAACTATTATACCAGGGGAACTTTAATATTTTTTATTGCAAATCGTTCTACTAAATTAAATTCATTGTAGTCTTTACACTTGTGGCGAACGAATGGACTAATTACAAACTCTAACCCAAACCTCGGGATCGTTCGTTATAAAACTACTCTAACCCAGGCTTGCCTGTATAAACATGAAGAGTACTTTGGTTTAGAGTTTTAGATATTTTAGTTGCCAGAGCCATCTTGATTGTTTTGTTTTTATTTTGACGATTGTCATGAACTTTGTACATAGTTTTAACGACAATAAATCATTTCATTCATTCGAGTCTGACTATTTTTTGTACGTATTTTTCGGCAGACGACGGACGCTTTCAGCCATATACGGCAACGGCAGTGTCCGATGCTGGCGTTCGACGTTCCGTCGCATTCTTCTTATTTAATTTTTCACTATTTAATGTTACCATTAATTTTAACCTAGATGGTTGAAAACTTGAATTGGGTATTGGATAAAGAAAAGAAGTTGTATTAAAGTCCAAGCTTGAAGGGTAGTTGAATATTAATTTATCTGAGTTCAGCGATAGGAATTTATTATTACAGTAATGTGTAACTCAATGATTATCATAGAAAATTTTTTAGATTTCAATATTAAATCATTCATATTTAGAGCACCTGATATCATATTTAAGAATAACACTACCCAATTGGTATGTTGCTAGCCACAAAAAAAAAACAACAAAATGGTAGTGTCTCAGACTTAGATGGGGAAGGGACGGATTTAATTCCCGGCACAACCACTGACAACCACAAAAAAGTTGCACAAAAACTTTATTCTCACATTGCCCCTTGTAAAATGCCACTGCCGTAGAAAAAAAATAGAACACTGAGAACCAACTCTTCAGGCGGTAGCAGTGACAGGACGCCGACGGCATCGTTAGTTGGGTAGTGTACTTTGTGTAGGTTAACTGTTGCTTGCTGGGCAGGTATAATGCAGTCGTGTTGGGTGCTAGTTCTTAAACACTTCTTAGATAAAATAAGTTCTCTGGTTCAAAATCATGGTCTGATTTAGGACAATTTCTGTTTAGCATGCACATTGGCACCAGGGTGTTTTTGTAAATCAAGCTTGCTTGAATGTGTTGTAATGTTGCGGTATTCCTTTAATATTAAAACCACAAGCCTCAATAATAAAAAAAACATGACATTATACGAGTACAAGTTTATTTTTTAACATTTCTTGACCTTTAAAAAATAAACTGGGAAGCTTGAGCACATTAAACTAGGTCCTCAAAATAGCTTAAAAAGTACTAATTTTAGCACGTTATTTCCAAAATTTTCCCGGGGGGGAAACCCCCGGACCCACCTTCTTTGCTGGGACTTAAATCCCAAGGGTCCCGCTTCCCAGGGACCCCCCCAAAATATATGTCTAGGACCACCCTTGGTGAGTAATTTTGTCCTCTTTTTTGATGGAGGGTCCCTGGGAACCCTATTTTAGGCACATTAGTGTAGGTCGCATTTGAACCCTATCTTGGCTATCAGTAAACTTAACCTCACAGTGTTAGTTGTTACTTGTAATAGTAATGCATACATAGGCTTGTGTGGAGGATTAACACCAAGGTGTATAATAGGCTGGGCCTATGTTTTAGACTACACAAATTGGTAGTCCATCACTTTTAGTGAGTAACTGAGGCCTAGGTGGTATGCCTAACTTATGCCCAATTTTTTACTTTCAAAACTTCAAATAGGTAGGCTTAAATTTTATAACTTTTTTATTTGGCCCATTTCAAGAATTTTTTAAGCAATTCCCTAAGTTATTTTAGCCCCAGAAAATGTGGTGTAAATATGTGAAAATTGGTACTGCTGACTTTCCTCGGATTTGAATTCGACTCTGAACAGGTTTAAATATTCGGATTCGATAACAGCTTTAAATTTCAGATTCGGATTCGATCCAGGTTCGATAATGGCTGTAAATTTGAGATTCGGATTCGACCCAGATTCGACTCGGGATTAATTCAAATATTCGGATTCGATCCGGATTCGATAAAATCTGTACAGCTATGATTCGGATTCGGATTCGAACCAAAATTTCTGGATTCGCACAGCCCTGAAAAAAACCATATAATAACTGTAAAATTTAATTTTTGCATACTATATTACATAAATTTAGTAGAATGTTACAGTACTTTCAACTCTTTCAACCATCAATTCTGTAAAAATGGTTCAAAGTTATTGTCACTTTAATTTTCCCCATAAAATATCATAGTTACCCATGGTGTTTGACAAGCTAATGGGAGAAAGTATGTCAGATTGCTGATACCGTTTATTGTATTTAAAACACTCAGACAAATTTGTTCTTCTCTGCTAGGTTTAAAGGGTACCCTGAACTGTTTACTCACCGAGGCCGTCTATGGATAACAGCTTCCGACAAGGAAGCTACGTTACAAGAAATCAGAGAGGCTGAGGCTTTCTACATGAGAACTAGGGGAAGTGAGTGAATGTTTAATACTAGAGATGGGAAATACCGTTACTTTGTAATATTAGTCAGCAATAATAATAATAGTCCTTAGCTTTCTAATAGGTTAAATAATATTTTTTTGTCACTTATTACTTCCTTGCTAAGGACATTTAAGTTGAGATGCTGTTAATGGAAAGAAACGATCAGCATTATTTTACTTGTTCAGTTTAATAGTTCAGAAGACAATACAAAAATAATCGTAAAGCTAAGGTATTTTGTGAAGCTCGCCGTTAATCAGCCTTATTTTATTTGTTCGTTCACAGTCCAGACGACTCATATTCTCAGTAATCCATTACCAAGGTATTATTATTTTGTGAAGCTCGCTGTTAATGGAAAGACGTGATCGGTGGGATAGTTATTTCATTCGTTCCTCTAAACCGTTCAGATGAGGTTGCTAAAATAATAGGGTATTTGCAGTGATCTATTACCACGCTAATTGGAGACATTTCCGTAATAGTATTATTTATCCTAATACGTTGAATTCAACCACCAAACAATCTACCAAAATTATTACTATTATATCCTTTCTACAGCTATACTATTTCCCAGCGGATACCAGCGCAGTTATCTGATCGGCTGTGTGGACGTGGTCAACTGTATCACCCACAGCGACTACACCAACCAACACCCGGAACACCCGGAGACTGACAGCGACTACGTATTGGTCTGTCAGAATCCCAGGTGTCTCCCGAGGTTACAGTTCCATAATCCCGGGACGGAAACCTTGTGTAAGTTATGGCTTCTGTCGACTGAGTCTTTGTGCTGATTATCTTGATTAGTGTACATAAATCCTCTTTGGTTACGGTGTTTCCTTGACCTCTCCATATCCTATTCTTCCACAGTCCTCATCTTCTACTTTCTTGTTTATAACACTAACACTATTAATTTCATTTTCTTATCATATTTCTCTTCTCATAGCCCCATTTTGCTGAATTCCTGCTTGTCTACTCTTCCTTTAAAGCTGCCTTTATTCCTCTTCTTAACTCAGTTCTTAACCCTATCTCAGTTATGAATAAATAAATAAATAACTAAATAATAATCACAACTGTAAGCCTAATGAAAATTGAAACAAAATATTTTACTTCCTTTTCTTTGATGGAATGATTGTGAAACGTAATTATATTTTGTTATTCAATATATCAAATAATTAAATAAACAAATCTTCAAATAACTTTTTACCCATCTACCATAAGATTTTCCTAACACAAAACATTTCAAAACACAATGTAAATGTTTTAAAGCTACAATTGCAACTAATGGAAGCACATGGATTGATAAGCAGTTGTAAAATCAGCTGGAGTAAACAGTAAACCGTAAACCGCTGAGAAAATGGCGAGACTTTGGCCACAATTTGTCAGTACGTTGTGGTCAGTACATTTGAACTAGGGATTGTGGGATTGTACATACATAAAGCCATGACTCAATGAGCTGGTTTGTACCAACCTTACAAAATTTTATAGAAAATCTCGGCTTTCTAGTGGAGTTGCTGTGTCCGTGCTACCTCCAGTGGTATTTCTACTAGAAAACCAGTCCTCTAACCTTAGTTGTGCGTTAAACACAAAACAAGTGACATGTTGGCAAATAGACACCAGCTGATTTTAATTTGACAAGGGTCACATGGTTCCAGTAGTTACAAACTTATGTAATATTCTGTCTTACGTATTAAGCTTTAAAGTTATTTAAACAAAAGTTAAGTACTACTCTTGTTTCAGTTAAACTAGATCCACTGGTGCATGCAGCTGCAGTAAAAGTGTTAAATAGTCAACAGCCGAACCAGCTGCTAGGCAAAGAGTTCTTTATGGACGGGAAAAAGTAGACAAATGTTTAAACTAAATATAATTATTGCAATTCAGCGTGTGTTTTTCCACCTTGTAAAGATTTAAACAAGAAATTAAACCTAAAACAGCATAGATACGTAGTCATATAGTCATAGAAACACAATTTGCTGACTGGCAGCTACGCTACATTCTACGTTAACCATGCCATGCAAGTACTACAAATGGCAGTGTCAGCGACACTAGAGTAGTCTTCTTAGCATCAGACTCACAGCAAAACGCTCTTAATTTTAATTTTTATTTTTTACTACTAGTTTTTACTGAGCAAGTGGAAAAAGCATCGTTTGAACGAATACAAGCGCACTCGCCGACTCACCAGCTTCTTTCATGCTGGCGTATAGCTTGTAAACTCTGAAAAACCTACATCAAATTCTTCACAAGGACAGTTGACGCAACCCACATGACAATAAACATGTTTTCGGTAATAGTAACAGCAACTATTTCCCTCTAAGACCTGTACTGCACAAGAATGGCATTGATTTGACATATGTTAAAATTCACGCTAAAATTCAGTTTACCCAAACATGACTTGTGGAAGACAATTGTATTAATTTTCTTTTGTTTGTAAAACACTAAAATGACCTGTAAATTGGTCGAGACACTTGCACAACTGATCTCTTTTAATCACTTCAAATCTACCTTACAGGATTGGTTCATTAATAAACCATTTTACTCCCTTTATGAGTTTGTACCATCCACATTCTCTATGTAAAGCGTAAACTTGATGTACATAGATTTAGGTAATTTTAATTGCTTGTATTAGCAGGTAGTAACATTGCAGGTGTTTAATATTGACTGTTCCTATTTCTGTAATATTTGGGGGAGCAAGCTGGTGGTTTGAGCGTGGGACTTTGGTTCCTGAGGTCTCAAGTTCAAATCACCAATGGATTTGATCTAAGTGATATTGCCGTAACCCCTAGGTTTAGCCTGAAGTAATGTGAAAAAAAATCCCGGGCTCGTGCCTAGCGTCCTAGGAAATGGATTTGTCTGTAATAAATCGATGGAATACAAACTCTTGACTCTTGTACAGATCTCCATGTTCATGTAAATAAAGAATATTATCTATTGTACATTATTGTAGGAAGGTTAAATCTCAGATTTTTTCAATCCTTGGAAAAAATGTTGGCAGTAAGAAGAGTAAAGGTCATCAAACGAGGTGAAACCATATTAAATTTTTATTAACAGACAATTCAGCACAAAAAATACATTTTTCAACCACTCTCTCTTCAATATCAATGTACACTACTTACTTACCCACTTTGACAAACAGTTTTTTTTTCCTAACTTAAACAACATTTCACTCTGTGTAAATATTGCAAAACTACTCGACAAGGTTGTGTCGATTAGATAGGGCTGTTTTCAAAACCTCGCGTGCCAAAGTCCTTGAGAGTTTTGGTGCTCACTGCTGGATATCCTGGATCTTGAGGATATACAGCCTTCTTGCTAGTACTTACACGCCAACCTTGTGTTCTGGTCCAATCCTGGAAACAAACATACGTTGGGAAATCACCAGGCCTATTATTTGTAAAGAATGGTCATACCTACGTAAAATACTACATTTAGGCTAGGATATGATTTGATTGAAATTATTTGATTGATTGATTGACCATAAGTTATATCAAACGATTATTTGATTCGCCCAACGCTCTGGAGGGAGCGAGAGATAGTTTAATTGCTATGACAACCATATGCATAGAAAGATAACCAGCGATCACCAGTACCTATGGGCGTTTTTGACATTCGCAATCAGGTGATCCCTCAAAAAAATATCTTTCTTTCAAACAAAGATTATATTTAAAATTGGGTAATCCCATTTTTAAACCTCAAAACATAAAACTTTGCAATTTCTTTACAAACCATTTTGTAGAGCTTGAAAACACAAAAAATTTAGTATAATGAAACTTGTATGCTAAATGGTTAGGGAGAGAAATTAAATATATTACCAGAAGACATGCAATAGTTTTGCTGATCCATAAGGATCACATTTCTTCATTTGCCGACAGTGAAAATTAACTTATTTGTTATTTGCATTTTTGTGCAATTTGAAAAATGAATTGGACCAGTGTGCCTTATGGTAAATGCGCCATTTACCATAGGGCACACTACCAATTACTTTTTGTAATAAGAGGCCGTGTTAAAAGCAGTCATATTTTTTTTTGCAGGACAACATATTATGTTTATTTAATCTAAAATTTAAAATGTATCAATATCAGGCCCTATTTATTTTATTTATATGAAAAAATTACCTTTTTTGAAACCGCTTTTGATTGTTATACTTTTCCAAGTCATTTTAATTTCTTAAATATGCATGAAGAAAATAATAGTAGGGTAAAGAGTGAAAAAAAAAGTTAAGTGTTGCAGCATTCTGCATTTAAACTGTCAAAGGAAAAGCGTAAAAGAGAGAGAGACTTCCTTTCAGCAGTGGCGTTGCTTGGTTAAATTCTAGGGGGGGGGGAAGCCTCAAATTTCCCAACTGCTTAACATAGATTTCCCAACTATTTTAATAAAAAAAAATCAATTTCTGTGCTATTTTTCAAAATCTACAAATTATTATACTACACTGCAGTCACACTCAATTCAGTATTTATTAATTTGCATTAACAAAACATAGCTAGTTTTACATATATATACAAAATTACTCAATTCAAAAAACGTCTAAAACTTCCAATAATTCATAATGAAATTTTATGACTAAAAAAACTTGAATAAGTATTGTTTCACATCTAAAACACTTTACATACCATTGAGGTAGCAGACGTAGCAGTGTAAAATTTTAGGGATATAAAATAAGCCTAGTGCAAATTAGTATATAAAAAAAATTTTATTACAAAATAATGAAATTACAATACTTTTAGAAGTTGATATTAAGATCGATATTAAGATCAACACTTTAACTTTCATAAAACTTACAACTAGGCCTAAACAAGTTTGTAATGATGAAATAATATTAATAGGCCTATCAGTGTTGTGAATAATATTTTTCTAGTCTAGAAAAGAATAAACCTAAAATAAGACTTGTATAAAATAAAAACGTTCAACTTGGTTGATAATAAACTTATATATACAATAAAAATGTTAACCTTCATCTTCATCAAACTAGAACTTAGACAAAAATCAAACTTAGACGTGAAAGTCAAACATCAAATTTTAGGTTATTCAAACATCAAATTTTAGGTTATGTTTTGTCCACGTAGATATGTTTCAGAGTGATTAGTTGATTCATTTTTGTAAATTCTTAATTAGGAATGATAAATAACTTTTGTAGATTTTTAAAATATATTCAGAGAATAAATATTTCATTTAGGTTATTAAAAAATAGGCCTAAGAGTTTTAAAGGTACTGTAATACCGATATACAAAACCTATCTTAAATGCTATTTTAATATACTTATTAGCAAGTACTCCTGTCAGAGAATAAATATCAGAGAATAAATATTTCATTTAGGTTATTAAAAAATAGGCCTAAGAGTTTTAAAGGTACTGTAATACCGATATACAAAACCTATCTTAAATGCTATTTTAATATACTTATTAGCAAGTACTCCTGTCAGTTAGCCTGCTCCAAATACTACAAAAAAGATATAAAATAGTTCATGATACTGATGGCGTGAAAAATATTTTTGAATTTCTTGTAAACACTAAAAAACAACATGATTGAACTGAGGAGCTATATCGCTTGCACTTTCAAAATTCAAACTCGCAGTCTCGCAGACGAATCATTCCAGAATCATCAACACAGGACAGGATCAAGGTAGCCAACATACGTCTAATTAAGGGAACAAAATTTCTCGTAAACGAAATTCCAACAAACTATACAGCTAATTGATTATTGATTTCTAAAATAAGGTGTGTTTAGCCATGGTTTAGCCTAGTTTCATCAAAGTTAAATGAAATCAAAGAAACATCAAGTTTATTCGTCCAAGTCAAAAAAATATTTTTCTTTGATAGATTTTCGCAAATTTTAAATTTTATTTAGTTTAAGAATATATTTTTCTTGTATCTGACTTCCCAACTGTCCCAACTCGTGGCAAGGAAATTCCCAACTTTTCTATTTCCCAGATTCTAGGGGGGGGAGGCTCCCCCCCCTACCCCCCCCAAAGCGACGCCCCTGCCTTTCAGAGAGACCTGATTATATAGAAAATGGCCTAAGAGTTTAGCTTCAAAATGTATCTAGGCTATACTATATCATAGTAAGATTTGGTTTTTTTCACTTTGTATGTTTTATTTAAAAATTTCGGTTACTTTCTGCATAGCCCTCATATTAATATACTCACATTGGCATTGTATTTGAAGTAGTACACACCAGCGTACACAGTGAACAAACCTATGAAAAACTTCCCAGTGAGGTAGCGGACGTATGGAGTTTTCGTACCCTGAAATCAAATTATATAATCAATATTCATTTTCATAGGCCAAGAATTGTATATTTGAAGGAACTTTGTACCTAACCTAGTAAAATAGGTTCGAGGTTCTTCAGGTAGGCCTATCAACAATCTAGATATCTTTCTAATTGCTTTGGTTTGTTTTAAGTATCAAGTTAAAAAAGTAAATCTTACAAAAACAAAATAAAACAAAACCATCAAAAGCTTAAAAAATAGCCTATTAATTTAAACAAGCATAACATTGCTACTGGTGGGACAGCCTTCGAACATTTTGGTGCAGTAGGCCAAGTTTGTACATTTTATATCATATTGAAAAAGTTGAGCAGTTGAGTTAGCCTACTAGGAGACATTTGAGTTACTGATCAGTCTGACAACGCCCAAGGCAATAAAAATATATTTACATAGTCGACGTTGGTTAGTAACAAAACGTTTGGACCATTTCCATAGACAAATGTTTTTAAATGTGAATTTTGAAGATAGGCTAAAATTAAACACCAAAAGTATGCTTATTTAAACTGTTCTCCAAGTACCGTAACTGAAACCAAAGATTACAAATCAGGCAGAAGGGAGTAGTTTCGATCCATAGTGGGTGAACAAGACTACACTTTGTAAGAAAGGGAGTTCAAATGTTTTATTTTCCGCCACAACCTAATTAAAGTATCTTGAAGGCTATGTATAGTAGTGTTTTAGCCTAAATGTACATTGACACAATCTATCTGACATTGTTGGTCGTTGATGAAGGATTAGGGCCATATGGTAATGTGTAAAAAAAGAGGAGATTTAAGCTGGTGGCCCTCCGGCTCCCATTATAATAGTGGATAAAAATTAACGGGTTAGTAAAATTGTATAGCTATAGTACCTAGCAAAAATAGAAAGGGTAACAGAAACTGTATGGGTCATAAACTTAAGTACCGGTACCTATAAACAAAATTATGTTTCTGGCCCGAAAGTAAACGCATTTTTATTACCTATTATTTAAATGGAGCTGTAAAAAACATCCAAACCAATTGCAACCGCTATTAGCCATTCAGGCCAGTGACGTCATTTGCTCATGTTTATTGATCCATACCGTTTCTGTTTAATATTCGTGCTACATTGTCAGTATTCAAATGGTAAACGAAAACATAAAATGTTGCCTTGCTCGTCACATCTCACTAAAAATAACAAATAACCGAATGAAGTCACCAAACGCTCTCTGTCTGGTAGTGAACATGGATACCTTTGGATTGGCCGGCAGATGTGAATTCAAGGACTGGGAGCAATGAAAGAGATAAAGATAAACTAAGGACGTTGCTGGCCACAGTGAAACCAAGGAATAAAAAACGTTAGTATAGAGTACGAGAGTTGAGTTTTTCATTTATTTCATAACGATATTTGCGAACGCAAACATTTATTTTATTCCAAAAGTGCCATTATCTGCATAATGTATATTAATAGAAAGTAAAACCGTATTTTAACCCAAATATACGGCCTCCAGACACTCGTCTGGAGGCAACTTATTTTAGAGGGGGTTTTTTTTACCGGAGACCAAAATAACTAGGGTACCTACATAAGTTAATTGGAAAGAACATACTTTGACTTACAGTACTGTAGAAATTTGACATGTGAATTACAATTAAAATATATGTATAAAATATATACCTTTGGGTTCTGCCTCCTAGAAGGCAGCAATGTCGGCCAGGATTCAGTTGAAACAGAGGCCACCCTTATACAACTTGCTGCAGCGGTTATGTTAAGTTGGGTTGATCATAAATATGTTTGTAGGACGTTCCTTGTTTTGTTCAAAATAAGGTCACTCATTATGGAGACAAAACTAACCTAGTGAACACAATAAATCAATCAGGACACAGATCCAGATACAGGTGATGCACACAGTCAACGACCACACCTTGGCCTGAAGGGGATTTGGCGGGCGAAAGTATAATTCATCTGGTATCGTTCGATTTGTAACGAAACAATGAAAGTTCTACAAACGTATTTATTATAACCCAACCTAACATAACCGCCACAGCGTGCTGTAAAAGGGTGGCCTCCGGATAATACCAAAGTACCCTTTGGTACCTATTCCCTGACTCCATTGCTTAAGTTGGTTGTTTTTATCGACAGACCAACATAGGCTCATGTGTGAAAGTTTTTGACCTACAGGCCTAATCCCAAAGACATCGAGATCATTTGTATAGCTTAGCACAGAATAAACGAAATATAGTCTAGTTAATTCAAGTAGCCTATAGCTAGAACTTTACCAAGGCAGGTTCCAAGGCAGCAAAGATTTTATCAAGAGGATATCGGTAAAATCTCCTGATAGGGTTCCTTAGCTCCTTTTCAATTTCAGGTACATGGACTGGCTCGTGGTGTGCAAGGTGTTGATCTTTAATCCATTGGGCTCGAAATGCCCTTTGCTCTGGCGTTTTCATATTTACAAGACGTTCTCTCTGGCGAATCCATCTATCTTCGATTGGAAACGCCTTCACTCCTCCAGTAGCCGAAGACTGCTCTCCCATGTTTAAACTAAATACTGTAAAACTTATTATAAAAACTATAACAGATCACTAAACAACCTTAAAAGTTCTTAAATTAGATAACTTTGAGAATGGCCAGAATAATGGAGAATTGGAATTGGAATTGACACCCTCTCTCTCTCTGCTGGGGGGAGTGCTGCTGCTCAGTCAGTGCTCGCTTAACTAAAAAAAAACTAGTGATGTGACGAGTTGAGTTGGCGAGTCGAGTTGACTCGAGTCAAGACCCGAGTCGAGTCAACTCGAGTCAACTCAATTCCAACTCGAGTTCTTTTACGAACTCGTACGGAGATTGCCGAAGCTACACGAACTCGTAACGTTACGAGTCCGACTCGCAAAAGCCGAGTCAAGAAACCGAACTCATACGGAGAAAGCCGAACCTTAACGAACTCGGGACGTAACGAGTTGACTCGAGTTTACTCGCACTCGCTTTCGGCCAATAGCGTCACAGCTTTACGAGTCAACTCGCATAGATTCAACGCTATTGGCCGGTACCGAGTCGGCCGACTCGCAAAACTAACGAACTCGTACGGAGAATGCCGAACTCACACGAACTCGGAACGTCTCGAGTCGAGTCGAGTCGACTCGTAAAGCTGACACGCTATTGGCCGGTACCGAGTCGGCCGACTCGCAAAACTAACGAACTCGTACGGAGAATGCCGAACTCACACGAACTCGGAACGTCTCGAGTCGACTCGTAAAGCTGACACGCTATTGGCCGGTACCGAGTCGGCCGACTCGCAAAACTAACGAACTCGTACGGAGAATGCCGAACTCACACGAACTCGGAACGTCTCGAGTTGAGTCTGACTCGACTCGTAACTCGAGTTCACGGCAGTTGGCGAGTCGAGTCACTCGAGTCAGGAAAGTACCCGACTCGTCACATCACTAAAAAAAACCCCTCCAGTGCAGTGCAGACGACTTTAGAAAAGTGCAACAGCTGTAGTGTTTTCTTCGTTGTCTATAACTAGGATAGAGGAGAATTGATAAGAATATATATGAGCGCTGATCATATAACCATACCTTACATCCTTGAATACTTTTCAATGAAATGGTAACCATACAAAGTAGGTATTTTAAGTCAAGTATGAATGGAGATGAGTCTAGGATGAATGGCGCGAGCATCAATGAAACCTACAAGGATACTCATCTATATAAAATCCAATGTATGTTTGTTTGTTTGTTCGTCCATATGGACTCCGAAACCACTCGACAGATTGTAATGAAACTTTCAGGCATTAACTTATTAAGCATTATTGAAGGATGGATTGTGTGAAGTTTGGTGCAGATCCGTCAAAAGGGCTCCGCCCCAGTGGCTCTGGAGTTTCCTATGTTAATCTTAAGAGTACTCAAATGGAATTAAAGAATCTTAACAGCTGGTTCAACTAAACAATTTGATTCTGTGATGTTCAATCACGTCAATAGCATTAAAAAGTTGATAGGTTTACCCAACAGGGTGTAGCACATTTTTTTTTAATTTATGACAACAGCTAATTTGCAATCAAAAGGTGAGTGAGCGTACCGAACGGACTTCAACCTGGAGGCGAGTTAGCGTAGCGAACGAGCTAAACCTGATGGCAAGTGAGCGCAGCGAACGAGCTCCAACCTAAAGGTGAGTGAGCGTATGAAAGAACCTCAACCAGGACGTGATTGAGCCATGCGAACGAGCTCATCTTGAAAATGAACGAGCCTTTGACATAAAACCACATTAGGACAGGACGACGTCTGTTGGGCCAGCTAGTTCTTCATAATATTTAGTGCACGGCTGAAGAGGACCTGGTCATATAATAGCTCCAATCCGGTGGGCTTTCGGCTCTCTGGACCGATTTATCACGATATGTTTTTTTTATTTAGAGTAACCTAAACAACATAGAACTCTTTACAAAATTTACTTAAGAGTTTAATTTAGGATGAGAACTCTACTTGTATTACTATTCAAAGTCTACTGAAAAATCTAACATCTTTTTTAAGTTGTGTTGATAGAATGATAGCTTCATTGTTTTGCCATAGGGTTCTTTTTACAGCATATTATTTACTCAATTATTAAAATATCAGAGGACTAGCAGGGCTGTCAGTTATTTCAATAATATATATATAATAAGTTATCGCAAATAATATAATATAAAAACTTGTCGTACAAGTTTTAAAGCTATTAAAACAGTATTAAATCATGGGAAAATCATAGTGCTCAGGCTCAAACTCGACTAAACTTAAGCGTGCCATAAAAACAGCATTCTGATTCTTTATAAAAGTATAGAGATGACAAATCTAGGGAGTGTCCCTGAAAATATGTATTTTACCTGGTGTTCAGGGGCACTTCCGTATTACCAAAAGGTACATACACATCGTGATCGGATATCATGTGTGCTTATATAAGGCTGAACGCACACCGCCTGATGGAGCTTGAAAAAAAAAGTGACAGCCAATTTTCAAAGTGAATAATGATTATTAATCTACAATCTTCAATCATCAACATTATAAGGGTCTGTCAATCTTCGATTACCGGCACAAACAAACCATAATAACACACTTGGGGTTTTTGGTTTAAAGACCGCTTTACAGAAATTTCGTTTGCGGGTTGATGAATAATAATATAATGTGGCTACAAAAACTAAGAAGGAGTTTAGCCTGTATATAATTAAAGATAAAAGCAATTTTGTCTTTGGGGTTTGTAGTAAGAGTTTGTTAGATTTTATTAACATGACACCCGTAGATGCCTGTTGTTTCAAGCATAAGTACTGCACTTCGAATTGTTGGGTGTTCACTATATTGGTCCCTTGTTATTATTTTATACATGGAATGCTAATCTACACATGTGACAACACTATCATATTGATCAATTTAACAAATATTTTTGTAAACAAATCATATAACATTTTGACTTGGGATAAATTGCTCATTGTTTTGTGCTTTTTATAAAACCAGTTAACTGAACAAAAAATGGAAATCATATCAGAAGAAATAGACCGTTACAGTTTACAGTTGTCAGAAGATGAATATTCTGAAGCCAAAGAAGAACTTACCATTCCAAGCGTCGATGTTCCTCTCGAAAAACTAAAAAGCAGCGGAGACAAACAGTGGGCAAAGGTTGGTGGAATGATAAATACAGTACATATTTTGTCTAACAAACATTGTATACAGACAGTACACTTAAATTATTGCGGCCTTCCGTTGAGAACCACATAAAATTTAAATCCACACCATTTACATGCGATGATGATGTTGTAAACATTGTGTGAATACCAATTTGGCACAGTTCTCACCGGAAAACCTAGAATGCAGTGATGACAATAACCGCTTACGAATGCAGAATAAACAGTGCGCTGTTAATCGATGATCGGCTTGAGAAAATTAACTAGAATGCTCATTTTATACATTAGTAACGCAATCTTACCAGTCTCAAATTGAAACAAGTTGTTAACAAAAATGATATGTTGTTCACTCAAATGCATTCTTTCATAAGCTGGGCAAGTACTTATAAAAACTACCCTTCAGAATAGTAAATCTAAGATTTTTAGAACATTATTAATATTTGTATCATCAAGCAAGACCAATCAGTTACTTACTGAACTACATTAATCCCGAAACTCCCCTCTGTATATGAACCACAGACTATAGACCATTATTATGGTATGGTCCATTATAATGGTCTATTATGTGATATATGATCCAACATTGAAATATCCAGGACGAACTTAAATGAGAACAATGCAAAACAATTTCGTGGTTTAAAACACGATTGTGTATAAAGAGGACGGATCGACCTCCAGTTCACGGGGAAGAGTCACGCGACGCTCTGAGATGTAAAATAGGCTAGAAACTAATTTCGCATTGTTCCTCCGACTTGCAGCCGTTCTATTTACTGTAACCACGGGAATTACTTCTCAAATTTTATAGATTTTTACTAATGAGTAAATCAATCGTAGGGTTTAAACCTAACATATCGATATCCGGAGATTTTAACATTTCACTTATGGCGCTGTCTATCGACAGTCATTGCAATTGTCGGATGTGCGGACTTCATCGACCGATCGGCGACCTTTGCCAGTTTATTCGCGAGGACGTTTCTCTCCGAAGCTCTTCCCATAGTTTTAGACACGCTAGCTAATATTTCTGTGCTCGCGAGGGGGCGCGAGCTATGTCGGTGTCAATCATTGTGCCTAGTACAACACTCTGGCCAGCACGCCATCTCCCCGTCGTGCTGAGGACTGAGAACTGACTGAGTGCTGACTCCAGTCGGACATGAATTTTCCGGCGATCAGCATCGCTTCGGCTACGGCATGGAACAAGAGGAGACCAGCGCCGTCAGCTCAGCCTCCCGCCGAGGACCCGGCGCAAGCGAAGGATGTGAGTTGGGGAGGTCTTAGAAAAATAAGTGTTTGTGCCAGGTAAATATGTGAGGACCCGGCTCAGGCTCATATGCGAGTGTTGAAAGTGGTGTTTGACTTTTATGCGTATCACAAAAACATATAAGTAGGGACTAGGAAATATTCTTCCCCCTTGATGGGAAAACAACTTAGCAAAATCTGACCCATAGTAATAATATAAGATGTGCTTCAACCCTTTATACACAGATTAGATATACAATTGTATGACAATCTGAGTGGCTGTAGTGCCGGTACTCGCTTTTGAATCTGAAAGAACCGGCTCAAATTATCTTTCAAAACAAATTTAAAATAAATTCTCAAATCTCGGAGTCGATATTAATTATGCAAAACAAGTCCAACACAAGAGCGACTTTAGATAGTCAAGACTAGGGTGTTGGGCCGCTCCATTACAAAAATTTGAAACAATGTCAATTGCGCAAATACACACACAATTAAAAAGTGCTTATTTACTTCATTTAGCCACCAAAACTATTACTAACGTATTACACATTTTATAAACAAATTAGGCCCTATTGGCTTTGTTCTAACATATTCCCTTATAGATTTTCTTCTGCGACAGGTTCGTGCAACAGTAACGTTTAAAATTAATAAAGAATATATGTTGATTTACGTTTAATGAGAGGAAACTTTTGCCGGGTTTGTGGTCTTTTGATGGATATGAGGTGAACAAGTACGCAAGACTGTAAAATCCACAATTCACCCCCAAAAAAGGAGACCCCGGCAATTAACCTTTGGAATTAGCTATAATTTTCAGTTATAAATAGAGATTCTCATATAGTATTTCTAGGAAAAATTATTTAACCGTGCATTTTAAATATATTTACAGAGTAATTATCACAATTTAGAACTTCTAGGGAAAACAATAATGATAGAATAGCAGAATACAAACTTTTACATTTGTATTTGTAGTATGAACTGATATTTTCACAACTATGTCAATCATAGTTTCTAATAGGATATCTGTAAAATATTTAAAATATAATTTAATATTGCATAGGTTCTAATATTTGCATTAACTATAGATGACAACGTCAAAGTCCTAAAATACTATTATTTGGTTTTATACCGTTTTAAAAGCCACCACTTGAAATTATGAAAGTTAAAGATACCTACAATTTTTAATCACTGAGTAAATGCTAAAAAATCTATTATTAGTAGGGAAATTCTAAGTGGTATCCGATATAATCCTCAACTAAAAGGGTCGCCATCTGCTCGAAACGAGTTACTTTTGGTCGTAAAGCCAGCCGACTGTAATTTTAAATTATTGAACTCAAAAACTACTATGTTGACAAGCTATACACATGACTGTCATCGTGATTTACGAGCAAATAACGTGCCACTTAAGATTTTATATATATACATAAATGCTACTAATGCCAGTCAACTGGCATGACGTGACGACCAAATAACATGTCGCACAACAACAATGTACCCTGAAGAATCAGTAATAGAACAATTTGCTGTAGGATATAAACTGACCACAAAACCCCTGGTTGAACACATCTGACATGACTCATAAATAGTCGTATCTTACTCTGTATTTACAATTTAAATGTTGAAAATATTTGGAATTGAAAATGCACTCGAAGAATTAAGGATTCCACTTGTGAACTGACAGACAGTATTGAGTGCACCCACAGAATTATGCGACTGCTTGTTTCTGAACAGAACACGTACATTATTTTGTTTTGACAGTTTGCTAGATTGCTCTAGTTATAGTTCTCGTCTGCACGATAGCAGCAGTGGGTTAGTTGATCTATGCCTATTGCCTATGTTATCGACTGGTGGGGTTCACACGTAGTCTTGTATGCCTATTATTCGCGGAAACTTGGAATTTTACCATAGATTAAACATACTCCCTTCCTTTAATCTATGCTTGTAGATAAATCCATCCATGGATAAAAAATTCTCCCCCATGCTCCACAGTGAATTAAAAAACAATTAAACCTCTAGATGAAGATTTTCTTGTGTTTTAGTACAGTAGAGACAAGGGGAACATACTCTTTTGTCTTTTGTTGTAATTACGTTGTAAAGCATCGATTATGTTTCAATGTATATTGATAACCTATATCTCATACATGGGCATTGCCTTATCTTTATTTGTTTAGTCGGTATATAATTATTTCCAAAAAACTGTTTTCATTTTTGAAGATCAGACGACTTGGAGATTCCTAAGTGTGTTTGGCAAAGAGTAGTTTTGCATTTTAGGAAATTATTTTTTTGTGTAGGATATCTCATTACGAAGAAACCGCATTTAGATTTGGAAGTTTTTAGATTTGATCAACACGAACATAAATGTTCATCACGCAACCGCTACTAACCACCGACTATGGGGAAAACTGTTCATTTTATAAAGCCTAATAGTGGTGGCTATGGACACTTGGAATGTACAGTACTTTTAGTTTTTAGCTGTGAGTAAACCACAAATTTAGTATTGACGTATTTGACGGTGACGGTTTGTAGACTGACACCGTAATTTTCCCGCAAAAGTTGTCACAACACGTCGAGGATTACTTAAGTATTTTATTGGTCTCCCCCCTCTGAAAATATATTTTATATATCCAATTACTGGTTTACGCCTTTTATCAACTAACGGTCACAACAACAATAACGTAAACAGTGGGTTATTTTTACATTCTATATACTCTAAGATATAATTTGGAGTTTGATATTGTTGTCATCAACACGTACCGTGTATACGCAGTACCTAAGTAGGCATACTTCAGTTAGCATTATCCCTGAAATGTTCTTAGGACTGGAATTTCTATTTATGAAATATATTTAGCATGGAGACAGTTTTTATTGGTAGTAAAAATGTCTTTGCCAAATCAGCAATTTTAGACTGAATTTGCATTTACAAAATTTAACGTAAGAAGTGAAGGCTTTTCAATTTGTAGAAACATTTTAAACATTATACATTTCACGCCGTACATGATTGCCTTTATTGATTACTCACTCTAAACTTTCAAAACTGATTGTAGATTTCGATCAATCAATAAATACCGTCGAAGGTCGTGTTTGTCGCAGCTTGTACGGCCTGTCACGACCTACAACGGCCAGGTCGATACAAGTGTATTACTGTAGCACTCTGTGCAGGTGGTTCGCTACATGAACACGTACCGGTTGGAGTCCAAGAGGCCGTTCAACGTTGAACACGTGACGGCGCTGCTCAAGGAGGTGTTGACTAGAGATTTGGCAACGGCGCACTACGAGCCCAACAACATGACCAAGATGTGCGTCAACCTGGCCGGGGAGATCCGCAACAAAGTCAAACAGCTCAACTACGACAGGTAAGACGAAGTGACGTTGCAAGTCGGACAAGTGGTGATTCGATGAAGTGGCATTTCGGTCAAGTGGTCGGTCGATCAAATGTACTTCCACGTTAAATTGTGTGTACGGAAATAACAACTAGCTTTCTAGAACTAGATATTGTACACCATAAGTATGGTCTGTTAGTAAGAAGATCTAACAGAAATTGTTGAACACCGTGTGTTATTTATTATACATCCAATATGACACCGCCCCTTGTCACGTTAATTAATAATTGCTAATCAATAAGAGTATTTAAATTTGATATCGATTGCCAGGACGTAAATGGTACCAAGAATTTGTATTTATAGATATTTGGTTTTACCAATACAAATACAACTCCATAATATCGCCTCTTTAATATATGCATACGCAACAAGCTGAGAAAGTAGGCCTAATCAGAAGTCCAAATCAGAATCTTTATTTAGAAGATTAGCCATTGCATGACATACAAAATATGCAGGACAACCGTCAAGAATACCTACTATCTTTGACTATTAATACTTCAGTCATTTCATTAAACCTCTGTCCTATGACGCATCAACCAACGATACACGTAGGCCTACATCAAACAGATAACCCATCTTTGCTTTTTAAGTGACAGTCGGTGTCGTAGTACACTAAGATTTTCTCTCAATTGCACATACCGGTACGAACTGACTATCAAACAAATTAACACAACACCAGATTGATTTTTCTAAGCAGACGAAGACATATTATTTTACAAATCTCACATTAATGTACAAATTAGTTGTTTTAGGTGCCAAAAATATACGCATTATATAATTTAGAGGTCCTCGTTGAAGCGAAGCAACATGTGGGTGGATTGAACGACAATACAATAAACTAATCAGGTTGAGGGGACACTATCTAGGTCAACCATTCACTAGGTTAGGTCAGTGACGCCATGTCGTGCAAGATTGTGCGTGTTTGGTCGACGTCAGGGCTCGGGCCACGCACCTTAGCGTGATATATTACTTTCCAAAAGTGCGATGTTGCCCTTTTGCCCTGAGATATGTATCTTGATAGACGGCACGCGGGGTCCAATCCGAAAATGCGTTTCACACGATATATTCAGGACATGGTTAGTGGAAGAGCTATAGAATGGCTCTAAGGGTGTCCGTAAATTATGGTTAAATATTTTAGTACATGATTGTAGAGGTAGAAATAAGAAAAAAATTTATAAAAATTATGTCTTAAAGTGCTTAGTTTTCCGTCTGTTTTTGTTTTTTACATAATTTAAGAACCTCCTAAATCAGAATTCAAACTTGGTATGTACATGTGGTTACAAAGATATATTTCGGTATTGAGTATCAAGTTTCTAATTTGTACCATTTCAAAATGGAGACAGTGTTTTTAGCGAATTTACCTATTATAATAATAGGTGGGAATAAGCTATTATCGTAGTACAGTAGCCTACTCATGGTAAGACCTGGGCGCGGGACCGATTTTTTTTTCATTTTGAGCTCCCTAGAGGCCAAAAACACCATCCGTTCAAATGTATATATATATATTTATATATATGTATATATGTGTCCGTTAGCACGATAACTCGAGCAAAAATGATCCGATTTTGATGAAATTTGGTACAAACGTGTAACCCTACGTTTATTCGAACGAATTCGCAATCCAGCATGATCGGACCATGGGAACAGGGGTTTACAGGGGGTTTTATGGGGTAAAAATAGGTTATTCCCATTTTTGACCCAAAAAACATAAAATTTAGCAATTTCTTTTCAAACCATTTTGTAGAGCTTAAAAAAACTAATAATTTAGTATATTGAAGCGTTATTATGCGCCTAATGATTACGGAGAAAATTCCAAACAATTTTAAATTTAAAATTCCCATGTTATTCTTATGGAGAATAAGTAAACTGTTGTAGTTTGCTTGTTTATGAACATATTTTGATCAAATTTGGAAAATGTTTTTATTTCTTACTAACTATTAACATTTTACAAAATAAAAAAAAACAGTTTTACCCTCCCTGATGCAGCAAACCTAAGTACTTGTTAAACTAATTCTATTATTTGTAAGTAGACAATTCAGTGTAAATCCAATCAGTCAAATGGAAATTCGCTTAGCCTGCAGGTTTGCTGCGGCGGGGGTATTTGTTTTTAAAACTAAATATCTTAAAAACCATTAATTAAAAAAAATATCTTATTAACTCTGCATGATAAAGATTATAAAGATTATTATACAATAAAGAATGTGATGATCAGACAACTATCAGTGGAGAAATTGCAGCTTTTCAGAATAAAAACGCTCACATTTTTAAAATGTGGTCTGAAATATTCATAGTCTGTGAAAATAATCATTAGCTATTCATTGTGTAAGCTTAGACTACTTTAATATTGCAGGTACTCTTATTTAGATTCAGTACTGTCGTCAATATTTAATTATATTATTTTTTCCAGATACAAGCTTGTCTGCTTGGTTCAGATTGTAGAGAAACACAGACAAAGTGTCTTGTCTACAGCGAGATTTCTGTGGGATACAGACAGGTAATACTACTTGAACACGTGTACTATTTAGTACAACGAGTAGTGTTAGTTACAGTAGGTCGGTCCTCAATCCTTCTATATTCTCATACAAGTATTGACTATAGACTATAGTGTAGGTGGGAAATCATTTTTGGCACCATTGCAATTCTTAATAAATGTACAATAAAGATAATTTTACTTTGACTTTGATGGGTGCAGCTCTATCAGGTGAGCACTGAAAAACATTGTATGACATAGGTTGAGGTAGATATTCTCTTAACATGTTCGCGGTACCGATCGCCACATATATGCGACACTGCAGTCATTGCCACGGAAGGAGGTATACATTTTTTACTCATCTAGACCGGGTGTCTCTTGGTTCACATTACATGCAGACTACGGGCCAGTGATGCAGCAAAGTGAAAAGCAGTTTTGCCAACTATCATATTACATCACTACACTAATCATTATATCCACAGACCAAGTGACGTCCATATGCGACAGACATCTCCGTAGACCGCTGCAGACAATCCGGGGGTAGCAGATTTTTATCCCCCTGGAATTTTACCCCCTGGGCAAACGTGACGTCACAAACCAGGGGGTAAAATTCCGGCCGCGAACTTTTGAGTTTCGCGACATCAGCTCGATGGATTAAACGCGGAATTAAACATAAATTTTCACGCTTGTGATTTTAATCAGAACACATCAAATTATAAAAACCTAGAATGTACGGCCCGGATTTTTACCCCCGGAATTTTACCCCCCGGATTTTTACCCCCCGGATTTTTACCCCCTGGCCAGATATATAAATTAGTGAGAATGATTAATTATCTTCATTCAGTCTTAATTTAATAGTAAACATTTTATTATTGAGTAGCTTATCTTATTTTATTTGTAACATTAACTAATCGAACAGGTTTTTAATTTTAATTTTGGGATTCGAGTATCAGGATTCGATCTTTGAAGCGAACTGTTGGTTAATATGATCAAAATAAAACAGCAAATTCTGTTTACTTAGTTGAGATTAAAAAATAAATAAATAAAGACAGGCTACTAAATAATGAAATGTTTACAATTAATTAAAAACAGAAAAAAGAAAATCAATCATTCAATTTCTAAAATCAGCCAGGGGGTAAAATTCCGGGGGTAAAATTCCAGGGGGTAAAAATCCGGGGGTAAAATTTCGGGAGTAAAAATCCGGCCCGTACATCTTCAGTTGTCTAAACACTAGTTATATGGACAGGGGGTAAAATTCCGGTTTTTATCGCTAATCTAATTAATCACGCTTTGACTATTTTCATTAGACTTCCAAATCCGCGGGGGTAAAATTCCGGCCGCGAACAAACTTTTGGCCACTCAGGTTACTACCTCATAGTGACGGCAGCTTTGCCCAGGGGGTAAAATTCCAGGGGGATAAAATTCCGGCGACCCACAATTCGGAGCCTTCAAATAGACCGTTACGAAGACATAAACTTTTTAATTCCATTGGGACACTGACGTGAATATGGGACATTGGGACGTCAGTCTATGAGTAGAAACCGGTCGTTGCATAAGTGCGTCGCTGGTCCATAAATGTAGTAGGCTACTTATATAAAGTCAATGCTACTATTGTGAACGTTTTAAGAGTAAGTAAGCTCAAAATTTATATTAAGAGGAACTTGGGAGGATATTGGGATAAGGTTAGAATAATAGTAGGACTATTCTTGGGCATGGATGGTTCTAAAAGCTTGACTCGCCCTTTTTAATCAAACCTTTGATAAAGTGGCGATTCACACAAAATTGGTGATATTAACATGAACATATCTGCATAGTAAGCTATACAGTTGAGGTTTTTAAGAATGTCTAGTAGCAACACAACTTTGCTGAGTAGAAACATAGTATTGGGTTTGCAAAAGGTTTGCTCTTAGCACACAAAACAAATCATTTGAATTATTGTTAAAAATAATGATGAATCGTTTCTAATAATCTATAATTAATTACTTTCAGAGACAGCTATGCTGTTTTCAGTATGAACAACGCTCACATCGCTGCGATGGGCTGCGTGTTTGGGATCTACTACGAGTGACGCTTCCGACCCCGCAATGATTCACCAATCACAAAATCTTGTACACATATATATAATTATTGTTATATAGTTGTAAATATTTTAGTGTATAAAATGTTTAATGTAACCAAAGTTTGATTTATTTTTTATTGTGTACAATAAAACCCTATCTTATTGTTTTAAACATTTTTTCATACCTCTTGAAACCGTCTGACGTAATTTTATCAAAACGATCTTAAGTGGAAAGGAAATTTATATTTCATAATCGACTACATTTACCTCTGGACTTGTGCATGAATACTTGCATCCCCTAGGTGCAATAGATAATTGCTATGATTTACAAAGGGTGAACTGTATTTATAAAACATTTTTCAGTATAAGATTGTATTTATTTTGTATATTTTAAAACATTTATAGATTTGGTGCCAGCCATCAATTACAATATTTTTTAAATGTGTGAGAGTAGTAGATCACAATGCATTCATTGTCAGCTATTTATATCAACAGTAGCAATTCATAGTGCTCAGTGATCAATGATCACCAAGTTTTCAAATATTTGCAATCACATGTAAGAAACATTCAAATTAAGAGAACAGATTCAACAATCATTCTTACAGTACAGCATATTATTTGAAATGTTTTCTATTTTTTACCCAAATAAATACCAAAGGCAATTATACACACAAATATGAAACTTATGTATAGATAGTATCTTTCTATTGGAGCCCTAAATTCATCCACTGAGATTTGACTCTACACTTGTAGGCCTACTGTGTTTGAATTTTGTTATTGACAAACCATAAATTATTACAATAGTCATTTGTGTGACTTTAAAACTTAAATTTTCACAATTGAGCATTAACATTTTTACAGGAAATCTGTTATTGCATCATAGAATCTGGGATTTCTCACTGAAGTTAATAATTGGCAATTCTTATCGTTTACACTTGTAAAAATGTGAGTTCTCTAAAACTGCTTATCAAGATCTTCATATTCCATACCAGCTTTATACTATTTGTTAGGAGTGACCAATTACATACATAATGCCAATGAGATGATGGTATAAAATTATTAAACACTACAGTTCATACATAAAGTTCCAACCAATATTTTCACTGGTTTTCAGTATCTTGACTGAGTGGAAGAGAAGATCAGGTCAACGTCTCACCTTTGGTCACCTAAAACAGGAAAACGTTTAAACATAAAAGGACTAGGGATGAGCATCGATAGCCAATGTTTTTAAAATATCGAAACCTAAAAAATGTTAATAATACAGAAAATGAAAGAAATGTTGTTGTCAATGGGTTAGTAGAAGAAATGCTGCATTAAGTCAATCTTACAAATTACATTGATGCTTCATACGCAAGTTAGTTGAGGAAAACAGGGTAATGAAAACAGGGCATAAAATAACATGTTAACTGGGCAACACAATTGTCGCCCAGTGCTGAGATTTTGTTGCCCAGTGACTATGGGGGGTGCTGGCAATTTTTTTTAATGATTCACATATCAAATGTATCGGAATTTAAAAAGTAACATTATGTAAATAGTTTAGAGTATTGACCAATGGTTTTGAAATTGTGAAGGGAGCCTTGGCCTGTTACAACGTTCTAGAATTTGTAATTAAGTGAGATTAGGCTATATGGACTATTTACAAGCAAATATAATCAAAAAATTCAATAAAAAGGCACATAGAAATGTGTGATTTTCACTTAAAAATTTCTGATGGGGGGAACCCTCGGACCCCCCACTAAGTCCGGCGCCACTGTCGCCCAGTGAAAATCCCTTAAAATATGCTCTGAATGAAAACATGGAGTGGCTAAATAAATATAAATTCTGTAAGCGTGCCAACAGTTTATAGGAAATTGTCTCAACAAACTAAGTTACTTTAGCCTAATACCTTTCTGTTAGGTGTATTTTAATCTAATCATCTTATTATGTCCCAATGATGCTTTCTATAGGCACTACAGGAAGGTCATGATAATGCTTAAATGTTTCTTTAATTATGCTTAGAATAATAACAACAACAAATATTCCTAAATGAAAATTAATTAAAAAAAATATTGATAAGGTTAGGGTTGAAAATGTTAAGATACTCGATATAAAATACCAAGTTTAGTTGCCACACAGATTGCTTATTTCTACAACCAAAATGAACTTGATGATACAAAATTCTGGAGAATATAACACATGTTTTCTTAACTTGTAGAAATTTGAGGTGATAAGTGTGGGAGGAAGGTTTAAATTGCTAACAGTAAAACCAAATTTAAAAAGAAGAACTATGACGATTCCCCGATCTACGGATTGTGGTGAAGACATCGAAGGTAAAAGGTAAAAACACACCCAGCACTATCGTTTTCAATGAACTACGTTTTGAAAACAAGGTGTGAAGGTTTAGGCTATGTCTATGTCCGTAAACAAATAATATCTTGTGGATATTCAGATCAAGTATAGAAAAATTGCAAACTGTTATTTAATTCATTCCGGTATGTTTTTTCCTTCGTGATGGCATTATTAATGTTATTCTTAGGTTGTCGGTTACTCATCACTAAAATAAATTAATCATAACTAGAGGCTGAAGATGAGTTTTGATGTAAACTTGAAATATACCTCGACAATTTTTAGTAAATTGTGATTAATTTATTTTAGTGATGAGTAACCGACAACCTAAGAATAATATTAACTGTTATTTAGTTGTGTTATTGAACGGTTTTTTTTTTTAAGCACTGGTGTCTTTTCTTAAATATTCCAAACAGTCTGCACAGTAGTAAAGCAATATAGTACTAGTCTCACCCTCGCCTCTAGGTATTCAATTTTCCTCTCCAAGGTAGTTAACTTTTCATTGAGGACAGCTAATCTTGAACGACATGACATATCTGAAAAAAAAATACAGATAAAGCTAGTTACCTAGTATCTGTACATGAAAAAAGTAAATGGAAGTCTTCTCTTTCCCGGGGATAAATGAGTTAGTAGACTTAGTTAGTTACCTTTCAGAGTCCGTTGTAGCTGCTACCTGTTTGTATATATGACGAGGTCCAAGCGACTGACAATCATAAATAGGCTATGTGATATCTCTCAATATGACTTACGTGATCATGACACAATTAGCATCGAAACCAACTCATTTTGAGCTGGGACGGAAATAAAAGGTACTTAAATAAATCATTATAAGTAGTTAGTTCATTTAAGTATTTGTCTTACCAGTTCAGGGGCAAACCACAACATTGAGTACAGTAGGTAACTTAGTCTACCTTTTTTCCATCTGACATAGTGTTGAGTATCGATAGTCGATATATTATAATTGTATATAATCAATGTTTTTGCCATCGATAGTTGTCTTCTGATATATTTTTAGTATCGATATTTTACTCCGATATTGCGACTATCGATATTTCACTCCAATATTTTTGTTAGTACCTAGCGTATAAATTAGTATAGGTATTTATTCCGATATTTATTTTTTACCATGTCATTTTGTTTGACTAAATATCAATGTTTTTCTCCGATATTTATCGATATTTTGACTTCGATATTTTTTTGACATTAGGCCAGTATGACTAGGTTATCGATGTTACTGGTTCGATGTCCCAACACTAATCTGACATTAGTTAGCATTGGTCAAGCAAAGAATTTTAGAGAGTCATATTTAAATTTTAAATAGGTATCTTTATAAAATCTTTGAAGCAAACAAATTGAAGCTAAATATTCACAATGTGCAGCTTATTTGGATTTTCAAACAGAACAATAAAAAGGAATGCAATCCAATGAAAATTTAAAAAAGTACAATAAAAGTGGTTTAGGTATAAAACCTTTACTAAAGTCGGGACCACGTAAGTTTGCAGTTGGTGGCAGCCAATCACAAGACAAGGCTAGTGTGACGTTGACACATCGCCCATTGACAACACTAATATCAGCTGGTATCTAGGAGGATTAGGCTGGTATTATTAGATTTGGCAACACCTCACAGTTCTCATTGATTCATTCAAAACCGTATGGTATATAGGCTCCTCCCTAAACTGCAAACTTACATGGTCCCAACTGTAGGGAACCATTCTCCTACTTTTAGTCCTATCTAACTTAGGCTTCCGGTTTTGACTCTTGGAAAAAGACTTCTTCTGACCACAAAGGGTCACTTTCAATTTTTGTTAGGCCAAGTTTAGAGATGAAAACATACGCATGAACATGGAAAAAGATGACAAAATTAACCATTTGGGTACACTGCCATAGGGACTATCTGTTGGCACAAGCAACCAAATGAGTAATATTGATTATTCGATTGTTTAATTCGATATATCGTTTGGTTAGTTAGGACAATAATAGGTTTTTTACATACCTCAGTCAAATAGTCCAAAAATGGTATTGCTCAACAGCTTACATGTTTCGTTTTTTTTTTTTTACGAGTTGCAAGCTTTGATAATGTTGTCTTCGCAACAAAACATGTAAGCTGTTGAGCAATACCATTTTTGGACTATTTGACTGAGGTATGTAAAAAACCTATTATTGTCTTAACAATATAGTCCAGGAGCCGAAAACATGAATTTTGGTTAGTTAGGTTAGGTTAACCTTACCTAACTAACGGAACGATATATCGAATAATCGATATATCGATCAATATTACTCATTCAGTTGTTGGTGCCAATAGATATGGAAGTGTGCCCAACCATTTAGCCAATGATGTAAACTTAAATGTGCAGACATGTAAACAGGAAGGCGTTTTCTAAAGACTGAGATTTTTTTAAATGATTTAACTTATGGCAAATATTGTTGAACAGCTAAGAAATCTTGATCCTTAAATTACTATGAATTTCCAAATTACCATCACTTCTTACCAAATGAATTGAGAAAATCTGTGATTTTCTTGATGCTGCCAGTTATAACCTCAATGTATTCACGATTAGCCCAATCTTGCTGAATTTGTTTTTGAACGGCTTCTCTTTCCCTTGGAATAGCAGTCATCGACATAGTGCAAAAATTAGTATCCAAGAAGAGTAAAAGTTGATAATATATTATGAACTATTAAATCAAACAAACAACAATATTGTTTACAACTGAAAAAGTGACAGTAACAGTCAGTGACCCTCCTTCTTCCTTTCACTCACTTCAGTCACTTCACTTCACTCCAGCCAACAGCCAGCAAACCAAAACCAGCCCTACTTAACTTATAACTCAATCCAATCTAATCTCAATATTTATCTTGTTTGCCTGAAGCAGACTCGGCTGATATCATGTAGCCTAAAAGAAACTCTAGACAATCACATGACTTTTGCACACTGACTTTAGATTACCAAAGCTACTGGGTTTTATGGTTTTACCATGGATAAAACCATTGACTATTGGATACTGAAGTTGTTGTATTAATAGTCAAAGATAAAACATAGTCCCTATCTCTTCCTTATGGAACAGCCGAAACCAATGTTATCGTTAGTTCTCTATGGTGCACTCGAGGTCGTATTTTGCTTACAATTTGTTTTTTTTGTTATTAATTTAAAACCTAGTAATTTAAAACCCCGTTTAACCAAATAAAACGATCTAATCGACGACCTATGTAGAAGAGCTTATAGGATGTTGGGTTTCATCACTAGGTCGACTCGTGGTATGACAAATCCTCTCGTATTAAAGACTCTCTATTCTTCCTTTGTGCGTCAGCTCCTGGAGTATGCCAGCCCTGTCTGGTCCCCTTACCACCTGGGTCTGATCGATATGTTGGAAGCTGTGCAGAGGAAGTTCGTGAGACTGCTGGGGGTTCGTCAGAGACTACACTACAGGGAAATTCCATTTGCTGAACTGCAGGCTGACTTTTTCCTCACTGACCTTGAAGTGAGACGCTGTACATAGCACCATTGACATAGCACATGCTGTTCCTGACGAAACTTGTCAATGCCCAGCTGGACTGTCCAATGCTTTGTCACAGTCACAAGTGGACTTCCGCCTTCCATCCAGGACTCGATCGCGTGACTTGTTCAGCAGGTGCCATTACCAGCGTTCCTACTACTTCCACGGTCGAAGGTCCACTGGCAAGGCTGACGAGGCTTGGGAATGATCTCTGCAACATGGTCGACTTTTTCAACGACAGTTCAGCTAGAAGACGGGTGCTCGCTACTCCCCAGCATATAGCTGATGATTGATTCGGTAAATTGTATTCCTGTACTAGGCTTAGTCTCTTGTTGCACTTGTACATAAGTGTTTTTGCTTGTGTTGTAATCCAAATCTGTTCAAATCTCAAACATTTTGCCTTTATAGCCTGTATTTCTGTATTTGTATTAATGTATATTTCTGCATTTGTATTCTGTATATTCTGATTGTATATTTCTGAATTTGTAATTCTGTATATTTCTGAATTTGTATTCTGTATATTCCTGTATTGTAGCTCTGTATATTCTTTGTATGTGTAGCCATGTTGCATCATGATTGCTATTAAGTATTGGTATCATTTGCCGTTGGAATTAATTCCCAGAAGCTCTAAAAGAGTCCTCTTCTCAGTCTTCTCACAGCCCTCTCTTGGGTTTAGTTTGACAATCTTTTGATTGATCAAGCTCTTAATACAAATTACTCCTTAAAACGGATCAATAATTTATGTATTCGTATTTGATAATAAGTTGAAACGTGACTATATTTCCTGGTGAGTTCGATGCTAAACGTATGTTTTTCTTATGAACCAACAGTTGTAGTTTTGAAGAGGTAGGGTAAGGCAATAGAAAATTATTAAAAACCCTGAGGCTAAATAAACATTGCAGAACATCTATCAAAGACCTTTGAATATATTGATAGGGTCTCAAACACCCAATCTATCTACTTCCCTGATTTAGACAAACTGGCACAATATACCATACTAAAAAGTAGCAAGCAAGTCATATGGTCCACCTTATCAAAGAACACACTTAAGTCTTTTAATTAAAAAACAGTGCAGGGAGTAGTTACCTGGGATTAATTTACATTACACTTTCCACTTTCCTAGGTTATAAACATGCTATTAGGTGGATTTCCCTTTGAGAATCCATCCAAAATAACATTTTAAACTGCATCACACATGACATATTAACTAACTAGCATATTATCACTCTAATTGAAATTAAAAGCCAATAGTATATTTCGTACCAAGGGCCGAAAATGAGGTTTTGCCGGCTCGAGATAGTTTTTAAGTTCGAGACGAAGTCGAGAACTTAAATCGATCGAGAGCTGCAAAACCATTTCGGTCCATGGTAAAACGCTATTTTTCACCACATTATACCATATTTCCAGTATTCACCACTATAATAATGCACACTGATAGTCAACACAACTACAACTTTAAGGTTATGTGAAGAAATAATTCGAGGAATCAGCAAAAATAAAAATAAATAGTTGCTAGGCAACTGTGACAATAACACAATTCTATTGCAATGCTATGGATTTTGATTGTGTTTTTAAAATGCATTCATGTTTAAAGTAAGTAAGCGGACAGCTGATTTTGCGGCCCCGGCCTGTAAAAACCTGCTCGGTCCCCAAATTACGATGACAGCTGGCATGGCCAGCAAAACGTAACTTTCAGCCACGAATTAACGTATGTAATACAGCCAAAAACATCATAGTGTGGTGAAAAATATATACCTATTGACCTGTCAACATTGCAAAGCTTTGGGTCTATTACAACCCAAGAATTTTTTCAAAGGATTCCTAAGAATCAATGTATTTCTTCTGCTTTGTGGTGGATTAACAAAGTGGTTTTGTATCAACTCTAACTTTACTTTTCACTTTGACATAGGCTTCAAGTTAATTGCAAGCTATTTCAGTATATTCTTAAGCCATCCCAATGTTAACTGATTATGCACTTTTTCTAGATGTGAATATCTATCTATCTAGTCGAGTAGTGGATATGTATATATATCCACACAATCTTTTCTGGGTGAACAGAACAATTTTTACACCAAGAAGTCATTTGTTGGGTTAGTAGAAGTGTATAATAAACTGTCATTAAAATCAATTTTCATTTTACAATTTTTGTCTGTCCGGAAAGGGATATGAGATGTCTAGCATGTATTAAGCTGTAACATCACTCACAGAGGCAAAGAGGTTGTTGGTAAAGACATGAGCACAGGTAATATTATTATTTTATTTGATAAACTTTAAAATTAAATCATGACACAACAAGTATACTATATATAAATATACATATATGTATTTTTAAGGTTAAATAAATAAAAGTAATCTATTTGGCAAGTATATTAAACATTTATAGGATATTAAGATAGTAAATCAATATAATTACTAAAGCTAAGGATTCAGCATTAAAACACTCATTACCATCCACGAGAAGAAAAAACGTAAAGTAGATGGTTTTAAATAATTTAATGTAATCCCAAAATAAATCAATATACAAACCATGATAAACAAAACAATTTACGACGCAATCACTAAGTGAAAAGACTACGTGAGTGAGCGAAGGTGGTGAGCAAAACAGCCGAGTAATTACAAAACATAATTTGGCTTCAGGTGAAGAACTTCCTCGTCAAAACTGGAACATCTGTCTTTCTTTACTTTGTAATCAAAAACATGATGAGCCTGAAACAGAAAATAAACCGTCATACTTTTGCAGTTGAGTAACATTTGATTCTATGTTCATTCTTCAAATCGTTTTTATTGACAACTAAAGCTTTTATAGCTTTTTTTAGATAGAGCATTATAACTTTTCTGTTGGAAAACATGTCTCACAATTTATTGTCACAATGTCCCTGACAAAAACCGGAGATATGGCAAATTACAATAGAAATTGGGCTGAAAATGGATACACCTCTTTGATTACAGAATAAAAAATAAAACATAAAATTATAATTGTAACTTGGTGTGCCGAATCCTCGCACGGGATATAAGTACAATAAGAAAGGGTTTCAAGAAACTTCTGCAACAAAAGTTTCAAAAGGTGGAATCTACATTTTTTCGAGAGCTTGAAGTTGGAAAAGTTACTGTTGGGATAATATTTTTTAAAATTCTATGAAAAACTATATGGAATTACTTGCCCCACAAATTTCAAAACTTATAAGTCTTTTAGGTAAGGATGGAAAAGCCTTATGTACCAATCAATATTTAAATCCTTAACATACGGAAATGAACAAAAGTTACAGTACGGCAAATGGATTATTTAATTCACAGTCCCATCTAACAGACCTGAAGTTGATTGCCTTGGCCGCCAGAATGCGGTTACACTCGGCAGTGTCGAGCAAAGGCAACGCAACGTACGGGCTCTCATTGTCTACATCGGTGAAGTCAAATTTGTGGATCTTCGGACTCACTTTCATGTCTCCGAACGGGCCTCTCAAAACGAGGTAATGAACACTCAAAGGCAGAGTGGTTTTCGTCTTAAGAATCAGCTGTTGGGAAAAAATACAACCAAGATTAGAAAAACGACTTTAAACCGACAAAAATATACGTGGTAAGCCTGATGGGGAGTTCAAACAAAAAATTACTTGGATTATTGATGAATCAAAAACGATCAATGGCTCTTCATAAGTTATAAATATTATTGAGCTTCTAAACAAAATCAAAACTTATTCATTTTTGTAATTTTAGGTAATTAAACATTGTAGGAGAAATTTACTTTGCAGAAATATGTAATAATCACAATCCAAATCTGTTCAACTTAACATCTTTCCATCTTTGTTTCAAAGGGACATTGTAATTTCAGACTAAACAAAAAGCATCCACATAGATGACTCAATTCAGGATGTTATTCGCAAAAGTGAGTCACCGATGAGGGTGATTACCTATGGTGATCGAGGTCGAAGAAGCCTGTAAAAAGTCAATAATTATCACATCAGTAAACACATATTATTACCAACTAAATTTTACGGAGAACCAAAAAAGTTAACTTTACATCAAATTAAGATTTTGAATTTACTATCGACTGTGTATCCAAAATATTTACAACGAAACATTTCTGAGAAATTAATTAGGAGACAAATATTTCATACGGTACCTGTGATCAAAATACAAACCCAGACCAGGGACGCTTCACGTCTTCTTCTATTTTCTTTTCTCCGTAGTACCTAGCTGGAAGGGAAGGAAGACACAAAATTGCTTAGGTTAAAAGCTACTTACCTGCGCTTGCGATGAATCACCTGGCAAACCCCAGGGCCAACTTTACCTGATAGGTCATGTCCCGCTCTGAGCTCAGAGTTGGGTCACGTTGGCTGTTGTTGATTCGGGCTTTCACCACCCATTGGTTGTTGAATGCTGAGAAACGACTCGTCTCGTAAAACAATTTATGTACAAACTCGTCGGTCCTGTACGGTTTCATCTGCAAATCTGGAAAAAATGTGTTTCAGAACAGTGGAATCTAAAAGATGATGCATTCCCTGACTACCAGATCTTTGCCACAATTAAGGTTTACCTTATTACTCAAATTCCAACTCATTCGGATGGATAATTTTATTAGGCTAGTATAGAAAATGGCCTACTGTAAATTATATGAAAAACTATACTGATTTTCCAATCACACATTACTGTGTTCATGCTTAAAAATTTGAAAAATAAAATAGTTTAATACTGATTCTTCTTGCATTGATCTTGAATCGATTAGAAAAATCATCAAGCGTGACACATTGACAATTTTAACTAAGAGCTTAATTGTGGCTAAAATAAGTCATGTTGAGACACCAAATGAGTATAAAGTATTTTAAATGAACATTGAATCAGGACTTCAGAAGCTAACCATACAAAATTGATTCCTCTCCTTGTTGTGAAAAACATAACATTATTGTAAAATAGGCATAAAACAATCATGAATTTAGAGGGTTTAAAAACTCCTATGTTCAAAAGGATCTCCGAGGTTAAGCTTCTAATCATTTATAAACCACAAACTGCAGCATAAATTTAATAGAATTTAAATACCAAGGAGTAAACAGGGCTCACCATTAAATGTTATCTTCTCGTAAGACAACAAGTCAAAAATACAATCGTACAGGCGTTTCTCTTCCTCGTTTCTTTGGTCCATGACAGCCAGCGCCTCCATGACCTCAGCGCCTGAGCGGTGTGGGTGTGCGCACGCAGCTGTGTGCTCATGAGACTCATGATAAGGCCCACGCCACGGACAACCGATGCGGCTGTAAGGACAACTGGTGATCCTATAAACAAACAAGTTGATATGGTTAACGTCAAGCATTCAGCATTCGTGTTACACGGTTGTAGATTTGACTACCAGAGAAGGACACGTTCCAATTCAATGTTATTTGTTTTCCAATTTTACATATTTTTTTATAAAATTACTATTTTTAAATTATTCTCGTGGTCATGTAAAATGTGCTATTTTAAAGACAAACACAAACAAATCATCAAAACACTTGCATAAATTATTACACACTGTTTAACTAGTCTATAAACAACATTGGTCAGAATCTTTGATCCACTGAAGAAGGTAGATAAAACTAAGAAGGCCTATAAGGCTAACAACTATATTAGTAAAATAGGCTGCTATTGTAGGCTACAGACCTTTCTTCACATAGTGAATCTTCATGACGTTCCAGTGTGTTTCGAGGGAACTCTTTGTTACAATACTGACACTCAGAGGGAAGCTCACTCACAGCCTTCTCTACAGCGAGGTTACGTGATGCAGAACTTTTGCTGATCTCGATGCGACAGTTGGGACATGTCGCCATCTCATCTCTGAGCCGCGCATCTGCCAAGACGTGCGTAAAACATCCGGCGCACATCAGGTGACCATTGGTGCACTGCAAGTAATGTAATATTCAAGCTATTGTCTCAGTATAAAATATAGAGCATTATTTAAGCTTTTAATTACCAACACCAGAGAGCCATTTTCAGAACACCTAGTGAAGCGTTTACTTTAACACAACTGGTAGTTGAGTTATAATCTCGTCATACCTACTAAGTTAATGTCCGCTTCCATCTCCACCCACACTAGGAGACAAGGGGAGAAAAAAATACCAAGGGGAGATGGGTTGACTCTCACTGCAGCAGAATGTTCTTCAGGTAATTAAGAAATTTGAGGGGCCGTCGGGAGCGGGTCAGCCTGATCTTCTGGTTTGAATTGATTAAATTTGTTTCATAACTTAAATAATACGTACTATGAATTATTCTCTGAATTCGATGAGACTGCAAAACAAATTATTCTGGATTGTGACAAACTTGGGGCTAGACTAAGGGCCCAGTTTGGTCTAAAGCAGCCAGGTGATAAATCAGACGCTAACATTGGGCAATAGCTCCTGCACCTGGTCAAGGGCATGGGTTAGGCATAACCAGTTACCAATTGGGCAACCCGCAATTGGGTTACCGGTATGCGCAATAAGCTTCGGTTGACGTGCTAGGACCCTGAGTCCCTCTCTCACAATACTGTAGACCTAGTCGGTACTTTGGTTTACAGTATACAAAATAAGTAACAACATATTTTAAAAAAGAAGAACGAGTACCCATAGGCTTATTATGAAACACGAATACCTACTTGAAAAGAACCGGTACGGATCATAAACATATGCAAATTATGTTTTTGGTCTGAAAATAAACATTATTTACCTAACATTTTTCATGCGTAGGCTTACGCAGCCGATGTCATTGAAATCCATGGTGATGGTTTTCGGCATCAACCGCATCGTCAGTACCTAGTTCAGGAGTCACTGGAATCACTAGTTCACCACGTCGTCTAAAAACTACTAGAAAAAGCCAGAGCAAGGGGAGTATGCATTCCTGCATTCCACTTGTGCGCCAATGACCTCCCCCCAGCTAAATTACCTGGGCGAACTCCTCTGACTTAGTCTCAGCCTATCCACTGAGGATTCCACTTCATAGTAAGGGCGAAAAGTCTGGCAGTGATATACCACTGATGACGCGGTTGATGCCGAAAACCATCACCATGAATTATTTAACAATGCTTGTTAAATAGAACTGCCAAATACGTATATTAATGCTATTAGTAGAGGATGCAGGCCAACAACGTTATTTGTTCATGTTTGTGATCAATAGGTACTAAGTTTTATTCTAGTAGCATATTCGTGCTATATGAAACAATTTTATTCTAGCGTTAGGCCCTACATTTGAAGATAACTTAATTTACATTGTTGATAGGCCTAGTCTAGGGTAGGATTGTCCATCCACCTAATAATTATAGGCCTACTGTTAGTTGCAGTGGTTGTTAAAATGTTGACAAGGTTTCTGATGTTTTTTTAAAAACTTTGCCATAAAATTTATCCAGAGTGCTGAATAGATCCAGGCAAAATATACAATTACCTGGTATATAGCAGCTCTGGGAAGATCCAAACAAACAGCACAGCAAAGAATACCACCGAGCCTCAGTTCTAGTTTGTCTGGTTTATTGTCCTGAGGATTAGATAGTTTTCTTTTTTTAGCTTCAGGTTCTGAAAAATCTTCAGGCTTTTCAGTTTTCTCAATCTCGCCAGCTGGAGCTACATTTTCTGTTGAGCTCGATCCTGCTTCTGTGTCAGCCATTTCCATTGTCAAACCAATGCTAGCTAACGTTTCGATACACCAAAAGCGTACGGTTTTGAAAAACTTAATAATTGTTGTTAACAGTAACAGTCAAAAAGTATCTAAAAAGCAATGTTTAATATAATTTAAAGGATCCTCAATTCTAGAGTAACTCAAATCAAAACAACGAAAAGCAGACACGATAGATATCACAATCACAATCAGAGAATGACAGTATACAAGTCCAGGGTGCCAGCTGAGCTTTTAGCATTGATGCCATACAAAATTCCCACATTTCCCCAATAAATTTTCCACTCTTCCCGATCCACCAAAGTTGCAACGTTCCAATCACAAAGATAAAGGAAATATTTTTATATAACAAGTTTTTACTGTTGCACTAAAATTAAAGTTGTGCGTTTATAAAGGAATCCAGGAGTCCAAACTAACAGCAGTTATGTTACCACATCACACAAACATATTGGGGTTTTAGAAAATCGCATAAACGTGCATTCATCAGTTTCAAACTAGATCCTTTGAACTTTTTTAAGTGTTTTGATCGATTACAATTACAGTGTGTTCTAACAGTAATGAACTAAAAGGAATGTCAGTTCGATAAATTACTTTTTACAAGATCTAACCATATATCTGATAAAAATATCAATACATTAATATAATAGCGAAAACAATATCATTGCGTATACTTGTTATTCATATACATAATTTTTCGCAATGCTTACGAAAATCCCCCCGTCGAGGGGAAATTTCCCAGCATATGGCATCACTGAGTATCAAATCGCCCAATGACCTGAACGCTAACAGATGTTATGCGCAATATCTGGGTCCTCTTGTTCAGCAGCTGCAAAGTCAGCTGACCAGGAATCAGCCGTTCTTTGTTGGACTGAACCTCCACATTATTGATTTTTTATTTTTACCATGCACAGAATGTTGGAGTCGGCTCAGTAGGAGTAACCCCTCCCTCGTTCTACCAAAACAGACTTGCTTGGCGCTAAAATTTGAATACTGAACTTGATTTTTTTTCAAAAGCACTATTATTTAGTAGCCTAGTACTGTAAGATCTGTATTCAAAATTTTAACCACGATGCTAAAAAAACGTGTAATATTATGGACAGACAAGATTAGTTTCTTGTCTGTGCATGTATAATAATAATATTAAGTTGGATAAAAATAATTATTAAAAAATGAGGGGGCAGTGTTGTACTTTGCCCTAGATACCACTTGTGCTGCTAGACACCACTTAAGTGAACATTGAATATTTCCTATGTACCTTACTTTTCTGTGCTTTCGCTAGGGGGCTGGAACTAATAATGGTGGGTATTTTTTTATCCACCTTTAAGATGATTATTGTTTACTTTGGCCTTCAACAAACACACAAATGTAACTGAAAATGGTGTTTACCACAAACAAATAAAAAATAAATGGGTCGTCTCCTGTAAGTTCTTATTATGCTCTTTAAATAATCCCTCTAGTGTTAGGGTTTGATCTAATATAGTGAAAAGCCAGTTGAAGACCAGAATCCTGGATTGTATCATTTCATAGGTCAAATTAAATTGTTATTTTTTCTGTAACTACACAATTGAATTTTGGATTGTAAAATTTCACTGTAAAGTAGGTCTACACTGCTACACATTTATAATATTTAAATTACAGGGAACTAACAGGATTGGGCCTAATACATCACTGGCGTACATCCTAAACTCTCAAGGAGATCTAATTGGGGAAGTGGAAATCCCCAGTTGCATAGTTATAAACTATCTTAGGTGTTCAACAAATTCAAAACACTTACAATGTTTCAAATGTTGCTACCATGACCTCTTGCACCAAACATGTTTTTAAAAAAATGATGCAGGATGTTAAATTATTTTTTTCAGTGGTCGGTTCAAGTAGTTAGAGAAAAGAATTTATTTATAAAAATAAATACCTCTTCCTTAAAAAATAAGGTTGCCATAATGACACAGAAAAATAGTAGGGGCCTACACATAAAATATCGAAGGATTATACAGCTATAAGACTGATTAATTTTGATGTTTGCCATATACAGTAGATGATTTCTCATTATGGTCAATGAACCTCTTAATGTTTCATGAATAATAATTTTCAAAAAGGATCTGTCCAAATCATAATGTTTCCAAAAGTTCACAAAAAATTTTGATAATGTTCCTCTAGAACCAATAAACAATCCAATCACCCCAATTTTTGAAATTTTAAAATTTTGCTTGAAATATTCAAAGGTAGAATCATAATTTTTTTTCTTTTTTTCATTTACTTCGTTAGCTTGATTTATGTTTATTTCAAATCGAATTGTAGGATCGAGAATTATGCCTTTGTTAGTTTCTCTTTCGATCAATAAAATATCTACTCTTCTGGTGCTTCCGTTAGAAGAAAGACAGTGTACTTCTTCTTGTACTTCCCATGTATTATACCTTTTTCAGAAGACATTTGCTATACTTCTTATTTTGTGGTGCCTTGTGTTTCTTAGAAGTTCACCAAACGGACAGAAGCCAAGGGCATGTGCAAGGGTTTCAATCTCACCACAGGCATGCCTGAAGCGGTTATTGCCCTGACTTCTGCCGTGGAGAACACACACTGGCACCACATTTGCAATCATTTTTATACTGTCTTTCCACTCAGATTCTGACAAGCCTTCTTTATTAATAATACTTTTATTTCCCGGATTATAGTCCTTGAAAAGTTCAACACCTTTACCCTTCTGTTTTAAGCTTTTCCAATTTTCAAACTCTTTTCCTCTTAAGTCATTTCTTAATTTTTGGGTATTTATTGTTTGATTACGATCAATTTCTTCTAGGTGTAATTTTTTTAAACAAATTGTTTCTATCCGTTTAAATTTGTCTTCATTTATTGAATAACAATTTTTAACCCGTCTGAGTATTTGTATAGAATTAAGTTGTTGAATATATGCTTCCCATTGAGCCTTGATTAATACAAGTCCTTTATATTTTTTTGGGCTGTTTAACACTATTGGCTATGAACTGAACTGGGGGTATCCTTTAGGTTCTAATTAATTCTAGTTTCACCAGATTTTATAATCCTTAAAACCTTAGATCAAAGCATTTCAACATGATAAAAATAAATGGTACCAGCAATCTGACACACACTTTCTCCGGTTAGTTGTCAAAAATCCTTATCATGGGACTGGAAGTAACTATGAGTTTTTATGGGGAAAAGCTACAATCAATTTTTAACCGTAACTTAACAGCGATATAACATTTTGTTCAGAGTTAAAAGGGCCAAAACATAAAACTTTCACAATTTGTCAAGTTGTTTTTGCAGAAATTCAATATTTCATTTATTGTATACGTTTTTTTTATAGGAAACCCAATATTTTAAAATTTAAATTTAATAAAAAAAACTTGGATATAGGCTACAAAGATTTGTACCCACATACCAAAGTTTGCCAAAATCGGACTACATTCACATATCACTTTGTAGGTAGGCCTACCATTTCCTTGGGTTAAGTATGTTGGTAAAAGTTTTCCTTTAGCAATAATAACACCTCAGTAAACATTTACTGGGTACGATATCGCTACTGTGCAAAGTTCAGGGAGACCAAAATCTTAAATAAAAGCATTTTGACAAAAATAATACTTTCCCTATAGGCTATACTATGTATTTTTGGGGGAAAGTAAAAAGCACACGTTACAAATAAAGACGAAATACTTTATTTAGGAACAAAGTAAATCAAATTTGATTATTACTAGGCCTTACCACTTTGAGTACAAACAAAAATAAATAATACATTTTATTATTATTAGGGTATGTACATACGACCATTTACACAAGCTTAACAATAAACATAGGCCACTGGAATTATCTAGCTAGTCCAAATTAATCACATTCACTTTTTTGGCGGATCCCATTAATTATGACGAATAAAATAAAGCAATTTCTAACTGCTAACAACAAATAAAATAGATATTCGTTTTCATAAAATATTATTCTACAACAGACTTGATTTTGGCTTAAGACTCGTACAGTAGGTAGTCCTTGAGAGCTTTGGGCAAAGGAAGGGACGAGACGGCTGTTTTCTTTATGTGCTGTAATATTGCGTCCCTGCATGCGCTTTGAAGACTGGAAACTGCAACAAAAGTTAAAAATGTACTTTAGAGAACCTTACACAAAAAAGGTTGAATATTTTAGCGACATTTGGCAGCATTGCTCAACTCTTGTCAGACAATTTTCTCTCTGTGGATTATGGTAGTGTATTTTTTTTAAATAATCCAATGCATATCTGTTTTTAAATTTGGTTCACTTGATTACCACAAAATATTGAGAAATCGCACTATATATGGGTAAGAAGATTTCTACGTTTTCTCGATCATCAAATCCCATGGGCTTCTAAAGTTTAGGTATTAACCATAGTCAGTATGTAAATATAAGCATCAAAATGTATACCAGGTGTTCATTCCAACAGTAAACACGTAAATGATAGCCTAATGTGATGGAATAATAATTCAGTAGAGTCAAAAATCCGAACCAATTGGGACCATAGGTAGTTCATGTTAGCGATTTGTTCGGATTTTCAAACATAGCCTAGAAATGCCTAATAGACACATAATTAGGCCTACAGAATTAAAAATACAGTTATAGGATTACAGTGAATGAAATAAAAACAATGATTTTTGTACTTAGGTATTTTTGTTACATTGCTGTTAGCCTATTCGTTACTTTAAAAAAATATGTAGAGTTATACATTGGAAACGAACAAAACACAGACTGGTTGGCACGTTCACATTTCCCTGCCGGCACAGAAAACATATTACTATAACCCAGAATGCCAACCGCATGGTAAAAAGCATTTAGTGTTTTGAGAGAGCTTTGCCTGTCAATCGTAGGCAGCGCCACCAGTGTTGCCATGCACTCAACCGTTTCGCACTATGGTTGTGTTTTACTACACCTGATTCAATAAGTAAATGGCTAAACTGTATAACATTCTGGTTTTATGAGGTTTTTATAGGAGAACTCTGTTTGTGTTCTACGTACGGGTTGAAGAACAAACAATACAATGTTAGTTAATACCGCAAGTCAATTATTGATATTTTAATATTTCTTTTGTATTGACTTGTGTAGTTTTGAAAAACAGGATTGTTACTGCAAAACGCTTTAAATAAAGGACGTTTTATTATTATTTTTGAGGAATCTTAGTAAGTTAAGTATAAATTCAAGCATTTAATTTATAGTAGGCCTAATAATAAATACCCCCGCCGCAGCAAACCTGCCGACTAAACGAATTTCCATTTGTCTGAATTGATTTTCAGTTAAATATATTTTAATAACATTAGGTTTAACGAGTACCTAGGTTTGCTGCTACAAGGAAACAAATAAAGTGTGTTTTTGAGTAAAATATTGATAGCTTAGTACAAAATAAATAAATTTGCCAAGTTTGATCAAAATATATCCACAAACAAGCAAACTACAACATTTGACAATATTTTCCATAAGAATAACATGGGAATTTTAAATTTACAATTTTTTTAATTTTCTCCGTTACTAATAATCGAACAAAAATACTTTTACATACTAAATTATTTGTTTTTTTAAGCTCTTTAATAAGGTCTAAAGAGAAATCGGGAAATTTTGTGTTTTGAGGGTCAAAAGTGAGAAAAACCAATTTTTACCCCATAAAACCCCCCGTAAAGCCCCGTTCCCATGGTCCGATCGTGCTGGTTTGCGAACTCATTCAAGTTTATCCCGCTTTACACCTTTAAACCAAATTTCATCAAAATCGGACAAAAATTACTCAAGTTATCGCGTTCACGGACGTATATATATATATATATATATATATATATTATATATATAAGTCTATATATATATATATATACATATATAAAAATTTGAACGAATGGAACATATGTTTAGGCAGTTCCATTTAAGCAATGTTAGCCTAAATAATGTTTAAAATTTTCGGGCCAAAAACGTAATTTGTTTAGGTATGTTTATGATCCATACAAGATATGACACTGGCTCAAACCTGATATAAATGATGATAAAAAAAAGTTTTAATAACTTTAACCCTAGATCTGGCGGTAATTTTATTCACCACTTGCAGGCATATTTTGGCCCTTTTGTAGTGGTACCATATATTTTGCAACAGAACATTTTTATTTATGAATATAAGTAGGTTCCGGTACACACATATATATATATTTACTGTTTCAGTGATAAATGTTGAATATAATATGTAAAAATAACTTCTTCCTAGCAATGAGTTGCAAAGGCGAAGTAGCGTAAGGTCTACAAATTTTTTTATTATTAAAATTAGAAATTTCAAATGCTACCCTTTTTACACATTTCATCTAAATGTATCGGTAGCCTACTGGTAAAGGTTGTGTGAAATATGATTCCCAACGTAGAAATATCAATATTTTTTAAATAGGCCTACTCATAAAATAAAATTATAAAAAATAAATTCTATATAGGTAGGCTACGTATTTTCTTTTTTGAAAAACTACCAAATTTTTTTGTCACGTTGGAAATAATAGAATGCATCAACAGAAAATAAAATGATACTGTTCAATAGGAAATAAAAGATCTTTCTGAAAATAAATAGTTAAATGTACCGTAGTTGAATTCTAACATTTCTGAGTAATTTACGTTGGAATGAAAAATTTGGAAGATTGTTTAACAAAAACATAGCCTAATTTTTGTGACATTTTTAAAACCAAATAAAATTTGTGCAATCAACCTCATAGATTCAGAGGAAATTGTAGAGAATTTATTGTTGTTTCAGAATATGTACTAGGAGCCTATACAATTTAATTGAAAATCGCCAAAAACAGCTGTTTTTGTAATCAGTTGACCAAAACTTTCCACCGCCAAAATCTATTTTGAACTCTCTAGTTTTTCAAACTATGTTTCTCGCTACCTACATAATACCATAGACAATAGAGTAAATATAGACTGTCAAAGAAAGGTTTTGCGATCTGCCGCTAGAGCGTTATCGCCGTTCGATATCGGTTATCGGTATTCTATTCGGTTTCATCGTTGACTACTTGGCAGCTGTTAACCAGCACTACCACTCTTGCAAACAAAATGCTTGCTTGCTATATCGCTAGTAGCCTATCGTCTTCTGCAATCGTGTCAAAATCATGAACATCCTCCGCGGCTGTGTAGATATCGTTATTGAATGCCGTGGTCCCGAAACGTCATCGTCGTCCACGATTGCGGCAAAATTGAGAACATCTTCAGTGGCCGTGTAAACATTATCGTCTTGCGCGATCGTAGAAAAGGCGTGATCATTTTTTACCGCGGTCATAAAAACGTCGTCTAGCACGGTTGCGGTTTAAGAACATCTCCCGTGGTCGTGTAGACATCATCATTGTCTTGCGCCGTCATGGAAAAGTGATTGTTGTCTAGCGCAATCGCGGTAAAATCATTAAATTTCCTTAAATTTCATTTAAACTTTGATATCAAAATAAAGACTAGGTACCGTAAATCCCAACTTTTCAAGACCATTTTGAAATTCAAAACTAATACCTGACTTACCCGTTTTCCCCGACTACTAGACACCCTAGTTAATTAGATTTTGGCCTTGCAAATATAAAAGAAAACCTTCCAATAACCCGCTCCTAACATTATGGATTAGGCTAATAAAGAAAAACTTTGAATCATTGTAATGAAACTACAAAAGTATAAGTTAGCCTAACAAATATATGTTTAAAAAAATAGAATATAAATTATGGCATTTCAATTAATTTATTGCTTAATATTAAATAAGTCAGTAAACTCCAATTCCGGGGAATTCCTCCAAAGTTGGCAACACTACTCCCAACTACCAAGTTGTTATGGAAACGGGCGCTAGCGCTTGATGCTGCAGCGGTGTGCGCCGTAACTACACATTACCCCTAGCGGTCGGCACCGGAATATACGCCAACCGCAGCACAAATGACAGTCTATATTTATTTCTTTTTTTTGTCTATGATAATACTCACTCAATAATGTTTTATACCGTACATGAAAATGAATCCTCAGAATCTCATATTTCTAATGGTACCTATAAGATTTATTGTCGCGTTTTAAAACAGTTTTTATGGTATTTTAATAATAGGAAAACCCGACCCATGTCGTATTGGTCGATAGTCGACCAGCGCCACTGAGAACTCACGTTTTAGTGGTCGAAAATCGACCAGCACCACTGAGAACTCATTTTTTTAGTGGTCGAAAATCGACCAGCGCCAGATAAATGGTTAATTTTAAAACAGCTTGTAAAACTGATAAAAACCACCATGATGGGTGATTTTAGCTACTGTAAGTGGGCCTAACTTAACTAAGTTATAATGTACATCAAGCTAGGTCCTATGTAAACAATCCTTCGCCTAGCAGAAGGTACACATCTGATGTCTATTGTACATATTATATAGCCTACCGATATCTGAAAATATGATCTTTGCAAGCTTGTCCAAGATTACCAAACGTGTCAGACAGTTTCAATATCAGACTGTACCTATTTTAAAAAGGCCTAATATCTGGAACGTAACCTACCTCCATACAGTTGGACTATCCGAACTTGCTTAGTCGTACCATAGATATCCACAACAGCATATAGTGGTCCTTCCTTAAATGGAATGTCTTTAGAGCAAGGTCCTTGATCTTCCCCATTGATTATAAAATGCATCTCTGCAACGTCTCCTCTTCCCCGTCCACAAGGTATGTACACTACTCCGATTCGGCTTCCTACGTCCGTTGGAAGTATGTCATGAGAAACATCTGATGAACCTGATGGTCGTAGAACGCTACGTGGAATAGTACCACGAGATGTTCTTACATTGTTTTTATCACCTAAAAAATACTTGCTGTCACCCTCAGCCTTTGATGGCATACCGATTATTGGAGCCTCCTCATTGGGCGTCTTTACACTGGGACCATACACATAAACATTGTTCTGAGTTTTAGTTATTGCGTATATCCATGAAGTACTCATGTTGGTCAAATCAGGGAGGGCATACTGTGGTAACATTCCACCACAGGATGCTGCTGTTTGAGGATCCATTTGGGTTAAACCTAGGCGCATATATCCACTCCAACCCCGTTCATTCTTCTCAATTTCTACCAAAAATATTTCACCAGGCATCAACGGCTTTTCACTAAACGTTAACGCATTTGCGAAACTAGTTTTACGATATGCTACGGTATTGTCATCTGACAAAATAATGTTATCGCCGTGATAAGGATGAAACCTAGACACAACTTTCTTCGAAATTTTGTCATCCATTATTACGGGCTGAAATTCCGATTATAATTCGACCATATACCTTTTGAAATGTGTGACATTGATAGTTACATCACGCATAAGAAATACACAAACTTTGTTAATTTTAAACTAAATCAAAGCCCGACGACCGTGTAGTTAGACCTAACCTCAAATTCCAAAGAAAACTGAACTGAGTCCGACTTCCGTCTCCGACTCAGGACTCGATTTAGACCTGGAACTGGACTGGACTGGACCGGTCACTGGCCATGGTCACCTTTAACTACAGGCCGCGGCCTGGTAGAATTGGCAACGTGGCAGATTTACATGACAGACAAGTGACATCAGCCCATTAATTCGTACTTACATTGTTTTTGTCATACTGCAGTAAAAACAGTAGTTGCAGGTCTAAAGTAGCATTTTTACTCTCTAGGGAGTAAAAATCAGTTGTTGTCAACTCAGTTGTAAATTTCGATTGTAAACGATTGCATGTATCGAAAATATGTATCGATTCGTGCTTCGTAATCATTTCAACCTACACAGTCTACAGTCTCTTCCCATAGCATTTTAGTATTGCTGATACATTAATCCATTCCCACACTCAACACTGCTCACCTTTACTATACTTCCTTCACCGTTTTCTATGTCGTGGGCATGCTTCCATCCCTTCTCATAGCATTTCAGCTTTGCAGATAGATCAATCTAACTGCTACAAACGGTTTTCAGTTCCCCACACTCCACACTGCTCACCTTACTACTTTCACCTCTTATCCTACGTCGCGGACCTGTTTCCCTCTCTCCCACACTCCGAACAGCTCGCCTTTACTACTTCATTCAGCAACTTCCTACGTCTCGGACCTGTTTCCCTGAAAATCACTGAAAATGTACTCTAGGGACAAATTGGGGGCGAAGCGCTAAAGAAAATTCGATTTTTAATTAGGCCTACGATTCGCATGTGTGCTAGATAGTAAGCTTTAAAATAAAACATCAATCGTAACGGTTGGTTAAGAAGAACGGCTAGAAAAGAGGCGTAACAGGGAAAATCCTTATTGTAGTAGGTAAGTATATCTGTACTATCGTTGGCGGGAATAGCAGCGGGGCGCGAGTTGCTGTTTTGCCCCTACCGGGCGCCTGCAACACCGCGATACGTCCCGCCACTCACACCTGGGGCCCTATTTTTGAAATGGTTGACTGTTGAGTTGAGTGTCGAGTCATTCTATTTCCAATCGTTTCGTATTTTTGAAACGGTTGACGGTGGACTTATACAACCAAAACTACTCAACACCTATCGAGCTGTTGAGTGGAGGTTGACTGCACTTTCTTCTTCCTCTCTTTCGGCAAAAAATTACTCTTTTTGAGACGACGCCATATTGTTTTGTTATTGCTTTAATTTACTAATTGCGATTTAGAGGTTATGTATTTGTTGTCAATGTATTAGCACCCAATTATGCGATTGTTTTCTGTAGAATAATCGCATTTTAATTTTATTTACTGTGTCAATACTAGACTATTTAATCAAGGGTTTTAATCTTGTTGGAATGTTTGAAATAGACTAGGCATACTAATTGCACTTATTATAAGATAATTATTGTTATTAGACCTATGATTTAAGGTATTAAAGATTGTGGTAGAGAGAAACAATATCATAGTTTGTTTCAATACCATTCACCTAATAAAGGGATCAAATTAATTTAAGTTACGATATGCTTCCAGTGCAATGGCAAATGGCCGCTTTAACCTAAATAAAAAACAATTAAAAATAACATAAAACAAACCGATGAAGGAAACTAAAATAAGGTGATGTGTTCCGAAATAGAGACGAAGAAAGCAATTAATAATGTATTTAGGATGAGTGTAGGACTTAAAGTAAAGTGCAGCCTATGCCTAAACTTATAATTAGCTACACCCTAAAACAAACATCCATAGTAAATTTTATTTTTAATACTTAAGTTTAGCCTATATAAGTTAAGGTACTTTGCAATCACTAAGATTAAATTAAGCAAGACATGACCCATTATAACCTCAATCTCTCAAGAACGGAGTTGACAGTTTACCTCAGTGTCTCGAAATATGGCAGATTGGATTGAGATTAGCTGCCAGATTTTAGAGTAAGAAGAGGTTAAATCGAAGTCCGCAAGAACTCTGCATTGTGATTGGTTCAAAATGACGTCATCTGAATTTTTGACGGTCGTATGCTCTACATTTCCACCACGAGTCTCTCAACTAGTGATTCCCAACTCGCTTCCCAACTGTTGGGTTTCAAAAATACCAAATCATGTTGTTGGTTGAGCCCCTGTACGCGACCGAATTTCTCTACACAGCTCTTATGGACAGCGCGCAATCAAGTAATGGTTATATATCGATGGATCAGGGCTGTAGTGGGTAGCGCACCGGGCCGATGTTCCGAAGGAAGCCGGTTCGAAACCCACCGGGGACACCAACTTTTTGATTCGATTTTTCATTATCAACAAGTTCGTTTAGTTAGGTTATGAAAGTTTAAATTTATAATTAAAAAATTGAATTCGAGGCATTTAAAATCTTATTTTATAACACAGAACTATTTTTTTCGATTATTAAACCTTCATTAGATTTTTTCATTATCAGCAAGTTTGGTTAGGTTCGTTATGACAGTTTTAAATAAAATTTAAATGCAACCTAAAAACGATACGTTTTGACAGCGACAGGATTTCTGTCGGGAACGTCTTGTTAAAATCCCAGGAATGTTCTAGCAACAGTCATTAAATGGGTTATAAGGTTGTAATATGTTATATCAAGTTATAATGTTATAATAAGTTATAATATATTTTATCAAATATACCATTCCAAAGTGTACCCAGTGTACAGAGTAATATTTACATGTTATGCTGGTGCTGAGAGGAGACAGATGACAGATGAGCCTTCAAAGAAGGCTTCAAAAATTGAAGTTGCCGTGCTTCGTCACGCCAACATGCCAAATGAACAGTCGATGATTTTAGTTGAATCTAACTAATCTACCGTGAAATGTGTATTTATCCAAACCGAAACGTTTTATTACCTGCGAGAACCTTTTGTCCTGTATTTCATTCACAGCCTAAACAAATGTTTTTTCTGTATCAGACCAAATATCAAACTGTACTAAAAACGTTTCCTATCTTATGTCAGTGAAATATAATTTCTTGTGATAATATTTAACCACAAATTGTTCATAATGTTATCTACTGCAGGTAAGTTGTAGGTTTGTAGTATACTGCTACATCTGGCGGTGTTTGTTGAAACTGTGAGGTTGTGGTTATAAACGCTCCGCCAGGTGCGCGATAGTCGCTATTTACTCAAACTTTCAACGTTTTAATTTTTACTACAGGTTGATAAAACTACTTTAGTCATTCGTGCATTCGCCATTCCATCAAATCCATCCCCTCCCCATGTTAAGTTGTCGCCAGTCTTATGTGTATGTGAACGATGAATCGTGCGAAAATTGCGCAGTTCAGAACTTGTTTTGAGGCAAAATAAATCCAGTACAGAATCCATTTACCTTTTCCAGATTATGTTTGTTTACAACATATATTTGGTGAACAGAACCACTAATTTACAATAAATGTGTTAATTTACATATACACTACGAGTGATTTACCTTCTTTCACAGTTCTCAAAAAAGTTGCATAAACTATTTAGTCTCTTGTTTACAACGTGTCTGTGGTAAATATTCAACTGAATAAACAGCTGTTAAATTACAATTCACATACAAACCGTTAAAGAAAGTTGGTCAGCATAACTGGATCACTGAAAATGTACTCTAGGAACAAACTGGGTGCGAAGCCCTAATCAGCTTTTTAATTTTCATTCGCAGTTGTGTTAGTTAGTAACCAAAATAAAACATCAATCGTAAAAGTAGGACGGCTAGAAAATGGGTGTAACAGGGAAAATCCTTATTGTAGTTGTATTTGAACTGAGGTTTATTTGTTGAAGGTTTTACATTTTATTTGTTTGGTGTTGGTATCTATCTATATATTAATAGGCAAGCATGTTTCTTTAAAACCTTTTTTCTCAGCTCGTGTGCATCGCAGGGAAAATCTACGCATACTGTTGGAAAGATATTTTACTGTAGATGTGCAGAATGCTTTTAAAAATTAAAATAGGCTAACAAATAAGAACAAAAAATTAATTTGAAAACTTCAAAAAATTAACATGGACCATATGGGTTGCCATGATGGTGACGAAATAACAACAAAATGTAAACAGAAAATCAAAACAAATGGAAGAAATTCCAATCACATGTTTTATTTACAGTGTAGGGAGAAAATATAGAAGTCTGTACATTAATTATTTTTGGTCGAGTTTCGACCACAGGACGACCACTAGTTATAGTTAATATGCTTGATTAATTCCCACCAGGCATGTTTAATGTTTTAGTATGATCATTGACTATAGTCAATGGTATGATTATTAAATTTGCATTAATAGTAAATTGCCGTGGCTCACGATGAAAACCACCACTTCTCACCTACACGAAAATCCCTGTATGACCAACAAAATACCAGAAAATAACCCAGCTTCTGACAACACTGTGAGAGTTTTGGTAAGAAAATGAAATTCAAGAATCAAAGTGTTGCCAGTATTATGGGTCGAAATAATATTGCCATAAACTAAACAAACCCAGATATGAATGTAATTTTGGTTTCATGTGAGTAAAACCCGATTTATAATACCGAAATAATAAAAATATAGTCCCTTACTATAGTGGAACCTCGATAAGAAGACCCTCGATAACAAGTCACCCTTGATAACAAGTGTAATTTTCAAATCCCCTTGAATGTATTTGACCCTTTATCACATGTTATTGCCAACCTCAATAAGAAGTCAACCTTGATAACAAGTCTTATTTAATAATCCCCACGAGAGTCTTGTTATCGTGGTTCTACTGTACAATAAATCTTCCTTACCGACTCTTTCAGCCAATGCGGTAGCGAGAACTAGCGTCCACTCCAAGTAACACTGCAAGTTGCAACTGGAACAGAACGTTGTCTAATACCACAGATGAAGTGGCGTTTAGTTATTCTATGCTAATACCATTAAAGAATAAAGGAAACATAGTACAGTAGTAGTAGGCCTATAGTATTTGTTAATGTTACGAATGTGACGACTAGTTAAGTTCACACCAACTGAGCTAAGCTTTAGTAATGTTATAGCATTGACTTTATATCTACACTGTGTATATTGACACTTACTTAT